TTGTTGATCACCTTGTATTATGTTTTCACATTATCTATTATGTCCACCCTTTTGACTTGACCGATTCTGTTCTGTTATGTCACATTTGGTTTTACTCTCTTCCAAAAAAGTAATAAGAACCGTGAGAGCAATGAAACCCAAAATGTGTAATAGTCATTGTACAAAAGAGAGGAAAAGAAAGTGCTCTAAACTATATAACTGCATGTATATTTAAATGTATAAGATAGAATATGATATCACAGAGTTTTATTGGAAAAAAAAGAGAATGACTATTACAGGGTATTTAGAACCAACTATCAAAAAATGAACAACCGTTTCTGTGTAATCTCCTTGTCTATAAAAGTTTTTGCTTATATTACCACATATAATAAAGTACAGTAAGATACAACCTGTTAAGACCGATGGAGACAGAAGAATAAAAGCTTGATGGGACTTCAAAGCAAGATGATACTAAATCAGCACTAGCTATTATGATGTCTTGTTTTCTCCAAAATAGCTGTTCATACCATCCAATCTTCTCTGCCTCATTTCTGTTGAGCTCTTTTTCTGTTGTTTGTTGTCAGTTTGTCTTCTTCATTTCGCTTTTTGCTCCATTCATTGCGACCTCTCTGCCACTGTTTCTGGAATCTTGGTATTTTCCTTTTTTAGGATATCCTGCAGTATTCTCTGCAGAGTTGAATTGGTGGTTGCAAATTCCCCTAGTTCCTCTTTATCCTGGAAGCACCTTGTTTTTCCATCAATTTCTAGGGAAAGTTGTGCAGGATATACCAATCTTGGCTGGAGGTTGTTATCTTTCAAAGCTTGAGTGATTTCCCCCCATGCTCTTCGTGATTTGATGGTTTGTGCCAAGAAGTCTGCTGTAATGTTGATGGGTGTTCCCTTGTAAGTGATCTGTTTCTTGTCTCTGATGGCTTTTAGTATTCTGTTCTTATATTGGATTTCTGGAATTTTGATTATTATATATGCCTGGGTGTAGCTCTGTTTGGGTTGTAGGTGGCTGGTGTCCTGTATGCCTCATACATCTGAGTATCTTTACCTTTTGCTAAATTAGGGAAATTCTCTTGGATTATTTCTGTGAATAGCTTTTGTAGTCTATTTGTTTGTGACACTACTTCTTCTTTTATGTTCTTAATTCTTAAATTATAGATCCTCTTATCATCTTCTAGTCTCTATATTATTACTGTTTGTTTTCTTGTTACTTTTAAGAAGTTTTTCATTTCATGCTCCCATATTACAAGTCTGCCCTCCAGTTCAAATAATCTATCCTTAGTTTCTTTCAAGCTGTTATGCCAGCTTTCAATAGAGTTTTTAGTTTCCTGGTAATCTCTTTGAACCTGCTTCATGTATTCTATGTTATCTCTATTTTCTCCATCAAACAATTCTGCCCTTTTTTTCTGTTCTTCCATTCCACCATCTGTTTTTTCTTGGGCGGTGCTTAGCATTTCTCTAACTATTCTACTTATCTCTTGCTTTATTTCATTAAATACTTCATTTTTAAACTCGTCTATGAGGCTCCTAAAATTCATTCTTCTATTTTAGAGAGCACAAACTCGTACCAGACATAGTAGGTTGGGAGTTTCATTCCCCTATATCAATAGAGCTCTTGAGTGGCATGTGCAAGGCCCTAGGTTCAATTGCTCTTGTGAAAACAAAATACCACTCCCCAGTAATCCTTTGTACCAATTTTCTCCTCATACAATATAGCTTAAGGTTCCAAAATTTTTTCTTGCTTTCCCCTACTGTCTAACACTTTAATATCTTTAATAGTGTAACTATAAAGCTTTTTAATTGTTTGATAGTTGACTGTAAAATAACTGTTAAATGCTTTCCTATTAGTAGCAGAGATTTAGCAGTCACAGCTAGTATATGTTACCTACAAGTCAACTCTGAATTGCTTAATTATTGAGTCATAATTGTGAATTTCTTCTTTAGGGTTAAGCATAGTATGTAATTGTTTCTTTTAGGTTTTAGGTGTTTTATTTCTTTCTCTATTTTGTTTACTCTTTCAAAGAACCAACTCCACAATTCACTGATTCTTTATATTGTGTTTTTAGTTTCAATTTCATTAATTCCACAATCCAAAGAATTGGTGAATCAGAGAGTTGATTCTTTAAAATAATAAACAAAGTAGGGAGAGCCGGAAGAACATGGCGGATAGATAGCAGCAGCTATGGAGGCTCTCTGAGACACCCCGCTTAGAACCCAGGAATGCTGCAGTACAAGGAGTCCTAAGCAAGGGGAAATATACCCTGCTGACCCAGGAATGAACTAAGCTAAGAGAAACAAACTGGAAATCCAATCCTGGTGCTATAACAGGAACAGACAAAATCTCAGCGTGGAAGCTAGAACCCGCGCCACTGGAAGCTGTGATCTGAATTTCCTGCTGCTGCTGCTGCGTCCAAATCTGAAGGGCAGGGAGAGAGACGTGCAAAAGCTCTGAGAGCAGGAATCTGCGAATGGAGTTGAGAGCTGGACTAGCAGGGAGCCCTACATCGACATTCCCATGGGAATCCAGTGTTGCTGCTGACCTGACATGAAGCAGAATTCAAGTGGTAATTCAAGTAGTTAGAGTGGCCATAAATACAGATGAAATGTCATTCACTTACTTGCCACTCACACCTTCCTGTGCAGCTCAGTTCCTTACAAATACCCAAGGAGACTGGGCATGGTTGCACACTCTTGTAATCCCAGCACTCAGGAGGCTGAGGCAGGAGAATCATTGCAAATTTGAGACCAACTTGGGCTACACAGTGAGCTCAAGGCCAGCCCGAACCACAAAGCAAGACTCTGTCTCAAAAAGACAAAAATAAAAACAAAAACAACCAAATTCCCAAGCAGTACCATGACATGATTTTAAACAACTCAATGGGAAGAAATAAAAATTTAAAACCCATATAAATAATTCCATTAAAATGAACAGAGTACTTGAGTAGATATTTCTCAAAAGAAGACATACAGATGACCAAGTCTATGAAACATTCTCAACATCACTAGAATGAGGAAAATGCAAATCAAAATTATGAGACATCTCATTCCAATTAAAATGGCTATTATAAAAAAGAGAGAATATAACAAACTATATCAAGGAAATGGAAAAAGGGAACATTTACAGATTATTAGTATGAATTTAAATTATTACACAAATGATAGGGAACAAAATGGAAGCTTAAAAAAAAGCTTTTATTATCTGATCCAGCAATCTCATGATTGGATATACATCCAGAGAAAATGAAATAATCGTGTCAGAGAGACATCTGCACATTTCCCTACCTTGAACCTGTCTCACTCCGTGTTTACACCATAAAGATTCCTAGAAAACACAGAGTCCCTGGCAACCTGCTCAGGACCCCTTCTTTCTTTATCTCAATAAATATATTCTGTTCTGCACTTCTATGTTCACTGCAGCATCTTTCACAAAGAGACAAGAAATGAACCAAGTGTCCAGTAGCTGAGGAATAAATACAGAAAATTTAGTACATATATTGTGGAATAAGGCCTTCATAAATTATATAGAAAAACATACAAGTTAGTAGAAAAATGTCCTATAAATATTTTGTCTTGAGGAAGTATATGATAGAAAGAGAGGGCTTATCAAAAATCCTCTAAGAAAGGAATATTTGTTCTGTCAAAAAGTTTCTTTGATCATTGTGCAAGCATAGACACTGACATGTAATGGGTCCAGATTTTGGTGGACTATCTGTAGGAGGCAAGGATATGATCTTATTTTGTTGTTCCACAGGGAGAGGTTGAAGAAGAGGGAGAAACGATTACAGAGATAGGATGGAGTCAGATGTTCTCTCTCTGCCAGGCCTGTCTCCTGAGCTAAAAAGGAGCCTTAACAGGACTAAAACTCAATTTCAAAACTTCTGCCTTTATATTATTCCAAATGTATACATAAAAAACTAAGTGAAGACTGCTTTCAAGTATAATTAAGTTCTTTTTTTTCCAGGAAGTTCCCAAGATAGCTGTCGGGTGAATGGGAAAGGATATCATATGTAGTGTGTGGTTGTAGAGAATAGCTTATCTAAGTCCTAACTTCACAGCACAATCTAAACTGGGGCTCTTGATAGAAAGGCCTACTTGTTTTGCAGGTAATGAATAAAGCACTAATCTCAACAACCACTGTTCTGCAATTTCTGATAACCACTCAGGTTTCTTACTGAAGGATTTATAATGCTGATGATGGATGCAATTGTCTGCATAATTTGAGCTGAATACTCCCAAAAGAAGGGCAAGATGGAGCACGTCTCCATGGGTTATTTGAACTAAACATCTCACCTGGGAATTAGCATTCAGGATGCCTGAAGTTTTTCTCTTTTCTTCTTCACCTAAGTTTCAGTTAGAATAAGCCACTTCAACCTTTCTCAACTCTGATTCCTTTGGTGTTCCTACATGAGAAGCAAAAGCTCATTTCCTATGAGCTGTTTTCTCATGTTTCCACATCCAAAGTAGAGACTTTACTTTTATTGGCCCTTCATTGTGTCTATATAAAGGTTAAGATATCTGTAATCTGAGGAATAGTAGTAAATTAAAAGTGCAGGTCTGATATTCATACTACCCGGGTTCAAACTCACTTCTGTAGTTTTATCAGTTGTGCGACATTAAGTTCCTTAACATTCCTACAGTTCACTTTCTCAACCATAAAATAGGATCCTGTTCAAAACCTTGCTGTATTTATTTTATTTTATTTTTTAAAAAACAGCAATTAATAAGTGGTAACAGCACTCTACTGGCCTACCATGCAGTAGTGATTATGTTGAGAACTGTACATGCATTTGTCAGAGCAGCCTGAAGAAATTCAGAAGCGGAGCACAGGGCTTTACATAGTACAGTGTGGACATCCAAAATATGTCGAATGAACGAGGCAGAGAAAGGACACTGCAGTTCCTGTCCACAGGGACCCACAGTCCTCACAGAGGCTACCCCGGGCCAGAGATGCCCGGACTTCGTTTCTAGTCGGACGCTATTCCTGGGGGCTCCCGAGCGCCGCGCCTGCGCGTTCAGCCAGTTGTCGCGCCGACCCTGCGGACGCGCTCGTTGCCTTCGCGGCGCCGTGGCCCTGAGATGTGCAGCTGCAGGGCTTGCTGGTTCCAGGTGCGTGCAAAGGCCGTCAGGAACCTGAGTGCGATGTGGAGTGACCTCCAGGGAGAGTCAGGTCGGCTTCGAACCCGCTGAGGTGCCGGGGGGGACCCGGGACAGGGGTGCCACGACCTCAGCTCCTCTTTAATTTCTCTTCTGTTCCCAACCACCTCCCCGTTTTTAGAGCGTCTCTCGGAGAGTGGGGATCTATAACAGGAAGACACAATAAGAAAGCTTTTCCACCGCTGGGGTCTTAGGATATTTATGGCTTTTTCTCTACTGTCAAAGGAGTTCGCCTTGTGCGAGACGTTGTGGTCTTCAGACTCGGCTCCTCCCGCTAGGTGTTCATTGATTGTGAGCTGTTAAGCCGAGCACAGGTTGTCTGATGTCAGGTTCATTTGTGTAGTGTTGGGGGGCCACGAGTGGGCAGAACTAGCTAAGCACAAGCAAATGCTCTGATAAATGCATCAGAGATTATTCCCGAACTCAGAATTATCGGCTTCTCTTAGTTCTGTCTTTTCTTGTTCATTTACGTTTTTTACTTTCTCACACTTTTTTTGGTGGTGTTAGGTAAGACAAAAATCAGGGTTTCAGCCGTGGAGCAACATTGGATTTTATTGAGGTCAGCTTTATTTTTATTTCAGTTTAACGTAAAAATTATCCAATATCAGCTTGCTTTTTAAAAAAATGTTGTCCACCAAAAAAAAAAAAAAAAAAAAATCAGTGGAAAGAATAGGAAAATCGTTTGTAATGAGATTTAGAGCTCTGTGTGCACGCTTGTACAAGAACATTGGGGACTGCACTTTGAGTGTGGAAATTCCTGACCTTTCACTTATAAATAGGAGATGAGATCACCACTTGCCACCAATGATTCTAACAGTATAGGATTCTCAGAAAGTGTTTTCCCACATAGTAGGGAGGCAAGTGACAATAGAATTCAGGCTCAGTGCCGGCGATGAGTGATCAACTACAGACCCATTTTGGCCCAGGAGCCTGTAGCCAGCCCCTGTTGCAGTCAGAGATTGTCTTTTGTGGTTCTAGTGCGAGTTTTTTAGGTTAGGAGGTAGGGCATGGTCTTATAAAACAGTTCTAAAGTGGATGGAGAAACATACAAAAAGAATTGAGAAGCCCAGCTCTGTCTAAAATCCTGTGTCCTGACCTTAATTATTAGGCTGTGCCTGCCTGGCCTCACGGAGGGACTCTCCCTCCCCAACTAGATTTGGTACATGGCCAGTTCTTTGCAGTTTTCTCGAGGGAGCTGCAGTCACAGATTTCTCTCCTGCTGCTAGCCATGCTTACACTGTAACTTGTTTCCTGGCCCAGCTGCCTTCATTTAGAGTTCCTCCCATAAGCATCCTGTTTTATACACTTTTCTCCATTTCTTAACTCAGGTTCTTTTTACCACAGGGGCCAGGGACCATAAAGAGTTGTTGGGAGCTCCGGGCAGAAGATTCCCTACTGCACTCACTACATACACTGAACCCTCACCTACTGTTCTGTTTAATGGGCCACTAGGAAGCCAGTTCTTCTTTTTGCTTCTTGCTTACTCTGTTGCATAGGTGAATAAAGGCTTGATTATTACTTTCAATTTGGCTCATTGTCCTGATTGCCTACCTTGAATTGCTCACCAGATATAAGATAAATTGCCTAACAGAAATTAGATAAATTTCTGAGTTCTTAGTTGCTCACTGTATTTTTTAATTTAATCTTAATCCTTATTACTTTTGCTCTGTGCAGCATGCTTAGCTTTTTTAGAGGCTGTTCACCTGTAAATCTGGCATTCTCTAATAGTGCTGTGAAAAATGGATGTTCATCGCACTAACCACTAACTGTTGTGATGATTGATTGTTGTTGGATTATATGTTGTGTTTTACAAATTAGTACAGTGATTATAGTCATTCGCATTTATTTGTGTGGCTCATTTTACATTTGGCCTCTCTTAGATGATTTTTAAATAAGTACTTTGGAGTAATACAAATACTAAAAAACTGGACACTGATGCCCAGGATCTTTATTGCCTAATAGATTACTTGGCCACTGTAAATAGGCAACTGATTTTGTTATAGATTCCCCTGTGTGTCAAGAGGTATGGTAGGAATAATTTTCATCAAGTATTTTTAACTTTTTTTCTAAGCAAATTGCATAAAACAGTATTTATCCTTGCTATGTGGTATGTGTTCTGGCATTTTCTATTTATTTTATTAAACAAAATACTGTTCGTGATGCACAAAGTTAACTTAAGAGTTCGATAATGAGTATGACCTGCAGTTTGAAAGGCACTGTGATAAAGCAACTAGTAGATTGCATTCTGTTTGTAGAAGAAAACCACAGTGGATGTATAGTACAATACTTGGTTTTGTGTTTAAGATATCTTCTTGGAGAAAACAGACACTAAGGAGATACATGTTGGTTTTTTGTCAAATCAGCTACCAAAGAATTGTGTTTCTGGTTATTAATCGTTTTTCTGTTTTTTTGTTTGTTTGTGTGTTTGATTGATTGATTTTTATCTCAACTAGAAGATATATTAGAACTAGAAGATATATTAGTAGGACAGAGCTGATATAGCTGTCCTTTTTAAAAAAAATGCCTTATTTAAGGGGAGTTCAACAGAACAAGAAAGAGGAGAAAATCAACTATTCTTTAAAAAAAAAAAGATGGTTGTGAAGTACCTGTTCAGCTTTTGTTTATGTGTCTTAAAGAGGCATATGAAGAAGTTATTTTTATCTCTGTTTTGTCTTAAGGCCAAAATGACCCTTTTATTATGCTGTCTCACAAAAACGTCACACTCAACATATTCATGAATACGTATGCAAGTTATCAGCATCATTTTTCTCTACTTGTTTTGTAGGGTTTTTTTCTTTAAGAAGTACACACACACATACATACACAAAACAGTACAAGAAAGGAGAAAAAGAGGGCTTCAATCAGATTTATCTCTTAACAACCCCAAATATGTTATTAAACAGGAATAAGATTTTAAATTTGATTAGTGTTTAGCTAAATAATGCCCTACCTTGTAGAGGTTGTCTCAGTCTCCAAGCAATGTATAAATATAAGGTATTTATTTAAGTACCTTATCCCTGTTGATTGGCGCAGCAGCTTGGTGTAGTGGGTAGTCCAAATGGCATTCTCTTCTCTTTGCAGATTGGGAATCTGTAATTCTTTCTTCTAACTACCAAGATTATTTATTTATTTTGTGATACTGGGGATCAAACTCACATCCTTGCACTTGCCAGGTAGGTGCTTATGCCACTGAACTAAATCCCCAGCCCACCAAGATTATTTAGTGATAAATCCAGGACTAGAACTCGGGTCTTTGAATTTTCTGCAAAATTACTTTGTTCATATAAGGAAGTAATTAGTAATTAGAGAGTAAATCGTGTTATCTTAGCTGAGACTTAATTTAGATGAGTAAATCTCCAATCCTAAGAGATGTCTACAATATATGCTATAATTGAATGTAAATACATCTTATTTTTGGTGTTTTAATTCTTAAAACAGTCTACTTTTCTCACTTTTTTTGTACTGTGGATTGAACTCATTTCACCCATTTTTTTTTTTTTAAATGACAAAGCAACTAAAGATTGACAAATCTAATGAAATAGAAAAGCTAGAATCAAAAAGTTAGGAAATTCAACTCAGTCCCTTTTTAATACAGCTTCTCAGGTAGAAAAATACCTTAAAATTACATAAATTTTTAGGTGTCTGCTATAATCATCATACCTCTTTTTGTGTGAAATTGATTTCATGGTTCAAATGAATTGATGTAAAATGATTGTTAGTTTACAAACCATAATAAAACCAGAGTATCCATTGACTTTAAATATCTTCAGCCAAAGGACAGCTTAATTTCTTTTCACATGAGTAATTTGTAAATTAATATTTCTTTTTTAATTTTTAGATATCTGTGGATTTAAAGACAATATGGAGGTCATCAAAGTATATCACTGAAGAATATGATGGCTGAAAACAATTTTAAAATGCTAAAGATTCAGCAGCGTGTGGTAGCCAGCAAACTACCTAGAAACAGGCCATATATTTGCAATATTTGCTGCAAGCACTTTGAAACACCATCAAAATTAGCTAGGCATTACCTTATTCATACCGGTCAAAAACCATTTGAATGTGATTTGTGTCACAAAACCTTTAGGCAACTAGTTCATCTGGAGAGGCACCAACTAACTCATAATCTGCCTTTTAAATGCAGTATTTGTCAGCGCCACTTTAAAAATCTGAAGACGTTTGTGAAACACCAGCAATTTCACAATGAAACCTATCAGAATGATGTTAAGCAAGTCAGAAGATTGCTAGAGGCTAAGCAAGAAAAGCCAGTGCATGCAGCATATAATACTTTTTCCACAGAGGAGAGATGGGCATTACACCCGTGCTCTAAGTCTGATCCCAAGTATGGCGCTGTGAAGAGAAAGAATATTCATGCGTGTACAATCTGTGGCAAGATGTTTCCGTCACAATCAAAACTTGACAGGCATGCACTTATTCACACTGGCCAGAGGCCTTTTAAATGTGTCCTGTGCAGTAAATCTTTCCGACAGTCAACTCATTTAAAAATTCACCAACTCACACATTCGGAAGAAAGACCTTTTCAATGTTGTTTTTGTCAAAAAGGATTTAAGATTCAAAGCAAACTTCTCAAGCATAAACAGATCCATACTAGGAATAAGACTTTTCAGACTCTTTCATTAAAGGTGAAGAATCCAGAATCATGCCCCTTGCCTAATAAGTTAAATGCAAAGCAGGATGGTTTTGAAAATGGTGATATGGATGAATCTGAGGAGAATAATCCACTTGATGTCCACTCCATTTATATTGTCCCTTTTCAGTGTTCAGAGTGTGAAGAATGTTTTGAATCAGAGGAGATTCTCAATGGACACAAGTGTTTTTCTGCCAGAGGTGGCAAAATTCCAAGCAGATTCAAAAGAAGCTACAACTATAAAACCATTGTTAAAAAGATCTTGGCCAAACTTAAACGTGCTGGGGGCAAAAAATTAGATAACTTTCAATCAGAAAAGAGAGTATATAAACATAATTTATTGAAAACTTGTGATCTTGTTTCTGGTGAACAGAGCTCTGAACAAACTCAGAGAAGATTTATGAGTTCTCTTGGCAAACATGGAACATATAAGACAGTTGGCAATAAAAAAAAGAAAACATTGACTTTGCCATTTTCTTGGCAAAAGCAATTCCAGACCCAAAATATGGGAAAAAATTTAAAAGGTATCCTTACAGCGGAAAGCATATTAACTGTAGATAACTCAGTGAATAATAAAGACTTGTCAATCAATGGTTCATCCACTGAGGAATTCTTAAATAACTGTGAAGGGCTTCAGTGTGATTTTTCAGTTCCAAATGAAAACATACATACTGGACATAAAATGTGTCCCTGTGATAAATGTGAGAAAGTATTTCCTTCTATATCCAAACTACAAAGACACTATTTAATTCATACTGGACAAAGGCCTTTTGGCTGTAATGTTTGTGGGAAGTCTTTTAGACAGTCAGCTCACTTAAAAAGACATAAACTAACTCATATTGAAAAGATTCCTTATAGAAGATCTTTTTGCCAAGTAGAATTTGGAAATGTGAACAAACGTTACATTCATCCAAGTGATAATGTTAACTATAGTGCTTCCCAACAATGTCAGGCTCTTGATTTTCAAAAATACGAGATTTCAGAGTTAGATCAAACATCTGAAATAGAAGTTAAGACAGAAGCTGAGGATTTTGATACCTACTGTAGAAACCGGCAGCCCTATTTCTCTGATGCACTTTTGGAATCAGATCAGAGCCATCCTCATTTCAGTTATTCAGGGGATCCCGAGAGAAATGATGGCCTCCTTTACCAGTGCAGTGTTTGCTGTAAAAGTTTCCGATCTCCATCTAAATTGGAAAGACACTATCTAATCCATGCAGGTCAGAAACCATTTGAATGTTCAGTTTGTGGCAAAACATTCAGACAGGCTCCTCACTGGAAGAGGCATCAACTCACTCACTTTAAAGAACAACCATAGGACAAGGTAGTTGTATTAGATTCAGTTATCTACCTGTCAAAACCACTAACATTTGTAGTCACTGCTGGTCTTGTATCTTTTAAACATTTTTATCACAAGGCCTGCATTAGATTGAATGGTTTCATGGGAAATTGCTTGTCCTGTGGTGAATTACAGAGGAAATGAATACAGTATTTTAAGAGCAGCCAATTTAATTTTCAGAGGGAAGAACATAGCTTGATGCCATAAACAGAATTTATTTTGGCTGTATTGAAAGTTAAAATCCATGATCCTGTACAAGCAGTTCAGACACATTTTTAAAAGGAATTATTTCTTTGAGATATGTCATCTCTTTTTAGATACACATACTTAAAAGATAGGGAAAAATTGCCCTGTAGCAGCAAATAGCGTTTATAGTTCATTTATTTTACCTTAAAGCATAATTTATCCACTATGGCTCAGATTTTATCGCAAAACTTTTTTCTTGCAATTTGAAAAACTACAGTAAACATGGATATGGATGGAAAATTACAGCATTATTTCACTGATCTTTTCAAAGCCATTTTTTGGATTATGTGATCATTTCACCTCTTTTGGGTGCTCAGGTGATGAAATTTTTATTTTATTTTCAATCCAGGGTGCTACTGATTTCCCCAAAAGAATTGAAAAGAGGCTAAGATGCACCTATATAACATTTATCATGTTTACTTACTGGGAATATTTTTCAAGTGCCATAATCTTATATATGCAGTTTTGTCTTTTTAGAGTGATGAAGGCAATTCATTTATTTACTTGTTAATACAGTAGTTGACACCACTAGTCATAAATAACACTCAGCTAGAAGACTATTTCCGTAAAACATTTACTTTAGTGAGACTTTGTTTTAATGCCTCTTTCAGTGGTCCTTCAATTTAAGGTTGATCTAAGGTTGGTCAAATGTCAGTGACCAGAGATAGCTTTAGTTTGTATTCCTTTATGGCTCTGCAATATGCTAATGCTAAAGAATGTTACTTTGATCTTTTTAAAATTTGGTCTTTTTAAAAACTTTTAATTAGTAAGATAACCATTGCTGTTTGGGAATAAGATAACTACAGCGTTGAATGTATCATATCTAGACAGAGTTGTGATAATTTGGAAAGATGTAATCCTAAACTATGAGGAACCTGTTTCATCATTATCCATTGTCCTTCAAATTTGGCATTTGTAAAATCTTTAGGAATGACATTTTGTAGCAATAAAAGAAATGAACCATTGTGTCTCTAAGGTGTAGAGAAAGCAGATGTGTATTCATCTTAGCACATTTAAATATGGTGAAAGCCTTCTTTTGAGAATGTGGATAAATGAATAATTGTACGTTTACATCGTGCTCTAAGATCTGTCATAGGGGTACGGGGATTTGGGTTGGCTTGCTTTTATCACAGATGAGTTTTAAGTAACGAGTTTAATTTATAGAGATGAAATATGACACTATGAATAAAATACTCAATGATGTGTAAATGTGCCTGTATTTTAAGGAGAGATGCCCAGTTGAAGCAGAAAATTACAAGCTTTAGAAAATACTTTGTTTGAAATATATTTCTCCAGTGCAAGCAAGATAAGTTTACAGAATTTGCTTTACCCAAAACTTCAAGAACACATTTATTATATAAAGGCAAGGAGTAACTAGTTCATATTTTCTTAGGATAAAAGTTTAAGAGTGGGGCTGGGGATTTAGCTCAGCGGCATAAGCGCTTGCCTTCCAAGCAGACAGTCATGAGTTCGATCCCTGGTACCGATAAAAAGGAAAAAGACCAAAAAAAAAAAAAAAAAAAAAAAAAAAAAAGTTTAAGAGTTACTTCATTAGCATGCTTGAAATCATGGTTTTTAGTATTTCCCTAAATTATTAAAAATTTTACTTGAAGGAAGTATCTTACATACTCCTTTCACAACCCAAACAGGGAAAGTTTTGAATGTTGTATTTGTATGACTCTGAGACTTTGTCTAAGTGATACTACTAATATATTTTTTTGCCCATGCCTTTTTAAGCTGTTTCATATTGAAAGTTGGTATATTGTAAAGAATTTTGTCAAAAATGTTCTACAGTGCTGTTTGAAGTACCTGTAACAAAATACTTTTATCATCTTTGCAAGCCTCTTATGGAAACATTATAGAAGTGAAAATGAAGCATGAATCCATGTTAAAAAGATTAAACATGTTAAAACACAGTTTACTGCATGCTGGACCTGTTAGTGTTGTGGAATTAGTTACTTTGGTTTTCTGGGAAAAAAATAAACTTTATAATTAAAGAGAAGTAGAATTTTTTGTTTGGCTGATTCTGGGCTGTAGGAAGATTATTTACTGGAAGAATGTGATTAGCTGACTTTGAATTATTGATTTTTGTTTCATAGTGCAATAGGACAGAAAATTTTAAGATAAAATTGTATGTGCTGATGGGAAGTGGATGGTAGATAAAATTCTTGAAAAACAAATCTCAGTACCATGGTTTGAAAACTTTTTAGGTTATACAATTCATACTTTTTCTAAAAAGAAAAATCACAGTACTGCAACAAGGTACTGACTTGACTATCAAACACTTGCATAGGCTCAGTTCAGTTTTGTACTAAGCTTCCCTGGATAGTTAAAAATTTACTTCCTTATTTACATTTATTTGATAGTTACTTGTCACTTACAAAAGACTGTGTTTACTCCATTGCAGATTACATGCTCAGTCTGTTTGTTCATTAACCCATCCTTCTCTTTGGCCTTGCCCTTAGATTTGTTCTGAAGAATTAAAAAATTTGTTTCTCAAAGAATACAGTTCTTGTTATTTTTTTGGTCTCTGACAGTCCTAGTATTAATTGAAATTAGACACAGACTCATATCCTATTCAAGATACATAGCTGAGTCAGGCTGTTCAGTGCATGAAGGAAGTTAACATGAAGTAATTGTTACAAACTTTTTACATTATTTTGAATTTTTATATTAACAAACAATAGAAAAGACTAGTACAATACAGGCAGCATGGACTTCTAGAACAAGCTTAAAGATCATTGCAAGATAAAATTCAAGATGTCTTTACATACTGTATATATTTATATTTGGATAATGATGCAAAGTGGCCGAGGGTACAGTTGTGGATAGAGCAAAGGTAGCTGACCTAGGAGTATTCATATCTCCCTGACATCACAACTGTTCAGGGATAGGTAACCCAGGTTTGAGCCAGACAAATTGAGGTAAAAACTCAGAGGTAAAAACTGACTAAGCTGAGGTGATAAAGTAAGACCTATGCTTATTTTGAATTGTCATGCTTTTTTTTTTTTTTTTTTTTTTTTTTGGTAGCAGGGATTGAACTCACAGCCTCAGGGTTATCAGGCAAGCACTTGAGCTGCTGAGCTAAATCCCCAGCACAAACCTATCTTCATTTCAATGATGGATTTCAGAAAAGTGATATATGGACGCTCTCTGCCCTTAGGGTACCATGAGGCCTGCTAGTCCAAAGGGAATGAGAGAGGAGCAAAGCCTCCCTCCCCACAGAAAGGTCAGAGATGGAGCTGGAAACTTGATCAACTGCCTGAAGCCTAACTTGTCACTTGACTTTATCACTAAAGATTTCCTTTGTCAATTTTTTATTTATATACAATATAGATAGATATTTAGTACCTGGGATTGAACTCACGACCTCACACTTGCTAGGCAGGCACTGATGCTGCTAAGCTAAATCCCCAGCCGCATTTAAGTGAATTTTAATGAGCTCTTTTTTTCTTAAAATATCCTACATAATAATGGTCTCCAACGGCATAATTGCCAAACTTACCTTTATGAAATTTTGTCTTTTTATATTTCTTTGTAAGCATTTGATGTTGACAGTCTTACCTTTTTGAAGCCCTCTTGACTCAATTCTTTAGCTTCGCAAAACTATAGAAAGCTTGTAAAATAAGCAAAAATCTATAAAGTGCACATCATACTATTAAAATGTCCAATATGATCAGTCAAAAAGTTAGCTAAGAGAAGAGATAAGATAGATAGAGATACAGATTGCATTTTGTTAGAAATCTGCTGTGTAAATTTGATTCATTTACATAGAATACTAGAAAGCTACATGTGATCTGGTGTCTATTGGTTTATACTCTTGGCCACAGATCAAGAGCTAAATTATGAATAATAAATACATAAATTGGAAATAAACGTTAATACCACCTGGATCTTATCCTGTGATTTTGACTGTTCCCCTATAAAATGGAATTATTTTCCCTTCAAAACCGTCATCTCTCTTCATGTGCTTTAAGGTTCTGCCATCCCTACAGCTACTTAGAAATGTCTCATTTTATCTCTCTAGGATGTTCATATTTATTCTTTTAATTTTTACTGCCAGAACCCAAATTCAGGACTTTTACATTGGTTTTAGAATTTTTAGTTATTTCCCAGCTTGGATTTTCACCTTTCTAAATTCTGCTGAAAATTCATTTTCTAAAAGTAATTTTCACTCGATGGTTTCATAATATCTTTTACAATAGAGACAGTTTCTGTTCCCTAGCTTTAAAGGCTTTCAGTACCTCAGTCCTTACTGTCTACAAACTTTTCCCCAGCCTGACCTGCTTCCTAGCTTTTATCCTATAACTTGCACAGATTAAAAATACAGTTCGTTGCAGTTTCTCCTTGTCAAAATATGTTCATGTGTCGAGTTATAGTTAAAACCATTAGAAAATATTGTGTTACTATTTATAGACTATGGAGAGAAAATGTTAATAGCTATTATATATTTAAAATCTTTTACATTTAAAATCGTGATCATACTAGTTTTGGAAAACATAAGTTTTTATCTCTAGCTCTGTAAATAAACTTCTTAAAATTTTCTTAATACACGAAATTTACATTCATCTTGGGAAGTAGGAACCTACACATAATGCACGTTTGTTTTGTTTTTTGGTTTTTGTCTTGGCCTTATATAAGACAGCATCTCTGTGCAGTTTAGACTGGCTCTGAGCTCACTTTTCAGACCAGGCTTGTCTTGAACTTGCAAGGATCCTCCTGCCTCAGCTTCCCAAGTGCTGAAATTACAGACATACACCACCATTCCCAGCTAATACAGCTTTAAAAAAATCCCATTTCCTTTCTTACTCAATTTCCTCCTTCACCTCTAAATAACCTTTCTCTACCTTCATGCTTGATACTATTTTTAGCTCATGTTTATAACAATGTTTATGTTCATTGAGGTTATTAGGTTCCTGTATATGGTGTATCTTATTTCTTCTTACATTCCCTTTTCTTCCCCTCTTCCCTCATCCTCAGTCTCCTGGACCTCTCCCCATTTGTGAGAGATTTACCCTCTTGTTTCTTTCTATCCATCCTTTATTATGCTTTTTGTATTTTGCCTTACTCAAGTTGAGAGAGACTGCAGTTTTTAAGTTTGAGGGTCTTATTTCGCTCAACGTTATATTTCCAGGTGCATGCATTTTTCTTCAATATTTCAAGTTTATTCTTTTTATATCCAAAAAGTATTACAGAGTGTACAGATAACACATTTTCTTTATCCATTCATCTGTTAATGGGCACACAGGTTGTTTTGAGGATTTAGCTATCATGAATTGTGCTACTATAAACATCAGAATACACATATCACTATAGTATGATGTCTTTAGCTCTTTAGGGAGATAGCTAGATGGGTCACATGAAATTTCTAATTTCAATTCTTTGAGAAATCTCCATACTGACTTCTATAGTGATTGTACTAGTTTACGTCCCCAGTCAGCAGTGTAGAAGTGCTCCCTTTTCATGGTAGCGTGCCAGCACTGGTTATTCTTTTGACTTTTTGATGATTGCCATTCTTTCTGGTATGGAATGCAATCTTTGCATTGTTTTAATTTGAATTTTAATCTCCTTGTATAATATAATATCTATGACATACTGTTTAGGGTCTCTCATTTTTAAAAGTTCTTTATATTTTCTAGATGTTAGTCCTTTGAGGAATATATGGCCAAAAAATTTTCCCATTCTGTGGGTTGTCTCCTCACTGATTTCTTCACTGTGAAGGAGTTTTTAAATTTGGTGTAATTCCACTTGTTAATTCTTCCTGCTTTTTCTTGTGTAATTGGGTTTTGTTTAAATATCCTTTCCTAAATCTATGATTTCTAGTGTTTTGCCTATTTTATGTTGCAGTAGGCTCAGTGTTTCTGTTTTAATCTTGGATCTCTAATTCATTGTGATTTTAATATAGTACAGAGTGAGAGATATGGGTTGAACTTTAATCTTTTGCAAACAGATACCAGTTTCCCAGCACCATTTGTTAAATAGGGTATTTTTCCACCAATAGATGCTTTTGGCCCCTTCATCAAAGATAAATAGCTGAATGTGGCTAGGAGGATGTTTCTGTGGCCTCTATTCTGTTACACTGCTTGGCATGTCCATTCTGTAAACAAACTTTACACAACAAAACATAGAAAAAAGGGACTACATTTATGATCTCCAGGTCTATAGACAAGTTGATTCTTCATTCATTTTGTTTTTGGTTATAATATATACCCATATTATTCAAAACATATATTCAATATATATACATATATATATATACATATATATATATATATATATATATATATACCAAATTATGTGAAATAAGCCATCCTCTCTGTTCCTTCTACTTAGAGGCAGTAGTGTTATGAATTTCCTACTTGTATTTTGTCAGGAGGAATTTAGTAGAGATGCTTAATCTGTATATCAATTTGTGAATGGTAAAGGTATGCATTCAATTCAAGAAAAAGAAAAGCAGTGCAATTAAGAAACAAGCAAAAGAATATGAATAGATACTTCGCTAATGAAGATATATGAACAACAAAAAAGCAAAAACATTTAACATTTTTAGTTATTAGAGAAATGTAAATTAAACTATAATGAGATACAGCACATACTATGAAAATGGCTAAAATTTTAAAAACATTATATTACTTGTTGGTGAGGATGAGAAAAAACTGCAGGTTTCATTTGTTAACAGGTTCATAAAAAGTTAAACATGCATCTATCATATCTCTTAGCCATTTTGCTTCTAGGCTATTTAATGTATCCACCTAAATATCTGCTCTCATATAGGCGCATAGAAACCCTGTTTGCAGTGACCAAGAACTAACAACAACATGAATGTCCATCAACACCTTAAGAAACTGTGGTATGTCTAAAAATAGAACACTATTCAGCCACGAAAAGGAATGAATGAATGATCCACGCAAAATTATGGGTAAATCTCGAAATTGTTTTGGTGGGTAAAAGAAGAAAGGTACATATTGTGATATTTGATCTATATAAAGTTCTCTAAAAAGCAAAGTAATCTATAGCAAAAATGATAGAAACCAGGCACGATGAAGAGCACCAGGAAATTTGAGTGGCATGGGTATGAGCATTATGATTCTGCTGATAGGTTCATGAATCTATAATTATGTCAAAACGATCAGATTTTATATTTGTTGTTCATATCAATTTCATAAATCTGTTAAAGAGTTAAAGCCTCGGATTCCTAGTGTATTTTTATTTTATTTATTTTTACACCACTGCTTCCTTTAGAGTTGAAAGAAACCACAAATCCCATTCCTCTGGCCCCCATCTTTCACTAATCACAAAGAACCTTCCTTCAGCACCATCAGGGTCTGTGCAGTTCTCCGTGATCCCGATCCTGTGCTCTGGGTGTTTTCTTCCGGATCGCCAGCAGGGGGCGAGCAAGGGAGGAGGGCGAAGCCGTGGGCCGTCTAGCTCAGCCTCAAAGCCTGCACTGACTTCCGGCTCCGCTCTGTTCCGCTTCCGGGGGACGCGCGCGCCGCTGCCCGGGTTGTTGGTGGGACCGTGAAGGCCATGGACGTCTTACGCCGCGGTATCTAGCTCGTGGCCCCGGCTCAGCAGCTGATACTTGGTAGTGCACCAGGTCCCCGCTGCCTGGCGTTGCTTTCGTTTTCTACTGGAGCGGAAGGAGAGTGCAACCATGGCGGCCCCTGCGCAGCCCAAGAAAATCGTGGCGCCTACGGTGTCCCAAATCAATGCGGAGTTCGTGACACAGGTGAGCTCGGGTCGTCTGGGTGTGTGTGTGTGCAGCGGGGTAAGGACGTCGAGGCCCCGAGACCTGGAGTGGGGTATTCTCCTGGATTGCGAGAATGTAGGAGACATTTGTTGGTTATCTTACTCTCTTGTGTTTTTACTGGGTAACTCCATGTTCTGGCCACTGTGATTGGTGTTGGGTATAACACAATGAAAGACATCTCTCAGCTTGGAGGAGTTCAGTGTCCTGTAAATATACACACAGAGAAAACTCCTTATGTAGTTTTGCTATTTGGGAGTTTGTTAAAGAAAGAGTGAAGTCAAAGAGGACGGAGTGTCTCAAGTATGTGAGATTGGCTAGAAAGCCAGTCTTGAGGGAGAAGTAGTCTTTCTTGACCGACTAACCTGGTTTTCAAGCAGAGTGATACTTGCAAGATGCTCCTCGTAGGTCCAGCTACTGAGAAAGAGATGTCTTTCTTGCATTGTGAGCCACTGTTGGCTCTGAATTGAGAAACACAATTTTGTACTCCGCAGCAACATTCCTAATCCTTTTACTTGCTTAGTATCAGAGAGCAAGTGTGAGTGGCTCAGTGCCTTTACGGCTTCTTTTTTCTATGTTGCCTGGCTCAGACTTGTTTTGAGTTCTCCTTTCCCTTAATGCCCACAGTTCTGTATTTTAGGTATCTCTTAAGACCCACGTGCTCTTCTGCGCCTTTGTAACCCTGAGTCAAGTTGTTACTGTTTTTTCCCTGGACCAATGTGTCATCTTGCCTTTCTTCTTGTTTTCTAGTCCATGCTTCTTGCTACTGTCAGAGTTAACACAAATGCAAACTGATCATGTCGCTTGTCTTAAAGTCTGTGCACCTCTGAGTGCCCTTAGGATAATGACTGGAGTCCTTCAGGGCATTACGTGATCTGGTTTCGGTTGATGCCTTCAGTTTCTGCTCTTTCCTCTCCCTTTTAATGTTGTACCCTAACTATAATGAGCTGCAGTTATTTGAATGTGCCATGCCTTATTTCACTTCCTGAATTTTCAACATTGTTTCCTTTGTGGGATCCTTATTTTAGCCCTTCTTTTATTTCCTTTCTTTTGTACTATATTAGAGAAGCTTATTTTGTTTGTTGTTTGTTTGTTTCAGACAGGATCTTGCTGTGTAGCTCAAGCTGGACTTGAGCTCACAGCAGTCCTCCTGCCTCAGCCACCTAAGTACTGGAATTACCTGCATGCATCACCACATCCAGTTTAGAGGGGCTTGTTTCATGACATCTTCAACTACACCAGAATTCCTTTTCCCAGTGTACCTGTATTTTCATGCTAAAACTAAGCTATTAGTTAACCGCTGTAGTGGAATTCACATTTTTAGAAAGAAGAGCAAGGTTATAGTTTCAGAGATTGATAAGTGCTCCAAGGAAAAGGAAACAGTGTTGTGATAGTGGCTGGGTAGAGTGTGTTAAAAGTAATCAGAAGCCTTCTCTCTGATGACATTTGACCTGACACATTTGAGCAAGTTTCTGAAGAACAACGAAAATGGTCCAGAGAATATTAAGTGTGAATGACTCAGAATGTAACAGGAGAGAAGGCTAGGGTGGCTGCAACCCAAGAAGTGAGAGGGCAGGGGGCACATCCATCCCGGCACTCTGCATCGCGCAGAGGACTGAGACTGAAGGATTGCCAGAGGTTCAAATCCAGCCTGAGCTATAGCAGTGACCTCAAGGGTAGCCTGCACTAAACAGTGAGAGCCTGTCTCAAAAAACAAAGAACAGTATGTAGGGACCAGATTGTATATACATTTTTGGAGACTAGGAAGTATGGATTTTAATCTAAATACAGTCGATTTAATTATAATCAGGTGAGTAATATTTGTGAAAGATCTTTGGCTAAATTTTAGAAATTGGACAAGGGATGAGGGAGCCGTAGTAGTAGGGATAGCAATAGAGCTGGTACAGGTGACAGAGCCTCTACTATTAAACATGAAGTGGACTGGTTATATTCTGAAACTTGATGGTTAGGTATTGTGAAGGAGGAGAGGAAAGATGAATTAAGGATAGTTGAAACAACTGGGTAAGTGGTTTAGAAATTTTGTAAGATGAGGAAGGCCAGGAAACTTTAGTGGGGAATATCAGGAATTTTGTTTTGGCAACATTAAGGTTGGGATGCCTGCTAGACGTTTAATTGAAAGTTTGAGAAGCCATTTGAATGTGTTAGTGTAGAAAATATTGGCAAGAATTGGGCTTGAACATAAGTTTGGGAATTCCTGACCCAAGATAATACATAAAGCTGTAGAACTGAATGTGACAGCCTCAAGAACGTGGTACATAATCGTGCTGCATGTCGTCTTGCATTGGATTATGGGAGCTGAGTCTAGGGAGTAATGTCTTTAATTCTGTATGTGCCCCCAGCACTTGGTATTGTACTAGACACATTAAATAATGAGTATTTGTTGAAAGAATGCATGAGTGAATTAATGAACAAATGTACTATAGCTTAAAATGTAGTACAGGGAACAAAGGTCCGTGGCAGACTTGGGCCACAGGAGCAAACATTAATGCCTGATAATTGCTAGGTATGTTTGGGTGCTCCTAAGCTGTGAAGGAAGACATTCCTTCGCTTTAGGGAGTTGACATATTTGGCGAGCGACTTTTAAGAGATGTAAAGGATTGCCACTGTTTAATATGAGAAATGACAGATTAGAAATGTGAGGAAAGACTTCAAGAACAGAATTAGACAAGTGCTTTTAATTACTATTGAACAAATGAGATTGCAAAGTTAAAATTTAAAGGTCAAAGATTAGATCTTTATGATCTCACGTTTTGTTAGGCTGCTGTATTTTTATTTACAGTACTTTCTGTCTTTCATTAGGGCTGGTTTGAATAATCTTGCTGCTGTAGCTATACTGAGTGGAGAATGAAAAGGTTTTGGTTTATATGAGGCTAAGGAATTTAGAGACAGATAGGATGGCAGGATGTCCTTTAAGGAAGGATGGGTTAGCCAAGGAGACTTTTGAAACTCAGAAAAAGAGAGATGATATACGTTTAATAAACATTTGCTGGAGTGTTACTACAGATAGATTTACAGTAAGCAGTTTAAGTCAGAAAAAGCTTACATTTTCATTTGTAACCTTCCTGAATTTATCAAGACGGATTAGACTTGGTCCTCCAAGGTGTGACGGAAGGAGAAGATGGCTGAGTATGGGAGGCCTAAAAGGAGCAGCAGAAGGAAATGAGTATTCCACAGAATAAATGGCTGTCAAGAGAGCATTTTCTGTTGGGTGGAGTGTTTGCTGATGTGGGAAGGTATTACGTAAGTGAGTGTGTTTCTAGAGGCTTTTCCTGAGGGCCGGTGTCTTAACGACTGGAGAGGCTCTTTAAGCAGGTTGACTGTGTTAGGGGATGAGCTGTACAAGTAAAGCAGACACAGGCCTCATTCCCTAAGTGTTCCTTTTACATAAGGAAGAAAGACGAGCACTCCAATAAATGTAACACAGAAGTATAACATCGGAATTAAGTTACCTGCAAAATGAAGAGGAGGAAGAAGCAATGATCATTATCAAATATGCTTGAGGAAGGCGTCACAGAAGCAGTAACATTTCAAGTTTTACTTCACTTCTCCATTCTTTATCCCTATGTTTTTCCTGCATCAGACATTATTTTGAGTACCTCCAATGTGGCAGACACTGTGCTGAGTCACCTTTTTGTAAATATGTAAATATCTTGTGTTTGCCAGCGATGTCTTTTTTCCCCAAGCACTCAGATTTCAGTGAGAGCATGGTTATTATCATCATCTATTTTTATTTTTTATTCTTATTTATTATTCAGGAATCAAACTCATGACCCCATGCTTGCCAGACAGGTGCTTACACTGCTGAGCTAAATCCCCAGCTGTTGTAATTTAATTTTTAAAGAATCAGAATATGTTTTTTCCATATTACATAGTCCATGTAAATACCTGGAGACATTATGTGTATGCATTTATGTGTATGTATTTAAATTTCTAGGTGAAGGCTAATTTGCTGAAATATTCCGTTTCTCTGTGATAATCAGTTCATAGACTACAGTGCTTTATTAAAGATTTTGAGTATCTGAATTAAGACCCAGGTATTCTTACCATTGTACTGAAGATGTTTGATTTTACAATTTTCTGCTGGACTGTACCATCACCCTAGAGATTGTTGCAACGTTTTTTTCTTTTCTTCCATGTATCTTGTGTTTTAAATCACAGTGGCAAGTTGCAGTGCACAGCCCACTGAAACTTTTATGGACTAGGGCCAAGGATCTAACTAGCCTCCTGCCAGCAGAAACCATTTAGAATTGCTCTGTTACCCATACTGGTAAACATCTTGTTAAGAAACAGCGCTTTGCTAAGTGATCTGAGTCTTCCAGCTCTGTGGTGGCATGCCTTTGTAATTTATTGTTTATACTGTTTACTTTTACAGTTAGCATGTAAATACTGGGCTCCTCACATCAAGAAAAAATCGCCTTTTGATATAAAGGTGAGTACTTTTGGTTTATAATACACTTTTTTGAATAATTATTTTCCTTTTATCTCTTTAAGGATTAATTCAATAAACTTTCCGTAGTTTTTTTAAAAAGTTTATAGCAGATTTAAATGATCAAACTAATCAAGGTTACAAGTAAGAGAATAAGAATCATTATCCAGATATGACTTGTGTAATTATTTAATGCTTTTTCAAATTATGTATCATAATTTATATAATCTTTTTAGATCCTACATTGTTCAAATTCATTATTACTGTAAATTACCACGTGAGTGTCTTTATAATATACAGAAATTTTCATGCAAGTTTTTTGTCAGGTCTTTGAGAATGGAATTGAGTATTTTCTTTTATTTTTAGTTTGAGAAAGGACGATAAAAGTCTTAATAATGGTGAAAAAGTTATATAGTAGTCTAAGGACCAATAATATTAAATAAAGGAAAGGCCTTATGGTTTAATTGAAACAGTTTAATACAAATGAAAAGAAAAATTCTTAAATGTGAAATTCTTAAATGTGTAGGTTTTTAAAAAAACTTTTTTTTTAAGACATGGTCTTGCTTTGTAAAGTTTAGGCTGGCCTTGAACTCACTGTGTAGCCCACGATGGCCTTGAACTCACTGTGTTTTTCCTGCCTCAGCCTCCCAAGTGGTGGAATTACCAGCGTGTGCCACCACACCCATGTATGGTTGTTTTCATTGGAATACCATCTCAGAGACTTTTATATGAAGTATGTTGATATTGCATACCATTAAATAAGAAGATCGAAATATGTTTTGTATCTGACTATGTTAAGGCCAACGGTCCTTAAAGTAATTTCTCATAAAATAACAGAAATATGCTAATGTGACTGGATAGAGTGGAACCTAATTAGTTAAGAATTTTAGATATTCAGCTCATCCAGATCTAATACAGGATAATTCTAGGTGAAGCTATCTATGAATATCTTCAGCAGTTTATTACAGGTTAGTGTTTAAACATGAGTAGATTCATGTTTAGTTTGGATTTTTATAAAAAGAGAAACAACAGAATTTCGTCTAGCTTGTCTAAGATGTGCCTACTTCACCTCCCTCTCCCACCTTCAAATATTTATTCGACAAGTACACTTTGAGGAGGGTCTTAGTTACTTTTTTCTCATTGCTGAGACAAAACAGCCAACACAAAAAGTCAAGGAAGAAGAGTTTCAGTCAGTGATGAACTGGCTCCAGGGCAGAGTGGCCTGGCGGACAGGCCTGGCAGAGGAGAAATAGTTCATGGCCGGCAGAAGGCAGCAGAGCAGCCAACAATGACAAGCCTCTTTCTGTTGCTTCTGTCTTATCAAGGCTACTGGACCTCTGGGTGGATAGCACTCACCCTTAATCCTAGTGTGTTTAATCCTAGCGTTGCACCATGAATCAATCCCACAGTCACACATTCTAGATCCAGCCATCTCTGAAAAGCCCCACCTTGACCACATAAGGCCTTGTGGGAGATGTCTAAACACAAGCCACACAAGCAGGTAGAAGACATTATAGTTATTATACACTGTCTTACTATCCCATGTTAAAGCACTTCATCCTTTTGCAGATTTTTTTCTCTATTAACAGTGGCACTGCTACTGCTCCTCCCGCTGGTGATTGTTATTGAAGGTTCATCATGTACCAGGGTTCCTGCTAATTCTTGATATACCCTGTTTGGTGTATAGCAGCCTTACATGGTATTTTGTATTTTAGTATCCATTTCATGGATCAGGAAGCTGACAGGAGGGAGGTCAGACACTTGCCCAGAGTCATGTACATCATCAGTGCTGGTGAATAGTGTCAATCGGGCTTCCAACTCCAGAGTCTACGTTTTGTTCAGTCTAATGCAAAAAAAACAAGCTTCTCAGCCTCATCATTTTCATTGGGTAGTGGAATATACTGTCTTCAGACTTTTAAGCTGCTGTCATATTGTTTGAAAACCTTTTGTTATGATTCTTAGATGGAGACTGAGAGCACTTACATATTTTTAAGGCTTTCCAAAATATTGTGATCTTGTCAATTTTTATTTTCCTAGAAACGTAGCACATCATTTTTATGAATATTCTGGGGCACTGTTTTTATGTAGATACATTATTGGCCTTTTTCTTCTACTTTGCTTTCTGCATGTGCCATTATTTTTCAAAATCTGTTAATGTTATTTCAATAGTGTAGTATTTGACAACTGTCTTAAACTACTTTATTATATATAATTACAGTAATTGAAAACTATCATTTTAGGTCTGAAAAAAGTTGTTTGAGATATTAAAAATTTTTGTATTTTTCCTCACAGGTTATTGAAGAGATATATGAGAAAGAAATTGTCAAATCGAGGTAGGAATGAGTTTAATTTTTATACATTGAGGTTAATGGTGGACCAAGTTGAATCGCATCTGAGCTTCTAACAGTGGTCATAACTTGAAGCCTTTTTTTCTTTTGTATTGCTCACTGAGACAATGGTGGCTAGAAAAATGTCATATGTGGGTACTAGAGTCATGATGTTTGTACTTTTGATTTTGGTTCAGGTTAGAGGGACTAAACCCCATAGAGTTTATTTTTTGAAGAAATGTTAGGGAAAGTAAGCATAGAAATTTTGTTTCCATTTTAGTTACACTGATTATCTGATCATTCCTGGTAAAAATATTGAAATTATACAAGTAAACCATACATTTGAAATAATATGTACATAATATATAAAATATACAGTTTTAAAAACTAAATAAATAATTGAAATTATTTTGGAATAATATATGAATAAATTAATAAATCTCCTCTGTCTTTTAGTGCCCTGTTTATTTATTTATGTAGGTGTCATTTCTGTTCCCTGCCCTTTCTGACCAAAAAGGGTTTATACTTTGAATGCTTTTTTTTTATTTGTTTGTTTGTTTTTGATTTAACAGTATATCTTGAGCTTTGTTCCATACATTGAGGGATATATATCCCTGGTGATTTTTTTTAATGGAGGAAAGAACATAGTTAGAAGTAACTAGCTGAATTCATTTTAGATCTTCCCAGTTTTGTTGGCACCGTCAAAACAGGCTGTTTGAATCCTGTGTGATTTAGTGCTTTTCTCCTTGACATCCACAGTGAACACAAGTGTGTTTGTGTTCTTTGGAGCGATTCTGGCCAGGGGAAACTTGAGCTTGGCAGGCTTGATGCTTGTTTCCCCCCAAGTATTTTAAAAGGTAGTTGACTATTTTAGTAGGAAGTGGAAGCATTATAAATGTTACGCATTTCATTACCTCTTGTAGTTGGTATTTTTCACGTATTTGAATTTTAGGTAAATTTTGTTAAGTATGAGAAAGGCAAAATTAGTGTCAGAATAGAGTCTTGCTCTGTTGTTTCAGTGGTTGATTCATGAGCTTGTAGTGAGTGACAGACAGGATCAAAGCCATGTTAAGAATTTTGTTCTGCATTTGAAAAACAATAGAGAACCAGTGAAGAGCTTTAAGGACAGTGTTGACATTTGATAAAGAGAATTTGGATTTGGAGGGGCAGGAGGTCAGAGATTAGAAAGGCATTACAAGAATCAGATCAAGATGAAATGAAAAAGACAAAAAAAAAAAAAAGATGACATGGCCTACGTGCTAAGTTAGGAAGGAGATTTGCCAGTTTGAGAGAGGCGTAAGTAAAGAGACTGTGTGGTTAGTTAGATGCAGCAGGTAAAGAAAGCGGAGGAATCAAGGATGACTCCAAAATGTTTTGCTGAAGTTGCTCAGTGATTAACAGTGTCATTCCTAACTTTTACCGTTGTTGGGGATATGATTGGGTGTAGATCATTGGTTCAGTTTTGAATATCTTAAATTCTAGATACTTAAGAGGCATACAGATGGAAATGTAGAATAAGTAGTTGGATATTTAAGTAGGCAGCCCAGAAAAGAGTGGGCTGAACCTCCTTTGTATCAAGCATCATTTCAGGGCCAAAAGTAAAACAGTAAACTGGGTGGATAAAAATCCCTTGCTCTTGGGCCTTTCATTCTAGCAGGGGAGACCTATAAAAAAATGTACAGCGATGATATAATGCTGGAGACATTAAAAGCTATGATTTATGAATTATTGGGGAGTAAGTAACAAGGGCTGCCACTTGAGTGATCAGAGAACAATCATCCCTAAAGATACAACATTTGAGCAGATATATAACATAATTTGTCTGAGGGTAGATGTGCATAAAATTGCCTGGGGAAGTTCATCTGAAGTGGCACAGATGGTAAATTCCAGGATCCTCTCTGTCTGTGGTAGAGGACAGATACAAATATATAGATAAAGGTGTTCTACAGAGGATGTTTAGTGTCCTCCTTTCTTCTATATTAAGAGATTATCAGTCTGAAAATTATCTTGACTCTTCAGAGATTTCCACGCTAGTGCATAGTAATATTTTGTCTGTTTTGGTTTAGTTATTTTACATCTAAATTCTTTCTACTAATAATTTTTGTTATGAAATAACTAAAAGCCACCAAAGATTTTTTGAAGGAATTCTAGATATTCCCTGTACACCACATACATTATGTCAATGTATCTCTGTCTTCTACCAGAGACAAGGAGGGAGGGAGAGCAGGGAAGGAGACGCTGGGCTGCATTGTTAAAATTTTTTAAGCATCGTTGGTGAGACTCAAAAAGATTTATTACAATACTTATATAATCGCCATTGTATTTTCTTATATACATTATTGAGTAAGATCATTTCTGTAATACATGCATTGGAGTATGCATTGAAAAATTTATATGTGAGTGTTTTACACTAGTGCCTGAGGGAATTATCTGTTGAGCTATGTACTGGTTGGCTATCAAAATAAGCAGTTTATAGTTTAGCATGTATTAAGCTAATACTATTATGCATTAAGGTACAGTACTCATTTTTTTTGCATATGAACCCTATTTTCCAGAAGGGAAATAATCAAGTCTTAGTAATCATGTAATAATTTTACTTTTGGAATCTTAAAATTAGATCATTTCTAAAAGCTTTTTGTTCAGTCAACTAATTAATATGTGGTATATTGCAAAATTGCTGTCCTTTTTTACTGGTCTTGCCATTGTTAGACTCAGCAAGTTTGTTTTAATGTATTTTTATCCAACTTGAATTTTAAAATACTAAAAAATAATAATTTACTTCAGTGCTTTCTGTGAGCCACCTTATCTTAGACACCGTGCGTATTGTAGCTTATCCATCTCCATAATAACCATATGACCATGTAATTATTGTTTACCTTGTAAATGAGGAAACTGAGATACCAAAAGTCAAATAACTTGCCCACGATGTTTCTGTGTAGCTGGAGGCACAATTGGGTACTAAACTCTGGTTCCCTGGCTCTTGTGCAATATTCTGTTCTTAAATAGTAAGCAAAGTCCATTGCCCCAAAAGTCTCTTAAGTTGAGCACTTCTGTATGATTATTATACTTTTATGAATCTATCCAAGTAGTTTATATGCTTCAAAAAAGTGATTTATAGAACTGTTTACCTTTGCCAGTGTTTATTTGAAATGTATAGGTCTTTTTACTATGAAATATAATACCAAAAATGCCGTAAAATAGAAATATGTATTCCTATGAATTTTAATTTATAACCACCACCTAGGTTAAAAAAGAAAAATCCTGACTGTGGCACCTTTGCACGCATGAATAGTGAATACTACTCTTTGCTTTAGTTTGAACTTGAAATAAAAGTAAGAATATAAATATATACTCTGATGGCTGACTTCTGTTGTTCACTGTTAGATTTATTTCTTATTTATTTAACTGCTCTGAAATAGACAGTTCAGAAGTTAAAAACACCAGGGCCCTCGTCTTCACGTGGTTGCTTGTTGGCTTTTCCTGTGGGTTACAAGACCACTGGGCTCCACACCCCTGTTTTCGTTCAGCGGTGTCAGAAGGGAGAAAGGAGGGTAGATACAGCATCGGTGGCGAGTTCCCTTGCAAGTCTCCCTGTCCGTGTCTTAATTGATTTAATGAGGTTACTGGTATGTAATTAACCTAGTTTGTTCTATTTAGTTGTCCAACTTTGGACAGATTTAGTGAAATGTGCTGCTAAATTTTGGACATTGTTGGATACAATGTAGGCCCTTAGAAAGCATAGGTAACTTACAAAAAAATCTAAATGCACTTTCAAAAAAATTGTATTTGTTATTATTATAACTTTCACGTGTACCTTTGAAATTCTGATGTGATATCTCGTGCTCTAAGGTGAGTGCACCTTAGGTCTTACACGTGTGTGTTTATTGGGGTTGGAGATCTGCTCTACTCTTTTGTCTGCGCTTTTGCATAATGAAAGCTTTCATTCTTAGTAAAGTTCTGTGAAGTTGCTTGCTCAGTCAAACTAAGAAATCAGAAATTTGTGGACTAGGATTTTTAACAAGATTATAGCGTCGTGGGACATTATAAATTCATAATTCATATATATGTAATTTCCAAAGCTGGAAACTATTACCTGTAGCAGATTACAAAATGATGCAGCTAAATTAGTGGCCATTTGAACTTGCCTTTGCAGGGTGCCCATGACTATAGCATCATTTATTCATATGAAGCAAGGTACTTCTCTGATAAAGAGACTATAATGAAGAGACATATCTGACATTTCCTACAGAAAGTTCTTCAGTAATTTAGGCTCATTGTTAAGATTAAGATATAATGTGAAACACCTTTCACATTTAGACATAGATAGGTATGCCTATGTAGTTAAAGCCTAATTGTTAGTACTTTGGAAATTGATATAGGGTAGCTTTTGGCAGTTGTGGTCTCAGATTGCTTAATCTGATATGTTGCTTAGTTTTCAAAAGATTATAAATAAACTTGCATTAAGAACTCTGAAATGTTTATATTTTCTGTTTTTTTAAATGTTCATTGTTTTTGTGTTTTCAGATTTGCCATCAGAAAGATAATGCTGTTGGAATTTAGGTAAGTTAAAAGGCATTGCTTTGATGAAGATAAGGTGAAGGATGATTTAAGTTTTGTCTACATTTTTTCTGTGTATTTCTAAAAATGGTTAAGAAAATAATTCTGCAGATTCATAGTGTAGCTCAGTGGTACAGCTTGTGTTCAGTATTGGCAAGTCCTTAGCTTCAGTTCCTGGCACCAAAGCAACAAACAACAATAAAAAGAAAATAATTCTAAATCAATGAAGGTTTATGTATTTATGATGGCTGTATTTTGGATATGGGTATATGTTTTTTGTTTTTAAACAATCTTATCAAGCAAACTTGTACCATATTTTGAGCTGTTTCTCGCAGTTACAGTGTAACATGTGCTGAGTAATTTATCTTGCTTGGTTTCTCATGATCTGGTAGAAGTAAATGGAGGTGTATTCGATAGCTATTGTTTTCTTTCTGCTAAGCTAAAGTGTTGTTTCTAAGGCAGTGTTGTTCCAGCCTAGCCACTGACAACCTAAACATTTCAGATTAAAGGGAATGTATAGCTTTTGATTTCATGAAGGTCCCATATGCCAAAAATGAAAATCAGTATTGTTGATGGCAGCAATATTTATTATTCATAAAACTTATATTAAGTGTATTGGTAAATATTTTATTTATCTAGTGCTCATAGCAGTCCTGCAAAGTAAGTATCATCTTCATTTACTGGAAGATAAGATCAGAGAAGTGAAAGAATATGTTAAAAGTAATGAAGTAATCGGTACAGCTGGAAACTGGTGAAGTTGGCTTCACATTCCCAAGTTACAAAGCAGATGAGGCTGAGCCAGAGTGAACAACAGATGACAGAAGACTTAGATCTTTCTCTCAAAGAAGTTCAGATAATTATATACTTGATTCCATACTGTAAAATCATTATTTTTAGAATTATTATGGGTGTAAAAGAAAAATAGAATATTTAATCAAGAAATAAAACTAAAAATGGTCAGACTTGCAGAAATAAATGGCCATTTAAAAAATCACTAAAATTTAAAAACTCAATGGCAAAATAAAATTGCAAGTCAGTCATAGCTAAAGAAGACATTAGTGAATTGGAAGTTAGAGCTGAGATTAGCTAGAAAATGGCAAAGAAAACTAATGATAAAAATAAGAAAGGAGATAAAAAGGCTAGAATGGGATAGTGTATTGAGTTCATAATGGATTTAGAAAGAATGGAAAGGGACATTCTAGAAGAGGTGATCTATCAAAAATTTTCTAGAGTGGATAAATCTTGAGTCTTAAATTTCAGAAATGTAGGTAATCATAAACGGAACACTTCAAAACAACAGAGCTAGAACGAGAATCTTAAAATCTGCTAGAGAGTAAGGACAAACAGACTGTAACTTCTCAGTTATATTAATAGAGAAGGTAGTGGATCATATATATAAAGTTGCCACCTATCTGGAATTCTATACCCAATAAATTGTCATGAAGTGAATGTCAGACAAATAACAATACATTATTAACTGACTAAAATTCTAAATGACATCAGTGGAAAAAAGGAATTTAGACTTGCAAGAAATGACACTTATAAATAGCACTTTAGTTTCTCACTTAGATTCTTTGACCCATTATTTTAGGTGAAATCTTACTTGTTCAGTCTCCTAGGTTATTGCAGTTAACCCAAAAGGATTGCTGAAGGTAGACCCGTGGAAATACCAGTAGGACTAAACTTGTAAAGCATAACAAGGAATAGAGAAACTGTATTAATGTAATGAAGTCTAAAATGTTTACCAGTTTACATGTGTTTGAAATATTACATATTATAGAAATTTAAAACAAGAGCAGACAGTCCTGCTTTTAAAAAAAATTACTGTTTGATGGCCTTTTGTAGCTCAGTATAGTAATTGATGTTTATAACTCTGAAGGGTAAGAAACTTGTTATTTTTTGGAAATGAGAACTACTTACATTTGTTTTGGGAATATTTCCATCCATTATAAAATAAGAGTTTTAGCATCTGGAGACAGGGTCTTGCTATGCAGTCCAGGTGGCCTTGAACTCACTTTGTAGGCTGGTATTAAACTCGCAACAATCCTTCTGACTCAGCCTCCCAAGTGCTGTGATTACAGGCATACACCACCACACCTGGCCAGAGCCTCTTTTTGATTAAGTCTCTTTCTCAGTTCTAGAAGTAATTTTTTCCTAATAGGAGTTGGTGCTGTTGTCTAGACAGATCTATTTGTGAAAGTATCCTTTATATCATTTTGTTTGAATAGTATTTGTCAGATATTTTTGTATTTTACTTTATAAGATTCTTAGATTAAGGGACTATCCAGTGGTCTGATGTAACAATTACATATGTTGCTATGTACATATGTTGATAACCTTTGTTATCTTCTCACCTTGAAAGTGTAGGACTGTCATTTTTGTGTTTTGTTTTGTTTTGTTTTTATCGGTACCGAGGATCGAACTCACGACCGCAACGCTTCCAAGGCAGGCACTTATGCCACTGAGCTAAATCCCCAGGCCCAGGACTATCATTTTTGAAAGCCATGTTTTCTTAGTACAAATTCGAAGCAAGTAGCATTGACCTAGATTACAGGTGTATTTTTGTGAATATAAGTTTTCAAAATATTTTCAGCAGGTTACATTTTTCTAGGTGAGTGACACAGTGTTGGTAATTAATAAAATACTTTGTGCCTTTTTACTCTTTACAGCCAGTATCTTGAAAATTATCTCTGGATGAATTATTCTCCAGAGATGTCCAGCAAGGCTTATTTAATGTCCATCTGCTGCATGGTGAATGAGAAGTTCAGAGAAAATGTCCCTGCATGGGAGGTAACATTTCATTTACTTTTTAGCTCACATATTTAAGCTGTAATGAAGTAGCAGAACTTTTTATTCATAATAAATTAGAGGAGAGTATTACCCATGAATAAACTACTAAGAAAAATATGGATATTTGAAAGATAATTTTTTTTATTTTGACATTTTCTTCCAACTAATTTACTGTAAATTGAAAAGTGATGAGTCCGGAGTTACTTCCTTTGTGCTCAAAACAAATATGGCATGGATTATGAAGACATTAGGGACAGGCAGAATTAAAGTTATAGGTACATACAGGTAGCATTCAACAGTCGAAGCATGTGTCTGTTGTAATTTCAGTTTTCTTCTTCTCCCTAGCTTGAGCTCTGTTGTTGCTTTCTGAAATGTCTGATGAACTGACATTCTTCTGTGCTGATTCAACAGAGCATTGTTCAGTATGGGTCTAAAATGTGAGCTTTCTTTGGCCTCCATAAAATGTTCAGTCCCTTCCTTTCTAATTTTGAAGAAGTGATCTCTAAAGTGAGAAGGTATTTGACATGAAATTTAGAGTCTTTAAGATAAAATCACAGAAGTTCTCTCAAATATTCATCGAGTGACTAATCTTAAACTACATTAGCACTCAAAGTAAACTATGTATCTTGAGTCTTATGAGAGATCCTGTGGATTTTATGAACTTGCTTTAGCCTAGCATAGAAGAGGAAAGGGACATGTTTTGAACCAGGTAACTTGAGCAATTTGCATGTTATGAAGACCACGTTAATCATTAGGGTTTGAAGTAGAGAAATGACAATACAGAAGCTCCCCTTATCTCTGGCACCCCCAGTGGGTATCTGAAACCTAGGACAGTACTGAACCCTGTATATATTTTTTCTGCATGTATAATAAAGTTCGTTTTATAAACTAGATATGGTAGGAGATTAACAGCAGTCATTGTATTATAGAATTACACTGGTATACTAGACTAAAATTGCCAGCCTCACTGCTTTGATGTTTCAGAGCCATGATTAAGTTACATTAATGGTTACTTGAAAGTAGGCATTGTTTTTCCTCAGTAGTCATGCCACTAACTTAGGAGGCTATGTGATTTATGGACAGAGATTGTATAGAGTGGACACAGTAGACCAAGGGATGATTCACTTCCCAGGCAAGATGGAGTGAGACTTCATTACACTACTCAGAGCAGCGTATAATTTATAATTTAGGAATTGAGAGTCAAAAGAGCTACAACTTTTAGAAAATAGAAGTGATTAGGTTTGTTAGGAAGTTGAAGTCACGTTGAAGTTAGTTAATTGAAGAAAAGCGTGTTATTTCTCATTAATCAACCAAACCTGGGCAACTATATATAGTAAGGTTAGAGAGGATTGAGGAATAACTTGGAAGGTGCAGATCATCAAATGGAGTTTAGGGCATTGAGTGTAAGTTACTTTTGTAATACTTCATTGATCAGCTTTCCTGTTGCTAAGACAAAAGCCTGACATACATAGTTTGAAGGTGTATTTGGCTCATTGTTTCAGAGGTTTTGGTCCAAAATTTGTGTTATTTTTCTTTTATGATATTACTGTGTGAGTTATTTTTTCTAAAAAGCCTTAGTATTCAGATTTCATTGCAGTGATTGCATTTTGGAATAAATAAGTGGGGTTTGGTTTCCAGTTTTGACATTCATCTCTAAACGACTCACCATCACAAGTATATGGCAGACATGCCCATTCTGAAAGTGAAGAATGGAGGTAGAAAAGAATAAGACCAGAGCAGAACTAAAACTCAGCAGGGCAAACATTATGTACTGTAGGTCCATTTCTAGAATCTGTGACCTCACCTCTATGACCTTACTGGATGCAACCCATCAGCCTCTCTTGGGCTGACTTGGAGACTGTTTTTTTCCTTGGTGCACTGGCATTTCCAAGGAAATTGAGTCTCCATTGAATTCTTCATCTCCCTTAGTTTCTTCCTTTACCTTGTCAAGGGCTTCTGGCAGGGACTCTGCTCTGTCACACATTTTTGCCTAGCTTCTTAGGCCTTCCTGTGAAATTTGAGTGGAAGCCTCCATGTCTCTGTAACTTTTGCATTCCACATGACTATAAAGTAAGTGGCAGGTAGATAATGCCAGGATTTACTTCCATCATGAGCAGTGGCCAGATCTCCTTGGATCATTGTTGCAGCAGCCTTTGAGTGCTAGATCAAATGAATCCTGAGGAACCAATTCCCTAGGTGGCCCTTATCAGAGTCCAGAGCTCTTTTCTCAAATGAAAGGTTTACCATTTGTACCCTTGGGCTTACAGTGGATAGGGTCTTGCTGGTTCCTGAGATACCTTCAAGATATCTTCTTGTTTTCATCTAGTGTACTTGATTCTTTTGTAGTGACACTAGTCTCATCAGTAACCATATCTTTTTTGGTCTCAACTTTACCTGTGGTTTCTTTCAGACCAAGTTTTTTCAAAATTTTCTGATTTGCCTTTTGTTCCTGATTTTCAACTATTAATCTGGCTAATGGCAACCACTAGTACTCATGCCACGACTTGAACATTGGGCTGCCTTGAAATTTCCTCTGTCAGATCAATTAACCTATTGTCCATAAACTCAGCTTTACTCACAAATCTTAATATATAGCCAAAATGTAGACAAATTCTTTGCTAGAATGTAACACAAGTGGTTTTTAGTTCAATTTTCTATTGGGTCTTCATGCTCATGTATGAAACTTCATGAGCATGGCCTTTACAGTTTGTATTTCTGACAGTACTGATCTTCTGAGTTCTGACCAAAATCACTGATCAGTTTTTTCTTATGACTTTCTATGACTAATGTAGCTCACATCTGTAGTTGTTTTCAAATTCCTCCTGCACACCATTTCTGAATGCTTCAGAAACAGTGGTCTGATACGTTGTGGCAACTTTTCTAGTTATCAGTTTTCTATATTGGTCAGCTTTCCTTTGCTGAGACACACTGCATTACATCTACAATTTAAAGAAGTTTATTTTGCCTCTGAGTTTCAGAGGTTCATGATCAGTAGGTGGATGGGCAGTGGAGCCAGGCTGCACACATCCTGAATGCCAAGAAGCAGAGCACCAATGAAGAAGGGGCTAGGTAGCAGATATAGGTACAGTTTCTATCATTGTGGCCCCATGACTTTATACTTAGAGTGTGCATTACATGATGTCCTAGGCATCTCTCAAGCTAATCAAATTGAGTCAAGATTAACCATCACAAATATTTAGACAATATTGTGTAATAGAGAAATCAAGGGATCTAGAGCAAAGGGGAGAAATGTGTACTAAAGAAATACCTTTGAAATAATTGGAATATGATAATCAAAGTAATGCAGAATTGGAACAAGAATGAAGTAGAACTCTAAGAACAATGTCATGTAAGTAATAAAGTGGAACCGTCAGTACTGTGAAATGGACTTGAGGGCTGATAAGGATTATTTGAACTCCACAGCCGTTGCAAAGTGAGGGAAGTGATGTTGGTGGAGCCTTGGTTTAGAGAAGTGGATGGAAACAGTATAGACCATACATTTGGTATAACTCACATTTGGAGAAAATGAAAAAAATAGATCAAGGAGGCTTAGATGTATGTATTTCTGTTACTTACATGTCATAAGTAAAGAACTAATATAGCAGGAAAAGCTGTCCCTAAGATTAATTACGGTGTGAAAACTGAAATTTTTGCTAAACATACAACTTTGTCAGGAATTCAAATATTTCGGAAGAAAATACAGTTAAATGCAAGCATAATCTGCAGAAAGTAAAACTAATGGAATTAAAGCCATGATTTTATTGGCTAGCTAAAGATTTCTCCAAGTTTCTCACAGTCCTGTCAGAAACCTCTGCTTGACTTGCTATCTCAAAATATAAATAAGCATATGATAGTCCTTTTATATGTGTACAAGTATCTTTTTGTTGGCCAGTAGATTCCTAAAAATCTTACTGATTCTCTTTGAAGGAATGAAAGTAGGTGAGCAAACCAGTTCACAGTGAATTTTTCTGTTTTCAGACCTTTAAGAAGAAGCCAGACCACTTCCCGTTCTTTTTTAAGTGTATCCTGACTGCAGCATTAGCCGAAACTGATGGTGAATTTTCCCTCCATGAACAGACAGTCCTGCTGCTTTTCCTTGATCATTGTTTCAACAGTTTGGTAATTTTACTTTCTGTTTTGGGGAAATTTTCAAGTTCTTAAATTATTTTAATTGAGTTGAGGTGAGAGTACCTTGGTGACTGTCTCCTCTTGTGTGCTAGTGGGAAATAAGGATGGGCTAATACTACAAGTCTGACTTCAGCCACTCCTCGGTAAAGCCATTTTGTAAGATATGTTCACTATTTTGATAGTTTTGGACTTGATCCCTCTTTTTTCCTGTCCAGACTCTAAGAAAAATGATGAGAGTTGAAAGCACTAAAGGAAAGCACAAAAACAAGAAGCCTCAGAGTGTAGTGATTATGAACTTTAACTGATGAAATCTGTGCCATGGCCTGCACACGTCATAGTTTGATGGCTGCTTAGTCATGCCTCATGTCCTGGCTAGCAAGGCAGTAGGGGGGCTATGTTTTGAGTTGAATGACTAAGGCAGGTTGTGGACGATCTTTGACAAAGTCTTGTGTTGTGTGTGATATGCTTTCATGCTTTGTAGATTATCTTCCAAAAACGTGCAGTGTTTTCAGTAATCTTTCATTTGAGTTTCTCACCTGTGGTTATCTGAAGCCTCACATACTTACTTAAAGATTAAGTCCTTCTGAATTGATGGTACCCTCCTATGGAGTTCTCGCTTACATCTAAGATTGGATGTTGATTGAAGTTATTGCCTATTTCTATATACCACCTCACTTGGATCTTGTAAAGGCATAAAAATATTTACACTTCAATGTATGCTGCTGTTCCTTGTTTAACAATTTATTAAACTAAACAGAAAATGGAGATAGACATCTTTTTTTAGAATCAGAACTACAACAGAAATAAAGTTGAATTAGTAAATATTAGTTTGGTGGCAGCTTTAACCATCTGAAAACCTAGTTCATTATGGAAATACTCTATCTTTTCAATATGCTCCGAGTGTTCCGAGTGTTCTTTTTTTAAGGCGGTCATGTTTGTTTTATAAAGTACACTAAATAAACTGACACTGAGCCATGTCTGTAGGAGAAATAAAATATTAGGTTCCTACAGGCCTCTAGTTGTAGCATTTTTGTCCAACTTAATATAGCACTTTATTTTATGTGTATTTCTGTTTAAAGAAGGTTTATTTTTAATACAGATTTTTGATTCATTAACTTCGATCTCACTGCCACAGTTTTCCTGTTCCTGAATGTAAATTATCAAACAGTATTTTCTCAGGCACATCAGAATCTTAAGTCTTATGAACTTTAGATAGCAGTAATAGCACTTCAGTCTTTTCATGAGGTCCACTTTAAACAGTAAAATTACCGGCGAAAGGCACAAAGATGCATGCAGTGTATGAAACACATCACTTTGTTGTGTTACAATTGCTACAAGTGCAGTATAGTCAGCTCACCTTTAGGCGGTAACGTACAGAAGGCAACTCAAGCATTGGCCTCTCCCCAGACTTAAAAATGCAGTACATTACCTATGTAAAGACTTCGGTGGAAGTGCTAGAGTGTTTATAAACTTGTTTTCTTCATGCTTGAATAGGAAGTGGACTTGATACGAAGTCAAGTACAGCAGCTTATCTCCCTCCCAATGTGGATGGGCTTACAACCTGTAAGTATTTAATTTCAGAAATCTCATGTGTGTGTATAAGTAGAAGTTATGGTTTTTAGACTGTGTAGCTTTAACATGGATATAAAAATGTTAAGTAAAAATCTTTCCTGCATAGAAAAGTTACTTAACTGTAGTTTTTAAAGTTTTGATATTTTCATATGCATCCTAATGTGTTTTACCTAATTTCTGTATTTTAAGGTTAAAAAAAGGTAAGAGTCTGTTGCATTTGTACAGAAAGAGGAATAATTTAGCAATGTATAGTTGTTATCTTTATGTATGTCTTTGGATGTAAATGAAACTTGATCTTTTAAATTTCCTGTTACTAGAATGTATATGCAGTTGTAGGTCTGAATAATGTTCAATGTTAATGATTTTTGTTTTTTCATCAAGTCTTTATTGGATAATATGTATGCCTACCTAATTAGCATATTTTAGGAAGTAAAGTAAAGCTAGTTCCATCAGTCTGGGAAGCAGAGGCAGGAGAATTATAACTTTGGGTCCAGCCCAGTCAGTTCAGTGATTGACCAACTTCCTGCCTCAGAATAGAAAGTAAAAGTAGACTGGACAGCAACTCATTTGGAAGGCACTGGCTTCAATCTCCAGTGTCAGTGAAGTGCTACTACTGCTACTACTGATAATGTTAAAATGATCAAATTTCAATGTAACAGTTCTTTCAGAATTCTGTTTCCTACACACATGAGTGTTGACACATCCAAATATGTAGATTCACTTAGTATTTTGGTGGGAGAAAATATGACACATATAAATAATTAATACTGGTAAAAACTAATAGGTTCCTAAGAGGATATACCACTGGTAGGGTAGCATTTCCTTCCTTACTTCTTTTTTGGTCCTGGGGATTGAACTTACGACCTCATGCTTGCCAGGCAGGCACTGTACCTCCTCAGCCCCTCCTGATTTACTTTTGATAGCTTTTTCATATTTATTGACACATTTTGCAAACTTCAGTGATTATGCTTATATTTTTATATTTTGCAGACTTAACTCCTTAGTTTTACAAATAAAAATTAATTTGATTATCGAACTCAAGATCTTGATTATAAAAGACTGTTTCTTCTGACTTACTTTTCGTTAACCACTTGATGATAGTTTACCTCGAGCGTCACTCAGGCAGTTTGTTTGTTTTTGTACATACTATTCTGTGTGTGTGTCACTTAGGCAGGTGTCATTTTAATGAGTCAGTTCTTGTTTTGAATAAATATGATTAAATTGTCATTATTATGCTTATTGTTGTTTTCTAAAAATAAGAAATATGCTAGTTTTGGTCAATCTGTATTTAAATTATGGGACTATGAAATCTAATATTAGAAATTTTCAAAAAAATAATTGTTAATATTTTACTTTTCAGTATTTATCCTGTCGCTTATATTATGTTTATATATTAGGAAGCCTTCTACTAGTCAATCTAATCTTTATCCCTGTAAACGTTGATGTTGTTGGTAATTTAATATTACATCTCTGTTGTTCAGGCACGATTGGAATTAGAATTAAAAAAGACTCCCAAGCTAAGGAAATGTTGGAACTTGATTAAAAAGAATGATGAAAAGATGAATCCAGAAGCAAGAGAACAGTATGTTGGCAGTATTATCCCTCTTCAGCTGTTGTACTGGATTATATGTCTTGGACAGCTCTGTGCTTTGTTGCTTATGTAGTGCTTAGCCCAAATGAATTATGGATGTGCTTTTACTTAGACCATGTAGGAATATTTTCTTTTTCTTTTTTTTTTTTTTTTTTTTTTTTGTCTTTTTCGTTTTTATTGGTACCAGGGCTCGAACTCACGACTGCCTGCTTGCAAGGCAGGCACTTATGCCGCTGAGCTCAATCCCCAGCCTAGGAATATTTTCATAGAGGTCTACAGGAGAAGCCACAACATCACCAGGCTTTGCCTTTCCTTTTCTGTGCACCAGTGATAAATGCCACTGTGTTTTCTTCCTGTTGTCTGCAGTCTGTCTCTTGGGGTGGTTTGTTTTTTCCAAGTCATGAAACTCAGTTCAGCACTTTTTTTTCTGACTCCTTCATTTTTAACAGTAACTTTCATACCACCAACCATCACTCGTTCATTCAAAAACCACTGTTTATTTTGCCAGATACTGCTATTGGCACTGGGATACAGCAGAAAACAAAAGTAATTCTTGCTTTTTTGGATCATATTCTAGTTGGGAAAGATAGCAGTGAACAGGTGAATTATAAACTATGTTAGGTGCTGAACTATGCAAAACATAAAATCATAAAACAATAAATCAAAACAGAAAAATAAGTCAAATATAGGGATTAAAGAAGCAGATCAGTGTGACTCTTAAAGCTATCAAATCCATGTCCAGAGTTTTCAGACCTAAATTTTATACAAAAATAGTTTCATTCTTTTTTTCATCATGGATTCTGTTATGCGTTTTATCAGTACATCTTATTATGTGCTTTATAAATGCTACCAGGGTATTTTAAAAAACTGTTCAGTTGTTTTGACCATGTTAAATATTTTTATCAACATAAAGTTTTGCTATGTACACTTTGAGGCATCAGCTTTATTTTATGGTTATTTCTAGTAGTCATATTTACTTTGGCTTGGATCAAAGTCTGTAGCAACATTTATTTTGGGGAACACAGAGCTGTGTTTGGACACAGAGTTATGATTTTCCTACTTTTAGATGTTTGTTTCCTTATATCTTTTTGAAACTGAGCTGTACTATTTACTCCAAAACAGTAGTTCTTTTTCTCCGTTTTCACTCAGCCTTTTAGATTAACTCCTGTTTTTCTTCTCTTGTGCATGCACATGCACACAGACACAGTATATACGTGCTCAGGGCTTACTGTGGGTCTGGGATAACTTCTTTTGGCTGTGTTCTGTTTTTCTTTAAGAAAATACCTTATAATTCTCTTTCCTGTAGTTATTTATTTATTTATTTATCTATGTTTTGTCTTTTTGAGACAGGGTTTCACTGTGCTATTCAGATTGGCTTTGAATTCCCAGTGATCCTCCTGCCTCAGCCTCCTGAATGCTGGAATTACAGGCATGTGCCTCCAACCCGGCTCTCTTTCCTTTAAATCTTGTAACTTCCACTTGAATTGTCCACATCTACCTGAAATTGTTCTTTTTGACCTTACCAATCACCTCATTTAATGCTTTGGGAGTTTTGTGTTTGTTTTATGTCGTTTTGTTTGAGTTTCACTTGATCCTGTTGATTATGCTCTAGTTCTTGTATATTGTTCCTCCTTTAACAACTTTAGCTTTTTTCCTTTTGAATTTTGTTCTGTCTTCCCTAGTTCCTAAGTTTAGGGTATTAGTGTATCACAAGGATTTATCTTGTATAGTCTTCTAGTTCTCCTCCGCTAGTCCCCAGGAGTTTTTGAGAGAGCTGAGGTTGATAAAATAAGTAACTTGCGTCAAAAGATACAGATCTATACATGTGGCAGAGTTCTAATTTGGACCTAGTTTCTTTGTGTATAATATTTTTCTTTGACAACTTTCTAAGTAAGAAATTTGTAATAATTTATGATTTTAGAATTTTGTGATAAAGTACGATTTTTAATTCTTCATTCCTATGTTATGGAGAGTCCTCAAAGGAGTTTGAAGATAGAGTGATATATGCAGGTTTAAATTCTGGAACAGTGTTTCTGGAAGTTGTAGGTTTTCAATAGGCAAGAGTTAAGGCAAGGACAGAAGGTAGTTATAATACTTGGGCAAGAGATCATGAGAATTTGAACACAGTGGCATTGGAAACAAATGGATGGCGATGGAGAATAGAGAACTGTTCAGTGGGTGGTGGTAAATTGTTGAATTTGAGACTGATACTGAGTAGTTTTCAGACTGGATAATGAGGGGACAGTGAGATATTCACCAAGGTGGGCCTGGCAGTAAAGAGGGTGGCTTCAGTTTTATCGTGTCAGATATTTTTGACATGAAGATTGAGGCTGTAAGAAATGTGAATGATGCATTTGTAGGCACATTAATTGAAACCAGGAGCCTGGGTGAGATTTCTTTAATGAGGTATATAAACCACATGCAGAGGACCCCGAACATAAGGATGTGCCACCAGGTGTTTGGCTGGTGGTCCCGAGGAAGAACTGGAAGGCTGCGTGTCAGGGAGGTGCGTGTGCATGGGAGAGAGTAAGTGCCGCGGTGCCGGGGTCAGTTAGGACCAGCCCTGTCTCAATTTCCAGTTCCATGTCCTCTCTCCATAGCTTTCCAGCTAACACCTTTTCACCTTGATTGCCCTGAAAATACTATCTTTGCAGAATTTAATTTTTCTAAAGAAATTTTACTATTATCTAACTATAATTTAGTCCTAAATCTTTCTGTTCCTGATTTTGTTTTCTGTCCTATGATTATACATCTCCTTACTTGGTACTTCTGCTTGGATGAGTGCCATAAAATCAGATTTAGTTTAACTAAATATTTCTCATTGTTTTTTGTTCCTAAACTTACCTTTATGTCTGATTTCTCTTAATTCTTCCTGCCACTTGGGCTTGAAAAATCCCCAGATCTCTGATTAGCTGCTTATAGCTAGCCAAGCAATCGTATAGAAGCCATCCTTTGTCCTTCCTCTGTTGTCCTGTTCACACTATTGTCATAATTTAGGCCCTTCTAGCCTCCTGACTAAACAGCTACAATAATTCCTGTTTGGTCTTTCTACAGCACTGCAGTTTAAGTAGTCATTGTCATAGAACACTATGTATTTTGCCATATTCCTATTCAGAAGCTTTTGGTGGTTTCTTTGTTCCCATAGGGAACCTTCTAAATACTTTACAGTGACTTAAAAATCTCCAGCTAAGCCGGGCATTGTGGTGCACACAGGTAATACCAGCATTAGGGTTCATGAGGCAGGACGATTGCCGCAAGTTCAAGGGCTACTTGGTGAGTTTAGGACCAGCCTGAAATAGGTAGTAAAACCCTCCTCAAAAAGTAAAAAACAGACAAACAAAAACCAACCAACAACCTCTCACTATTTCTTGTGACCCTCAAATTGCTGGATTAGGTTAGTCATTCTTTCTCTAAGATTTCTCCCCTAAATCCTGTTTACCTTGCTTCCACTTAATTGACAAATATTTTCTTATGAACTGCTAGAACACAACACCTATTTCTGTGACCACAATTTGTACCATTGTTTAAGAGAGTAGATTCTACTATTAGACTGATGCTTGCCAAGTATAAGGTTGAGTTCAATTCATAATACCAAAAAAAAAAATAATAATAAAATCATACTGAACTAGATTCTACGCTCTCTTTTCTATGTGACTTTGGGCAAGTTTACATCTCCTCTTCTTAGGTAACTATAGAGTGAAATCTGAGTGATAGGGCTGTTTTATAATACTGTAGTTAGTATTAAATGAAATAACTTCTATGAAATGCTTGCACATCATAGGTCATGGCAAAGTAATGTGAAGCAGTTTTATTAATTACTAACCTGTGTTACTCATTATCTTTATGTGATAGGACTTAACACTTCTAGTAGACTTTAACCATTCCTCTGTGTATCTAGCAGGTCTGGCATAATCACTTGGATAATATGTGATAAATGTCTGTTGATTAGTTGGTACATCTTAAATTAGGAATGAGTACAAAATTGATTTCTAAACTATCCTTTACTCTTTACCCATTGTAGTCCGTTGTATTTAGTACTTTAATATGTAAAAGTATACAGTTATTTATCTCAGCTTAAATACATAAACATGCATTATAGGACTGAGCCAGATAGTAAAAACTGCAATAAGAAAGGACACATTTGTTAGCTTACTTTGTTCAGTAATCAAAGTGTTCATTTCTTCATGTAGCACTGTGTTTACACAGCAGAAGCTGGTGTTCAAATTATGTTCCCAATGACAGAGAAATGGAACATTTGAAGAGTGTAAGAAAGGCTTATTCAGCATGTAAGATTTATTTTTAAAGTAACAGTTTCTCAAAATACTTTGATCCATGTTTGATTTTAGAGCCTATCAAGAGAGAAGATTTCTTTCACAACTCATCCAGAAGTTTATCTCTGTGCTGAAATCAGTTCCACTTTCTGGTAACTGTCTTCTTTTACTCAATTTGTTTGTGAATAAATATATGTATTCACATACACATGTATGTTCCTTATATGTATGTACATATACATTCAGATATACTATGTATGGATATATGTAGGATTTCACATATATATGGAATTTATTCATCTCTAAAAATATTTGAAAAGAGAATTTGAATTTGGAGAGGGCATGATGCAGGAAATTGGGTATCATAGGTCAGATCAATATAATGATGGCTCAAAATTGTAGATTAGGAAGGAGAGGACTTGCCAATTCATGAAAGATTGAAATGAAAACATTTGATGGTAGGCTGTGGTAAGGGGAGAAATGCAAGAATCAAGACTGACTCCCAAAAGTTTTACTGAAGTTGCTGAATGATTAGAATGATTTTAAATTATATCAACAAAGTGAGCACCCTTTTCTTTTCTAGTTTTTCCAATCAAAACATTAGGATCTCCCTTAAACACTATTTAAAAAACATCAGCATGATTGTTGAAATGTTCATTTAGATACCTAATTTTTTTTGTATTTGCTTCGTAGGCCCAATTTTGTATAGGGACTGATAAACAGTGAACAGGTTTTCAGATGATAGCCAAGTATCATATAGAGACAACAAGAAAAATTATTTTTGAAACAATAAGCTACAAAATAAAATGGGTCAAAGAGAACTAAAGCAGATCAAGTCCATTTATTGATGAAAGCAGTACATAGTGTATAGAGTATATAATATATTGGAATATATTCTTGGTAGTATTAAATACACATGATCCACACACAAAATGTGTATGTGTGTGTGTTATATACATATATACCAAGAGAAGTTAACTATGTTGAATTGTGTAGATCTTTGTAAGCATTTAATGAATGTAGGTAGAATGCAGTCTACTTAGGTATATATGCTACATAAGATATTATTTAATATTTCTTAAGTGGAATATAATAGTGTTTAATAGTTAAGTAGAATATAATAGTGCTTAACGTCTTTTAAGTAAAGCAGCTCCACTCTTAAATCATTTTTATGATTTTTTTATCAGAACATAGCTTTGTTTAACAGCATTACCTACTAATGCTAAGCTTCCAAAGTGAACGTTATAGCTGAAATTCAGTGAGGAATAGATAGCAGTGCTATAAATCAGCTGTACCTAATTTGTAGTGTAATGCACATTTTAAATCTTTTTAAGTGCTTTAAATCTGACGACAAGACAGAACTTGGAGTTCTTGTCACAAATAGTAATAATAATACTTTGAACTACTAATATCTCTCTAATAATCAAGGCCATACAAATTGATACTTCCAATTACAGAATACTTGTGTAGGCTCATCTAGGTTTAAAAAATAAATGGCGGTGAACATAAGGACTACAGTAATTTTAACCTGTGAACAACAACTATCTCTTGCTACTGTTGTTTACATAAGAATGCAACGTTTCTTAATCTTGAGCTTTAATCAAAATTTGTTATGTGGCTGGCAGAGAAGCCAAAAAGATGGTGGAAATAATGTATCAATTCAAAAAGGATGTGAAGGTAGATGGGATAGTTGATAGGCAGAAGGCTAATTTTTAAAAGGAAGATTATTGTTTGACTTTTATAGGCTCATAAAACCAGCATAGCCTTGTCAACTGTTACAAAAGAGATCTGTGTGGGATGGCATCAGATGTTAGGACTACCATCAGAAGGAAAAGTCCCCAGAGTGTACTTAAGAGCCAGGTGATAAGGATATGGTGTTTGTGTTTAAAGTTAGGACAGGGTTTCTGTACTGAATGCACCTGTGACCACCAGAGCAGCCTACACCATATTTTGTTTTCTAATTTTAACTAAGCCATTGACAGTGTTTTGTTTTAAACTGTAAATAATGATGCAGAATAGAATTGGCTTGTTTTGTTTTATTTTGGATAGAAATGTCTTTTTTTTTTTTTTTTTTGGCAGTTATAAACAAAGTAGCAACATAGGACTAGCTTGAATAGTTATAAGTTAAAAATTACTCCTTTAAGTTCTTTAGTTCAGTGATGTGACCTACACTAGGCCAGAAACCCTGGCTTCCAGGTCTGATCTTTGTTAGATTAAGACCTTAATCAGACCTGTTAGGTCATTTTCTTTGGTGTTCAGTTTTTCCTTGGAAAATGTTTATTTAGAGGAATAGTTAAACGTCCTTTTTAGCTATTACATCTTGCTCTTATTTCAAGGTCTGGCTTAATGGGTAAAGCTGCAGGAAAAATTCCAGATAACATTTCCGTATGTTGATGACAAAAATATTTACATTTGTCTCTCCATATAAAGCCTTCCATTTTCCTGCAGACTATAAATAAATAATTATTAGGAGACATTTGTAGGCTGCCTTTTACAAGTCTGGTCCTGGGTTAGTCACTGCTGGAAATCTGACTAAGCAGCTAAAGGGACCTGGAAATTATCTTTTAATTATAACAGTCTTGGCAAGATGGTTTTATCTGGTAAATGCAAGACCATTTCCTGGCATTAGGGGAAGAAAAAAATAAAAACTTGTACTCTGAATGTATTTCATGTCACAGGGTTGTAATTATTTAAAAATAAAAATGAATGTTTTTAAAAATAGTATATTATACTCATGAATAGTTGAAAGTAAGTTCAGGATTTAAAAAGTATTTTATTGCTCTATGTTTCATTGGCATTTCAGTATAAAATAATACATATACCATGGAAAAAATATAGATTAACTTCTAATTAGTTGGTGTACATTTTTGCTACCCATTTCCTATGTACTTTAGTGATAGAGTTGATAGATATGAGGCTTTAGAGTTGTATACAGTAACAGCTAGCTGGCTGTGGCACATGTGCCGCAGGCCTCGTATCTGGTATCTGTAGCTGTGCTTATGCACGTGAAGGAACTTTCAGAAGGCAGTGTTACAGTACCGAGGAAAGTGGAGAAAGTCTGATATAAAACTACCTTCAGATTTTTCAAGTCATTTTTCTAAATCTACTCATTGTACAGGTTTTTTAAAGTTAACACCCCCCAAAATATCTTTGCACACCTGAATTTTGAAATCTACCTCTGACACAGGCTAGATTTTTTATTTTGTCTTATTTATAGAGCTAAATATTAAGGTATAGCCTGCTTCTTAAAAAATACATGTCAAGTTTATACTTTGGATTGTACTCCAATTTTGATTGATAAGAAACAAATGATTTTTGTTTAAATTGTTAAATAACTACCAGTTTTAAGAAATGGTAAACAAAATGACCAAAAAATTCTAACGTTTTTCTCTGGTGTCTAGAACCTGTCACTATGGACAAAGTTCATTACTGTGAAAGATTCATTGAACTTGCGATTGATCTAGAGGTAAGACATTTATAGTGACTTGTTATATCATCGTTAAGAGTACGATTAAGCATTGAAATATCACTTCAAACTGTCATTAGTTTATACCTATCTGAAGGTGACTTAAAGTCACAAGTTTATTGTTTGTTGAGATTTTGAGATGACTGCTCTACTGGGGCTTCTGTTTATTGTCAGTTTTTTTAAATTAAGATTTTCAAAGAAGACTTCATAGTATTAAGGTGTAGGATTTAGTAAAAAGTCTAGATAGAATTGATGTAGTTCAGGTTTAATCCATTTCCTTTTCTTTCCCGCTTTATGAAAAATTGAAAGGAAATCTAATCTTTATTTTGAAATGAATAGTCCCCATATTGAACTAGAAGTCATTTATGATATTGTCATGTGTAGTCTAGCTCTCAAATTGATTTGTGTCCTTTCAATATATAGAATTTTAATAACTTCATCTATTAAATGAAGATAAAATGATGATTTTATTAGTGGTTTTCAAACTGATACAGTATTTATAGTTTCTTATTATCTTCTGAGTGTCAAAGGGATGTGAGGAGAGATAATGTAGATAGAACCTTATAGGGCTTTCTGCCTTTTCTTTCAGAGAGCTCCACTTTTGGGTTTGTATACAGTAAATGCTGGGACTTTTCATAAAGTTTTATTGGAAAACTACTAATTGAGGTGATCTGTGAGATTCCTTCTTGTGCTAAATGTTTTTTAAATTTATTTTTAACATTGTCTTATCATAACTTTTTAAGTTTATTCGTGACATGGACAAGACTCCTTACTTTTACAGAGTGGGTGTTTGAGGAGGCCAGAGGGTGCTTCGCGATGTTCACTTCTAAGTAGACGTCTCCTCTACCTGGAGAGAATGCATGCAGAATTACTGCTCTGGTGTTTGTTTTTCTCTAGGCTTTGCTCCCCACAAGACGTTGGTTTAATACCATCCTGGATGACTCCCACCTTTTGGTTCACTGTTACCTTTCCAATCTTGTTCGTAGAGAAGAAGATGGCCATCTTTTTTCCCAGGTGAGCACTGATAGATTTAAAAACTATGACTGATACAATTTTTAAGTTGATCTTTTCTCTGCTGTGTAACTGTGAATACCAGGGTGTGACACAAAGTAAATTGTTCTAAATATCAAGCTGAATGTAAATTCCTAATTAGTCATCTTAAAATAATCAAGTTTTATTATATAAAATGAGTGCATTTTTGTACAGGTGCTCTCTACCCATAAATTACAACCTTTGCTGTCTATATGAGGTTTTATTATTGAACTAAATTTATGATTTTTATAATGTCCTATGTGTTCACATATTTTGATATTTTAAAAATATGAGTATAATTGCCAGAATCATGTAAGGTGTGCAGTGCATGTTTTGGGATGCAAACACATTGTGAAACTATTGCTGTAATCAAACTAACATATCTATCACCTCGTGTGCTTACAGCCCTTCTTAATTTCTTCTACTTAGAAACAATAGCACAAGTTGAGACATACTCCTAAAAAGAAATGTGCATCACATCTAACTTCTGGAGAAACTAAAATCCTTAAGTGATCACCATTTGAGATAATTTTCTGATTTCTGTATACATAATTCATTTTAGAAAATAAAAATTTGGCAATGTCAAATATGCTGGTTTGTAGTTACTGGCTCACTTAGTGAAGTGTAGTAATGGACATGTACCTCAAGTTTGTGCCAGCATCGTCTCTGGTTATATAATTGACTCTTTTCCCCTGTTCTGTGACCTTTACATGTGCTCCCCTCCTCATTTTCTGCCTCTTGTCTGATAATATTTTCCTTCTACCTTCGTGTCATCCTTTTGAGATTCCACCTAGTAGGGAAAGTTGGTGCTATATTGGCAGGATGGTTTTGTCAGGTAAATTGTGGATTATTTCCTGGCATTAAGAAAATTGAATAGGGTACAATAAGATCCAAATGTAGAAAGCAATTTATTGAGTCTAGTACTTAACGTTTTTGAGTCTGGCTTATTTCATATAAGGCATCGATTTTCCTGGCAGACTGAATAATCTCTCTTGGATTATGAGCAGTAATTTCAAATGAAGTGTGGTCTGTCTTGCCATAGCGTGGTGTTGCCTTAGGTAGGAAAGCAAACGCACTTAATAAGTACATTGCTGTGGATAGGACGGCAAGTATTATTTCACATTTCTTCTAATGTCATGCAAAACAAAAATCTGATAAATTTTAATTCTCTTACAATGAGATCCTAACTAGAAATATAATTTCTGTGAACATTGTTCTTTTCTATCTGTAAGCATTCCTCTTTTTCTCTTTCTCATTTAAGATTTCTGTCCAGTGGTGTGCTGTCTGTAACAGCATATATTAAAATTTTAATATCTGATCTGCTATAGATATGAACTGAAAATAATAAAGATCGGGGCAAATGCATTCAGTGGTCTCTGTTGATGCTGCTGCTACATGGAGAGAACAAGGCCTTTCTAGTAGCAGAACATGAGCTAAAGAAAAGCTTGATAACCAGGGAGATTAAAGGGAGGAATGATAACTTAATGGTTAAGAGCCACATGTACAAAAGAGTATTTCTAATTGCGAATTTTAAAACCCTTAGTCAAAAAATCTACTTAAATGATATAAGATAAAGACTTCAGGAGTTCCCTCTAGTGGTACATTTTTATAATTTTGCAATGATATTGACAGATTTTTTTCTTCATTGAAATAGTAGGCTTCCCTGGCTTATCTCCTCAATGTCTCTTAAAGCACTGGGATTGCTATTAAGCTTTTCTGTGGAAGTAGATGTACAGTACATTAAAGAGATGTAACAATGTATTTGTAAGAAACATACTTCTTGTTCATGTAAATTAAACAGGTTTCACTGTATTTGAAATATTTATTATAATGTTGACATTCCAGAGTGTTTTAGCACCTCTAAAGAAGTATGTATATGAACTTGTTCACTATTTTTATGCTTTATTTGTCTTATGTTCACATGGTCTGTTGATTTCAATGTGTCCTTTCAGCTTCTCGACATGCTTAAGTTCTATACTGGCTTTGAAATTAATGACCAAACTGGGAATGCCCTGACAGAGAATGAGATGACCACAATTCACTACGATAGAATTACTTCTTTACAGGTAATTAATGCATGACCGCCTTTTTATGTCCCTAAAATTGAGTCATACTATAATTTAGATTTTCTATAGATGCAGAGAAAAAGAGATGTTAATTTAATAACATTTTTAGTGTCAAGTTTTTACCTCCAACTTTTTAAATCTTTAATTCTGAGTTCATGAAATCAGTTACTTTAAATACTGTGAATCAATGTACTAATATTTGATACTCAAAAATACTAATTACTGTTATTGAAAGTATTGCATCATATGGCAAGTGGCATATAAGTATCTCACGCACTTCTAAGATAAATACATATAAATAATGAAACTTACCAAATACACCTTAGGTATGTCAAAATTACCTTTGTTTTCCATTACTGGATTGCATCTTGCTCGAGTTTCATTTCCTCTGATAGTGGAAAGAAGCTTTTATTTGTTAATTAAAATAAGTTTTTTCCTAAGAGGCTTTTTTGTGGGAAAAGACTCAAAATTATGATAAGGTTTCTTTTGTAATCATTTCTTTTACCTCAGGAAGTCTCTGTCTCTTTTCCTTCCCAAATACCATCTGAGTATTTTTTAAAGAGACTTTAAGAGACTGTCACCTTGGGGGAAGAGAAATGAACTCAGATGTCTTGTCTGCTTTTCTCAGACCCTAGTTCTTCATCCTTTGGCCTGTACTCATGTAGTGCCCCAGCTAGAGTGACGTGTGGCACACACATGGAATAATGATCTGTTTCTACTACAGATGGAGGCTTTACCTTTGTCCTAATACTGCTAATGCTGTTTTGAGAACCAGCTCTCACTCTGAGGCTTGATAGAAGGCTCAGTTTTGCACTTGTGTGCGTTAACCCCATGGCAAGCTCTTCCATAACTTTCGTGGAGTTTTTTTTTTTTGGTACTGGGGATTAAACTCAGGACTGCGTACTTGCAAGGCAGGCACTTATGCCGCTGAGCTACATCCCCAGCCCCTTCTTGACTTTCTGTGTCATAAATTGAGCACATAAAAACTCCTGGATATTTTCTGTAACGTGGGGTATCAATGAAGACCAGAGATGTTCCCTGCCACTCTGTTATCAAATCCCCATGGTTTTGTGTTTCTGTTTTCTTACTGCTTGTCCCATGTTGTTTGGGAGTGACACCTTACTTGGTCTTCTTTTCCCAGAATTTCAAAGAAAGGTAGAGTACAAAGATACTGTATTGTAGCCTCTTGGGGCCTCTCTCCAGTTGGATTCTCTCTGAGGACTATCTTTTGATCTTGTTAGACCAGTTCTTCTTAATAAAATGTTTGAGTTTTTTCTTTTTTAGTGAACCTAGCATTCATGGCTATTTTCTTTTTTCTTTTTATTTGTTTGGTACCAGGGTTCGAACTCACAACCTTGCACTTGCCAGGTTATGGCTATTTTAATATGTTTCAAATTGGTTTTAGAAATAGAAAACTGGACATTGACTCTTTCCTGCTAGAATAGTTTCTGGTTTTTTGCCATTCTTTTGCTTGCTTTTGGCTGAATAAGGCAGAGCTCATGTGGAAATACATAAAAGAGTTGCACATTAATATTTTTAAGTGTATTATTTCTACTACACAGTGTATAAATTGCAAATGGTTCTAGTAATATGTAAAAATTATTGGTATCATCTGCTGTTTTTTTCTAGAGAGCTGCTTTTGCACACTTCCCTGAACTCTATGATTTTGCCCTCTCCAATGTTGCAGAAGTAGATACTCGAGAATCATTGGTCAAGTTTTTTGGACCTCTTAGGTAAGAAAACATCAGAGAACAGCTTTGTAATCTCTTAGGGTCATGCTTCTTGAATTTACTTCTCTTTGTAGCGTTCATTTGTTCTTTGCACTACTGATTAGTCTTTCTGCTTTATTGTATTGACATCTGGAACCAGTGTTTCTCTAGCAGTTTGGTATCTGTGAGTCACTTTAATTATCCAACTTTTTTCATGTTTAAGAGAGTTGTATTGTTCATGACTTACATCAATTTTTTCTCATTTTCTTAGATCTTAAATTTTTCTTAGAGATTCAGTTGGTCATTCCCATCAGTCAAAAGCAAATGGGATAGAAACCAATAAAGATATATCATGTGTGAGTTTAGCAATAGGATTTAGGAAGATTTTTGCAAGCTAAAATTTACAGGTAATAATATTCTACCGAACTTAGTTGTCTGCTAATATACTTTTTGTGAAAATAGTAGTAGCGTAAGTTTAAGAGGCGATATACCAAATGTTTAACTAATCCTTGAAGCAGTCATACTAGGAGCAGGTGCCATTTTACAAGAACTGTAACTGGGGTACAGAATAGGTAATGTGCTTAGATTACACAGCAAGTAAGGGCAGTGACAAAATTTAAACCTAGATGGTCTTAAGTTTTACTGTTGTACTTCCTTAGCTCCCTGTTTTTAACTATGAGGAAAAATTTAGTTCATTTTCTACTTGAAGTAGAATAAATTTCACTCTTTATTTTTTATTTAAGGAGAAAAAAAAAACAGAAAAAGGGTACAAGTTATACAGAATTTCAGAAAAACTAAATAGTAGGAAATCACTAGTTAATAGATTACATATTGTTATCTTAGAAATACTTTTTCAAGTTACAAAATTAAAGTATGTAAAGTGGACTTTGAAACAGTGAGACTGGAAACAGTTTTGTTCAATGATCCAACAAAACTCAGTAATATGGTTATCTATCTTATACACTTAAATATATATGCAGTTATATTCTTTAGAGCACTTTCTTTTCCTTTCTTTTGTACAGTGACAATTACACGTTTTGGGTTTTATTACTCCCACAATTCTTACTACTTTTTTTTAAAGAGAGTAAAACCAAATGTGACAGAACAGAGTCAGGCAAATCAAAAGGATGGACATAATAGATAATGTAAAAACAAAATACTAGGTGATCAACAATGGTTACCATACTGCCTCTTGCTATCTTAAAAAGAATTGCCTATATCATCAGTTATAATAAAATTGAACAGTAAAGAATAAAACCAAACAATTGGAGACATTACAGGACTTTAAAAGAAGATAATAGTCAACTGGAAGTCATAATGAATCTTATTGTCTTTACAGTTGTTGCCTATACTTTCGAACTTGGTACTATCAAGCAAAGCAGAATAGAAGAAAATCAGTCAAAGCAAGATGGTGAGGGCTATACAGGTTTTCAAATCAAGTTAATAGGAAATCAAAATAGGTTACTATAATGTATCCTGCTATTTTTTAATTTTTTCCCTTAATTCAAAAGATAAAAATAAAAAAGTAAATAATTAAAAAAAGATTTAGATAAAAGAGGGGATAACAACAAAACAGCGTAGGTCAAAGCATAACCATTTAAGCAATATAGTGTTTCACCACAAGATATCCTTACATAAAAGTAGTTACCATAGTGTCTCTTTCCTTGAAATCTTTGGGTATAACTTTGTATACTGTAGCACCAAACATATCACGACAGTGTAAAACCATTCAAGAGAAGGACAGTATTACAGGGTATTTAGAACCAACTATCAGAAAATGAACAGCCGTTTCTGTATAATCTCCTTGTCTATAAAAGTTTTTGCTTATGTTACCACATATAATAAAGTACAATAAGATACAACCTGTTAAGACCGACAGAGACAGAAGAATAAAAGCTTGATGGGACTTCAAAGCAAGATGATACTAAATCAGCACTAGCTATTATGATGTGTTGTTTTCTCCAAAATAGCTGTTCCTACCATCCAATCTTCTCTGCCTCATTTCTGTTGAGCTCTTTTTCTGTTGTTTGTTGTCAGTTTGTCTTCTTCATTTTGCTTTCTGCTCCATTCATTGTGGCCTCTCTGCCACTGTTTCTGAAGTCTTGGTATTTTCCTTTTTTAGAATATCCTGCAATATTCTCTGTAGAGTTGAATTGGTGGTTGCAAATTCCCCTAGTTCCTCTTTATCCTGGAAGCACCTTGTTTTTCCATCAATTTCTAGGGAAAGTTGTGCAGGATATATCAATCTTGGCTGGAGGTTGTTATCTTTCAAAGCTTGAGTGATTTCCCCCCACGCTCTTCATGATTTGATGGTTTGTGCCGAGAAGTCTGCTGTAATTCTGATGGGTGTTCCCTTGTAAGTGATCTGTTTCTTGTCTCTGACGCCATTTAGTATTCTGTTCTTATATTGGATTTCTGGAATTTTGATTATTATATGCCTGGGTATAGCTCTGTTTGGGTTGTAGGTGGCTGGTGTCCTGTATGCCTCATACATCTGAGTATCTTTACCTTTTGCTAAATTAGGGAAATTCTCTTGGATTATTTCTGTGAATAGCTTTTGTAGTCCATTTGTTTGTGTCCCTATTTCTTCTTTAATGTTCTTAATTCTTAAATTAAAGATCCTCTTATCATCTTCTAGCCTTTGTATTATTGCTGTTTGTTTTTTGTTATTGTTAAGAAGTTTTTCATTTCATGCTCCCAAATTACAAATCTGCCCCCCAATTCAGATAATCTATCCTTAGTTTCTTTTAAGCTGTTATGCCAGCTTTTGATAGAGTTTTTAGTTTCCTGGTAATCTCTTTGAACCTGCTTCACATATTCTATGTTTTGCCTATTTTCTCCATCAAACAATTCTCCCCTTTTTTTCTGTTCTTCCATTTCACCCTCTGTTTTTTCTTGGGCGGTGCTTAGCATTTCTCTAACTGTTCTACTTACATCTTGCTTTATTTTGTTAAATACTTCATTTTTAAACTCATCTATGAGGCTCTGGAGATATCGCTTTATGTCTATTGGTGCCGTGTCTGATATTGCATGTTTTCTGTCTTCCTTTGCGTTTCCCTTTCCTGGATCAGTGTTCTCAGGATTGGGGAGTAAGGACCCTTTCTTGTTGCTTCCTCTTCCTATACTTTTTATTCCTTCCATACAAGCGAATGTAGGAGGCCCAATTTTTTTCTCTGTTTCAGTTATGGTTTGAATCGTGCCGGCTAGGTGTTCCCGCCCACTGCAGTGTACTAGGGAGACACAGACCTGGGCAGCCTCTGCTGGGCTTGCCCCTCCAGGTCAACCTACGGAAGGCTTCACTGCTAGGGTGCACCTCTAGGTGGTGGGACCTGCTTTGAGCTAGCCTACTGGGTCTTAGTCAGCGGCGTCACACAGGCCATGCACTTCCCACCAATCCTACTTGAAAGGGGAATATGTGACTAATGTCACTGCAGCATCCTGTTGGCAAGTCTGCCCAGTCCCAGTATGTCTTTTGCTGGAGCCTCCTACTCTTATGAAAGGGTCCCCGTCCCGCTCACTCACCGCAAGTCGATGTAGGGCTCCCTGTTGGTCCCACTCTCAACTCCGTTCACAGATTCCTGCTCTCAGAGCTTTCGCGCATCTTTCTCCCTGCCCACCAGATTTGGTTGCAGCAGCGGCAGCAGGAAACTCAAATCGCGGCTTCCAGTGGCTCGGGTTCTAGCTTCCACGCTGAGATTTTATCTGTTCCTGTTGTAGCACCAGGATTGGATTTCCAGTTCGTTTCTCTTAGCTTAGTTCATTCCTGGGTCAGCAGGGTGTATCTCTCCTTGCTTAGGACTCCTCGTACCACACCATTCCTGGATTTTAAGTGGGGTATCTCAGAGAGCCTCCATAGCTGCTGCTATCTATCCGCCATGTTCTTCTGGAAGTCCAAAAGTTATATTACCATTCTCCAGAATGAACCATATGTTAAACTACAAAACACGGGCTAGTGTTACAGCTCAGTGACACAGAACTTGCTTGGCAGGTGCAAAATCCTGATTCCAGTGCAAGCATTCAGCTGTTTTTATTTCTTTTTTCTTCTTCTTTTTTTTTTTTAATTCAGTAGCTACCATCTCAGCCTATATTTCTCCCGATCAGCCAGTTGCTTGGAGAGGCAGGGCCTTGGCTCTTCTTGCCTCCCAGACTCTTGATAAAAATTCAGGATGGTTTAGATACAGAAGAAAAGTTCTTCAACATGATAAAGGCCATTTATGAAAAATAGTTTTTGTGGAGATTTCAGTCCATACTCAGTTGGCTCCAAGGCAGGGTGGCATGGCAGGATCTGCTCTTTCTTCTTATAAAACATGCTAATAGAAATGTGATAGTACATTATAATTTAAATTTACATTTCCCTAATTGATGACTCAAAATGATAAGCATCTCTCTATGGGTTTACTGATATCTTTTTGTTAAAGTAACTATTAAAATCTTTTGCTGTTTATTAAATTTTCTTGTTCTTGAATTGAAACTTCTCAACAGCGTCTTGTCAGAGGAATATTAATCATCAGTATTTTCTCCCAGCTCACAGCTTGACTTTTCTTTCTCCTAATGTTTTTAAAAGAACATTTATAAATTGATAAAGGCCAGTGTAGCATTTTTTTTGTTATGCATTAGTGTGTATAGAAATCATGGCAGAAATCAGTCATCAAGATTTTCTACTACAAATTTTAGTTGTGACTTAAGTCTGTGATTCATTTTGAATTAATTTGTATTTATGATGCTACGAGGAGTAAGTGTTCCTACTTTGCATTTATATATGCACTTCATACAGCATTGTTGAAAAATGCAAAGTGAGACAATGATTTTTCAGCCCCTGGATTGGCAAACTTGACTATTTAGTGTCCACTGGAAGAAAAACAAACAGTTCTGTTTTGTTGCTATAGGTGTAAATTGTTAGTCTTTTCTAAAGGAATGTATCAGACTGGGAGCTTACAGCTCAAGCTTTTCTGGTCCTCAGAAAAAGTACAAAACATGTCATATAAAGCTGAAAAAGGGTGCTCCTGTAGTTAAGATCTTGATTGAGCTTGATGGTCTGTCTTCACACAGATGTTCGCTACATAATTCTTGATTTAAATTAAAGGCCAGAAATTTAAATTAAAAGACTTGTGGATTGTTGGCTCAGTCTCCAGCCCTGTGGCACCACAGTGAGGGGTGGGACCGAAGGGGCATGTGTTACATCCCCGGGGTGTACCCTTGAAGGGAGTGTTAGGAACCTGGCCCCTTACTTTCTCCTCCTGCCCCTTCTTCCCTTCCCAGTTTCTCCTTCCCACCTTCCCTTCCTCTTCTTCCTTTCTGTGTCCTTGGCTCTCTCACCTTCTCTGCTTCATGAAACACTCTTGTGTTGTAGTGCCTAAAGCAACTGGGCCAAGCAGCCATGGACTGAAACGTCTCATGCTCTGTGCCAAGAGAAATCTTGCTTCTTTTAAGTAGATTTATCTCAGATACTTGTTATAGAAGTAGAAAAGTGATTAACATAAATACTGCAGAATTCTTGATAATGGCCAAAATTTAAATTAAATATCAATAGGAGAGCAATATAAAAAAATAGTATAGAACTCTATGCAGTTCCTTCAAAGAGTGAAATATATCTGTAATTATTATAAAAAATATAATTAGATTCTCATATAAAAATGAATAACCTTATCAGTCTCAGTTTGTTTCACTTTTAAGTAGACAATGAATTAAACAGTTTTCCTGGGTGATGGTAACTGAAAATGGAATAGCCACCTTGAAATTTTCTTTTAATCATGTACTTATTATTTGATCTAATATATATGTGTGTGTGTCCAGGGTATAATTAAAGATTTGCTTAGGATAAGTGAAAAATGTATGTTCACACAAAAATCTCCAGAAGTGTTACTAGTAGTTTTATTCAAAATTGATAAAAATTAACCTTTAATTAGTGAATAAATAGACACTATTATATCCATGTAATAGTATACTACTGATCTTTATAAAGGGACAAAGTACAGTATTCACAATATGGGGTACGTTATGCAGCTAATGCCAAACGGCTCCTAAATGTATGATCCATTTATTTAACCTAGAAAAGAAAAAGTTGCAGAAATTGAGGTAAATAAACAGTTGCCTAGGGCTAGAATGGAGAAGAGGCTTGCTTTAAAATAAAGTGACTAAACTTTCTATATTAAGTAATGAAAAACTGTCAGATTCAAAGCAATGCAGTTTTTTTAATTCTAATTTTTCACTTGGCAATAATTACCGATTATTGTCTTCCTTGGAATTCTAAGCTCATTCAAATTTGAAAAAATACTGCTGTTTATTCAACAGTAAATATGTATCACTTGTCATTCTTCCATGTGAAAATTGTGTACAAAGTATGTATTTTCCATTTTGTCACAGACTTTTTAAACAGTGGATATTTAAAATTAACAAGTTTAATAAATCCTTCATCGAGGGCATTCTTGAATAAAATTTGGTTTTCTTTTTTTAAAGAAAAGGAAACAAAAAAAATACATGGAGATAAAAAAAAAGGGTAGAAATAATACAAAATTACAGACAAACAAACGGTAAGAAATTGCCGGTTGATAAGTTACATATTTCATCTTAGAAATAGCTGTTCAGGTTATAGAATTAAAGTATTTAGAATGACATTCAAAAAGTGACCCTACAAACCATTCTGCTCTATGATCGAACATAAGCTCAGTAATATGATTATCAGTCCTACACATTTGTTTTACATCTCAAAGAGGGTAAGATTAAACATTTGGTTTTCTTAAAAAAAGATATAGAAGCAAGGAATTCTCTACTGTTAGCACAGGCTGTGCTGCCACTGCTTTGGTACCGTCAGCTCAGTGAAAAAGCAAACACTGAAAACATGCTTGCAGACTGCCTGAGAAGTTTCCAGACACATCAGAGGTTTAGAGAGTGTACTTTGAAAACTAGGCATTAAACATCTTTAATTGATGATATTTGATGTTCTCTGTCCGTGTCATAAGGGATTATATTTACTTATTAAACTCTGTAAAAATACCTTTCAAAAATGAAGTTGCTGTGTGTCTCTTCTTTCTGCAGTTCAAACACACTCCATGAGGTGGCATCATACCTCTGCTTGTTGCCAACCCTTCCTAAAAATGAAGACACATCTTTTGATAAAGAATTTCTTCTAGAATTGCTGGTAAATATTAATTTTCACTGAATTTTTCATGTGATTTTCTTTGCCTTTTTCAGTGATTCGTAACAATCTGGGTTGTTTCAGATTTCTTCTAGACAAAAGTTTGGGTAGTTAAATGATCTAATTTTGGAATTCTGGTTTTTTTGTCTGATTCATTTTTTCCATTTTTTAAAATCAAGTCTTTCATTTCTTAAAAGAGCTTTATGGAAGGAATTCATTATAAGCAGATTTATGAACAGTTTGTGTTGTAAACACTAGATTCATGCAGCAGGGAAGCATAGGTTGATATCCTTCCATTCTTTTCAGAAGTCACAGTTAAACACATATACATACATGTGAATATATAGTCATATAGTTTATTTTCTAAATCACTTAAATATAGTACTTGAATATTAGCCCATACCTTTTATCACTAGAAAATCTTGGGGATGAATCCAGTTTTATGTATATTTTTTTCAAACTTAAATTGAGTCATGCTGTATTGCTTTGCAGCTTTTTAAAAAATTTTAAGTTTTGAGTTTAGGCCATTGTATAGTATAGAATGTTATATGTTTAACTTCAATATAATATTTTATACAGTGGAGAAGTATTTAACCGTATCCCTACTAAAGAGAATTTCAGATTTTGACAGTTTGACTTACATTTGTCAGGATACAGTCATTTGCTGTTTAATGCCCCATGTGGGTGTTCAGGAGAGAAACCTAGAAGTGTGTGCTCACAAAGTATAAGATGCTTCCACAGGGTCTTCTAAAAAGTACAGAGATTCCCGCCAGTGATGAACGAAGGCGTATCTCCCCAGTTTTGGAATTTTGGTTCTTCCCATTTTTGCCAGGTTAATGGGTTAAAAAAAAAGTAGGTTCCTTTAATCTTCTGTTTCCTGACTATTTAAATTTGAGCAGCTTTTTATATATTTAGATATTTTTGTGTCCACACAAACATACACCATGCCGATATGTATTTTTTCTTACATACAAAGTCATATGTACACTGTGATTTATTTTCTAAGCTAATAACTTCAACATAAGATGTGAAAACATAATCCCTCACTGCAGAAAAAAAGATGTGTTACTTTTAGAGACAGAGACAAGAAGCTATAGCAGATGTTTAGAAGCCCAGTGACCAGTATTTAAGTATCATTTGGAGAGAAATCCATGGGCAGCATTTTAAACTAACTGAAATATGGAAAGTTTTAATAAAGAACGTATCTTAGGCCACTGTCTTTACCTTTCTTTATACAAATTAGTTTTTATTGTTTTTCATGTCTTGGTGTGTCCTAAGGATTCCTTTTGCAATTTTCTGGCAAAATGAAATTTCTCTTAAGTTAGGTTTTAGGGGTTAATAATAATAAATCTTCACTGAGAATAGAAATGTAGATTTTTTTCCTAGGAATCTTTTTAATAGAAAATAGGTTCAAATGTAAAGTTCATTCTGTGCCTTTTGGCTCATCTTGAAATTTTATCCTTAAAATTTAAATAGCTATTTCAAAAGAAAATAATTTTAAAAATTTACAATGATATAATACTAGCTTTTGTCTTCTGCCTTTTCTAAAAATTGTCCCTCAACTTTGGGTTCTTATGATATCCAAGTTGTGATTAAAAACTTTAAAGTGTGTGTATGTATATATATATAGCTCAGGTATGTATGTATATATATATAGCTCAGGTATCACAATATCTTTATTCCTAAAATAATGCTACCGATAAATAAATTTTTCAGATGTTGTTATTTTAGCATTCTTAATTAGGGAACAAAGTATTTTTACATGTGAGATTACTTGTAATAGTAATATATCAAGTATGTACTTAGTAGTACCTACTATTGTAATATAGTTCGTAGAGTGTAGGAGAAATGAAAACCCAATCCATCTCTCATTTTATAAGGGAAAAGAAGGACTAAGGTTGGGGGGTTGATAAATTTTTGTACGTTGTTTAGCTAGTTAGTGTAAGATTGAAAACTAGCGTAGAAGTGGAATCTTGCATTTTTTTCTCACATTGATTAATACTAAGTTTTGTTTTTGTTTTTTGCATTGGGGATTGAACTTACAACCTCGCACTTGCCAGGCAGGCACTGTGCTCCTGAGATAAACCCCCCTCGCCAGTACTAAGTTTTTAAACTCAGAGTGTGCGAGAACTTTGGCACTGTTTTACAGTATTCTATTTCCTTTCTATGAGAACCCTGAAAAGTGAGCGCACCTCTGTTTCACATAAACGGAAACTAAGGATTGGATGTCTGGAGTAACTTGCCCAGCTTTAACATTGCTTGTAAAGAGAAGAATGGGGATAAGAACTCAGTTCAGATTCTGAAGCACAAAGCTATGAATACTTTTATATTTGATTAAATGGAAAGAGAAAAAAGGTCTTATTAAAGTGCTGTAATAACTGAAGGACATGAAAGTTCTCACTCCATAGGCTGTGGTGAATTTCTCTGTCAGTTACTTTTGACTGACTAAGCATGCCCTTACCTTCTCCGTGGGCCTGTTTTTCTTTTAGGTATCCCGTCATGAACGTCGCATTTCTCAGATTCAGCAGTTGAATCAGATGCCTTTGTATCCAACTGAGAAAATTATATGGGATGAAAACATTGTCCCAACTGAGTACTATTCTGGGGAAGGTACAGTAAAGAAATACAGAATTCAGTGTAATATGAAACTTAATTTAGAATTCATCAGATGTAATTGAAAATATAGAAGTCAGCTCTATGCATTAGATAATTTTCTGGGACAACTTTAACTTAACATTAAAAGCTAGAAAACAGTGTTTTGAATACTTAGCATTAGGTTCTTTATTAAATTTAAACATACATATATTTCTCCGTAAAATATGACCATAAGACAATAATAAGACTGTTTGAAGGATATTTAATAGCACAGGAAGTGTAGCTTTCGTTGTGTCACCATAATGGGTTGTGTTTGACAGGGCTTTATTTTTCTATCTTTAGAAGTTCTCTTGCGTTCTCTGTTGAGCCATGTAATGACCACCAACGCACGTTGTCATTAGTTAATAATAAACCTTTAGTTTTGATCCAAAATGATAGAGACTTTTTTGTTCACAAATCTATTTCACCAGAGTTAGATCTAAATCTTTTTGCTCATCTTCTGAGGATGAGTATTTGCCACAGCTGCATACAAACTGGAGTGCATTATGCCATGATTTGAAGGCATGTTTCAGAAGATATTCCAGAAAATCTTTTAAACAGTGGTATCATTATTATAACAGATGTGACTGTTTGAAAGAGCTTACAACTAGAAGTACTGGTACATTTATTTGAAAGAAAAATTACTTTGTAGTCATATTCCAGTAAACATAATTCCAGTAAAACCAGTGCACAATTTCTGCTAGGTTTTCGAGGAGGCAATCTACATGCTATTTTATATTCTCACAGCAGTTAATGTGATTTTTCTCTTTTAGGGATGCATACTTAGGTGAAAAAACCGTATACAAATTGGAGCTAGTGATTGCTGTAAAAATCACTTTCAAGTGGAGGCAGGGCTGTAACTGGAGAAGGGCACAAGGAGAGTCCTAGATAGTGAACAGGTGGTTACAAGGTTTTATTTTACAAATACCTTTTACTGGTATCTGTATCCCCTTGTATCCTTGCCTTTTCCTTCTGTTGAAGAATATGAGCTGTTCAGTCTGCAGTCTCCCATGGCACAGACTTTGCAGACTGATTACTCTTGTGCAGTGAACCATGCTTCTCTGTTCATTTTTCTTAGAAATTGGCACCTAGGCATAGACACTGAGGCAGAGTGAGGTTCCCCTCCTTTGCTAGGTGCCTGATGGTGGTAGGAGCACACACTGTTTGCTTCTCTCTTTTTTGTGATATTAGTAGTCATTGACATATTGATACACCTAGATTTTTTTTTAACTCAGTGAAGGCTGCAAAGTGATAATTTTGGTTAATTTTGATTTGGCTGGTTTGGTTTTATTTTTATAAAAATGTGCTATCAAAAGAGATGCCTTTTTTCACCCCTGTTCTTAAAGAAATGACATTAAATTACAGTCAGTTTGCTAATATCAGTGATATAAAATTTTGTCCAGTATTACTTTACCTTTAAATTCTTTCATTATGGCTTTGATAGTGTAAATAAGGATCATGAAGATACAATTTGCCAGAAAAATTTGAGTTTTTTTCTTTGATAGTGCTGAAAGAATACTATTGTTTAGTACCATAATCAGAAAAGAAGTTTCAGTGACATGTATGCAATGCTTTGTCCTTAAAATCTAGCCAAAAGAACAAATCTGAAGTAGTAGATTCCCAATAGTAATCATTGGGAATCTGTTTTTATTTATTTATTTATTTCCAAATCCATTTTATTTCAAGAAGAAAAAAACTACAACAAAATTTCAAAACATGTCAATCAGGGTAACAATGGCACCTACATTGCACATTGTCATCCCCAAATCATTCAGCCAGAGCACAGGACATCTGCATTCAGTTGTCCAAACAATCCTGGCACAGTTCCTTCTCTTCAGTGAATTAAAAGGGAATCTATTTATGCAATATAGTGTACTACTTTAGTTTTCATTTTGTCATGAGCTGAGTTTATGGCACTATTACTTTAAAACTTAGCAAATACAAATTAGGTTTTGATAAAAGAAGACTGCTATATGTAGTTCAAACTGGTTTTGAACTCTCATGTCGCCTATAGCCCAGACTAGCCTTAACTCCCTGCAATCCTCTTACTTCAGTTTCCTGAATGCTGGGATTATAAGCATGTGCCACCACACCTGGCTATAAGAAGACTTTTTAGCTACTTAATAATATTCTGAAGTTGAATATCTTTAAATATTTTTAAGAAGCATTGTTTGCATATGAATCACTGATATGCTGATTATGTATCAGAGTAAAATTCATCCTTCACCTACAGTTCTTAACAGACATCACATGTTAATCTGGTTTTAATTCTGTGTGAAAATAAAGATAAAGAGTTTCTCAAATATATTGCATTTCAGACATCATTAGGTTCTAGCCACATTTGTGGTGCAATTGTTTTTTTAATTCATTGAGCAATGACAGATTAAGAACGATTCAAATGTGGACATTATTTTCCTTTTCAGGTTGCCTTGCTCTCCCCAAGTTAAATTTGCAGTTTCTGACTCTTCATGACTATCTCCTAAGGAATTTTAATCTCTTCCGCTTAGAATCAACTTACGAAATTAGGCAAGACATTGAGGATAGCGTCAGCAGAATGAAGCCGTGGTTAGTACACTGATTTACTTGTAATGAAAAGATGTATGTCTTTCGGTCAGAAAATTCACAGTGTGTTTAAAAATAACACACTTGGCATGAAAATGTCTTCTACGAGATACTTCCTTTTTGAGAATTTCTGTAATGTGAATTAAAATACATCAGTGTGCCAAAATATAAAATGCCTTTCTAAGTATTTAGACATAGGGCTGGTACGTGAGGATGAGGGAGAAGATGGAGAAATATGGAGGACACCAGGCTGGACCTTACTAGAAGAGTAAAGGAGGAGTGTATAGTCCTCTGTTAGGTGGATAAAATGGATAGTGTGAAGTCCTGAATGAAATTTAAAATAACAGGGTCTCCTACCCCAGCCACGCTTAGGACTGCTGCCTGCAGTTTTGGTCAGCATCTCTGTAGGAATCCGCCGGGGATGAGGAATGTGGCTGAACAGCAAGGGCCGGGCACACTGGCAGGTCTTTTCTGGTCCTCTAAGCATAGAGTATGTTGGAGAGACCCAAGTCAACTGAGTAGATCTAGTTGTTTGAGCAACACTTCTGTTTAAACTTAACTCTGTACCCCACTGTTCTTGTCTAGAATTTATTTAGCTAAGGAAATTCTCATTCTGGTTTTGGTAGACAGCTCTTGGTTATGATTGTTTTGGGGTTTTTTGTTTTGTTTTTTGAGACAGAGTCTCACTGTGTAGGTCAGGCTAGTTTTGAACTGACTGTGTAGCCCGGACTGGCCTCAAAATCGTGACAATCTTGCCTCAGCCTTCCAGGTGCTGGAATTCTGGGGCTGCACCACCACACCTGGCTGCAGCGTGCGATTTGTGAAGGTCACTGTGGTTTTTTAGACGTTACTGATTTTGAATAAATGCTCTTTATTCACTATCTCACTGAAATAGATGAGCATGTTATGTATATCACAAATACGAATTACTAAAATTTTGTGAAATGAATTTTCTTTACCGTATAGTCATACCATGTACATACATACAGTTATACTGCATTCTATGTGAAAACCTAAATCTTTTTAGAATGAACTGATTCAGGTATCTTGCAGACTTAGACTTTTCTCTTTGCTAATTACAGAGAGCTAATGTGGACACTGTGATTATGGTCTATTTTTTCACTTTCATATTTTATTTTATACACAGTTCTATTTTTTAATTATTATGTGAAAAGTTATTCTGGGTCAGACTGTAAAACACAGAGCAAAGTACTTTTGACTTAATAATCAGTTGAGTCAGTGAGCAGGCTAGCACTATGAAATTTATATGCCCGCCCTGCTGCTGCTCATCCCTGCCCACAGCTCTGCTGAAATCATGGCGTATTGTTCAGACCCCGCGGGGGCGCTTGCTCAGAAAACTTACTGAAGTTTACCGTTCCCGTGAGTTTGTATGTTTAGATTTAGTGCCTAATTTTGGCCACTTTGCAAAACAGAAATTTAGTAACTAGTAGTTCAACAAATAGAGTTCACTTATATTTTATTTAAATGACAAAGCAGAAATACTGAAGAGTTTCTGTGGTTTATTAATAGAGGAAAATGTTTTAATTACATCTTTTTTTGGTAAGAGAAAGAATATATAATATTTGGAGTTAATTCATTAACATTTGTCACAGGTTTTCTAAGTTTATTTTCCTAATGCTTGTCTTTGAAAACTGTTAAAAAAGTGATGAGTTTGAAAAGGGGGCCAGTCTTCCTTCTAGACCATGGATCCTGCAGGTGGAAAAGTAGCGGAGGCATGTTTACTCTTCTCATGTTTCTAGTGATTATGTTTTCAGGATGCTGAAATCATGGGCAGCAGTATTTAATAAGGGTTCATAAATACCCTTTCTTTCTACACAACCCATGCCTTTTAAAATTGTTGTAGTGCTAATTAAGTCACTGGATTGCAGAACTTTTTCTTTCTTTCAAGTTTTATTTTGAGACACAAAGCCTTTACAGTGGATGTACTTTATTTTTGTTAGCATGTTACTTCTACTATTTGAATGCTACCATAGTTTTTATGTTACAGATTCCCCAGGTACACTTCAGTGTAAAAACTAAAGCAGTCATTAAACTAACATAAGAAACAATGAGTATTTGGATGTTACTCGTTCTACTTTTTACTATTAGCTTATTTTTTCCTCCCATCCATGGCAATTTTTCAGAAAATATATTTAAAGCAGCTTATAGAAATACAGCACAAAACATAATAATAGCAGTGGGACTATTTTATGGAGAAAGGAAAGAGAAGAATATAAAGTAAAATTAAGTAAAGCTTTCCATCAGAAAGGAAGGAGAGAAATTAAATAAAACTTAAGTAAAGCTGTCCTTTAGAAATAAAAGGAGAAATAAACAAAAGCTGAAAGTATTTACCAACAACAGATTAGCCTTTGAAGAAATGCTCAGGGGAATTCTTCAAGCTGAAATGAAAGGATCCTAAACAGTAACATGGAAGAAAGCCTGACTAGCTAAAGCAGTCTTGATCAAGAACAATGCTGGAGGCATCATGCTTGATGAATTTAAATTATATTATAAAGCTACTCTAATCAAAACAGTAGGCTACAATCATAATAGGCACAAAAGCTAATTAAAAAAGAAAAGAAAACTCAAGAATAAACCCAGACACATATAACTACTAATCCTTGATATATAAGCCAAGAATGCAAAACAAGGGTTGTTTGTTTCAATAAATGATACTGGGAAAAATGAGCATGTGTATGCAAAAAAGTGCAGTTGGATCCCTGATTTATACCATACTCAGATGTGAACTAAAATAGACTGCAAACTTACACATAAGACCTAAAACTATAAAGCTCCAAGAAGAAAGCACAGAAAAACTGTAAGGGCACTGATCTTATATGCGATTTTTTGGATATGGTGCTAAAAGCACAGGGAACAAAAGCAAAAATAAAACAAATTGGGACTGCATTGAACTACAAAGCTTCTGCATACCAGAGGAAACAACAAAATAAAAGACAGCTGTATAGAATGGGAAAATATGGGGCTGGGGATTTAGCTCAGCAGCATAAGTACCTGCCTTGCAAGCAGGCGGTCGTGAGTTCGATCCCCAGTACCGGAAAAAAAAAAAAAAAAAAAAAACAAAAAAAAACAATGGGAAAATATTTGCCAAACTTATAGACAGTCATGAGTCAATATCCAAAATATATAAGGAACTCATATAATTCAATAGAAAACAAAAAAGCAGATTACTTAAAAAATGACAGAGGACCTGACCAGACATTTTTCCAAAGAAGTTACATGAATGGCTAACACATATAAGAACATAGGTTCAACATCAGTAATACTCAATGGACTACAAATCAGAGATTATCACCTTACAACAGTTAGGATGAGATATTAACAAAAAAAAAAGCATAAATGTTGGCAGATGAGGAGAAAGGGGCCCTAATGTCCTGTTAAGAACGTAAATTAGTGCAGCCATTATTGAAAGCCATATAACTTCCTAAAAAACTAAAAATGAACCATATCACCCAGCACTCAAATTTACAGATATATATTTAAAGAAATAAAATTACTATACCAAAGAGATTCCCATGTTCGTTGAAACATTATTCACAATAGCCAGAGTATGGAAATAACCTGTGTTCAGTAAAGGCTGAATAATAAAGACGGTTTAAAAATGTATTATAAATGTATGCCTACACTCTAGAGCATGGTAAAAGCCTTAAAAATGGGGGAAATCCCTACTATTTTTCATAACATAGGTGAAACTGGAATGCTTTGTGCTGAATGAAACAAACGAGATACAGAAATACAAATGTGGTTTTACCTACAGAATGTAAAAAAGTTGAACTTAGAAGCAAAGTAGAGAGGGGTTGTGGGGGGGAAGGGGTGGGAAAATGGGGAGATGGTGGTCACAGAGTGTAGACTTTCAGTTACCTGATATGTAAGTTATGGAGCCTTGATGTCCAGTGTAGTTAGTGTAGTTAATATACACTTGGAATTTGCCAGAAGAGTAGACCTGTGAGAACGGTATTCTCATGGTTCTCATGAGTAGTCTCATGGTAACTGTGGGGATGGATATACTAGTGCCTTGATTTTGGTAATGATTTTGCAATGCACATGTATACTAAAATAGTACACATACTCCTTAAATACATGTAATTATTTTCCATCAATAGTGCCTTAATAAAGCAGAAATGAAATTGTGTTAGATTATTTTTCTGTCTGATAAACTGACTCACCTCCAGAGCGCTGTCATAAAAATAATATTGTATTTTGCTGCTGGGAGCCAAATGGGTATACTTCTTGGTCCCTTTCATTTCTGGACCCCTTTTGCTTATTTCATACTATCATGTGCTTCCTATATATAGGACTTAGTTCTGTTTGTTTGTTTGTTTTTGGTTTTGTTTTGTTTTTTAGCTTAAAGTAGGGGTTGCTAATATTAGGACTTAATAAGTAGCTAAACATTGTTCTTTCTAGTTTCACTTGTGTAAAACTGAAGTTCTTTTCTTGTTTGAGTGATTGTCTCCTCCCTTGGTCTCCAGGCAGTCTGAGTACGGTGGTGTAGTGTTTGGCGGCTGGGCACGGATGGCGCAGCCCATCGTGGCTTTCACTGTAGTTGAGGTTGCCAAACCCAACATTGGTGAAAACTGGCCAACCCGAGTTCGTGCAGATGTCACCATCAATCTGAATGTCAGAGATCACATCAAAGATGAATGGGAAGGTAATTTTTTGTTTCACGAAGTGAAGCTACCTTTGGCCTCTTTAGTGTACAAATTTTCCACTTTGTGCTAAATTAGCAAAGTACTTTACTAAATGTTCTTTTAAACTTACTAAATTTTATTCTTAAAATTTGACTTAAAGAAACAATTATCTTTCAAATCATTAGAAATACTAAGAATTATTAAAAAATAAGTAACAGTATTTTAATGAAATGCATAAAGTCACATATTTGTCAAACTATTTTGCATTTACGGTTTGCCTAGCTGAGACAAAACCATTTTAAATCACAAATTCAGTAACATATTTTTATGGAAATTTAAGATAAGCATAAAGAGAATACAAAGAGCACTGTTCACTAAAGAAATGGAGAAGCCCACATACAGCTTGCACACACATTCTAACCAAATTTGATGTTTACTAAAAGATAAAGGCAAAGTTAAGAGTATAGGGTATAAATATTTCAAGAAGAATAAAGTCTAAAAAAGGAATTTGGAAGAGGGGACATGATAAAGCAGCTCAGAAGCAAATAATTTATCTGTACCAAATCAAAGAACCAGTGAAATCAGTTTTATAGAGAAACTAAGCCAGCTACTTTCTGTATTTTTTACTAGAAAAGATTTTAGGAATGAGAATTCTATGTCAGTTTTTTCAGAAACAAGTATATTCAGAGTTGTTAAGTCAGAGAGAGTTAAGCCAATGCTCACACTTGCCCAGACATGGCACATAATCTGATTTGTAGTTGGCACTTTTATATTTTTCCTCCAGCTGTCTGAGAGCCCTCGCTTGCTGTCCCATTTGTGAGAAAGAGCAGTGGCTTTAATCTCCTGCTACCTTCTTGGCATGCCAGAAGGAACATGATAGTCCCTTAATGGATCCATTTTCAAAAATTATTGCTCCCAATATAGGTATAACCATTGTGAACTTATATATTTATCAAAGAATTCTGAAGGAATCTAGCAATGAAGCTGGCCAAATGTTTAACACATGGCTGCTATGTTGGATATGGTTAGTAACAGATTGTTTTTGTGACTTCTGTGTCCTGCAGAAGAGTTCCAGTCTGTTGCTTTACACATCTAGAATAACATGCACCTTTGTTATTGCTGAAGCTTCAGAAAGACAGGTTGGTGAAGACGGTCCTGTTCTTACTACCGTTTGTCAACACTTAAGAATGTATTAAATGCTGCTTTACATGATGAATAATCAACTGAGAAAAGTTACTGGTTATTCCCAAAACAGAAATGGTTGGAAATTGTGAAAGACCTCTTATAAGCATTTGTGGATGACAGGTGACAGGTCTGCTTATAGCGTTAAGGAGAAAAAGGTGTTTTACCTGAAACTTGCCGTTCTCCTGTTGTTTTGGAGACTGCTGTCAGAGATAGATTAGTTTGTTTTGTTTTTAGAGAGTAGGACCTCGTATGTAGCCCAGGCTGGCTTTGAACTTGTGATCCTCTTGTCTCAGCCTCCTGAGTGCTGACCAGGCTGCATCACCATGTTCAGCTTGCCTCTTTTTCTTTCATTCCATTTTTTGCCTCCTTCCTTTCTTCTTTGCTTTTTCCCTCCCCTTCCCTCCCCTTCTTTTGCCCTTCCTCTCTTTTCCTCTCCTCTCCTCTCCTCCTATTTCTCGCTGTGTGTCTCTGTCTCTCTCTCTTTCTTCAGTGGACAAGATAGGAAGCAGTAGCGTATCATAGGTGATTCATATTATGGGATACATGGGAGGAGAAGCGGTTTTTGATAGGCCAGGGTCCAAATTCAGCCCGTCTTGATTACATATGGGTGGCCAAATGGAAAATGGAACAGAAACGAGAAAGGTTTTTTAAACAATAGTTAGTATTGCATTATATAAGAAAAATTATTTTGGAAAAATGTAAACTAAAAGTTATAAAAATGTTCCTCTTGAAGACTGAAGATTTGAAGCTCAGGTCCTCATCTTCCCCATGAACCCTATTTAACATTAAAGAAACAAGAGTTGTGCATGGTGGTGCATACACTTAGACTAAGCTAATGGGAAGGCTGAGGTGAGAGGCCAGAATGGTTCCCAGAAATTTGAAACAAACCTCAGTAATGTAGCAAGACTCCATTGCAAAATAAATCAATAAATAAATAATAATAGCAGTAATGGAAGTAATGAGACTGAGCGCTAGGTTCTGCTCACAAAAGCAAAGTTAGGAAGGAGTAAGTACAAATGATTGAAAGTGAGAGACTCATGCTCTTTGTAGTAGAGGTTTAAAGAATGTAAATCTAAACTATCTCACTACATAATGCTGTGCTTTAGGAGGCAACAGATGATCATCCCTCAGAAATGCTGAAAGTGACATGAAGAAGGTCTCTGGGCCATTTCTTGGCTCTGAGGCCATTTTGGCTCCATGGCTTAGAAGTTTTGATTAATTATGCTGTTAGAAGTTATATAAGGGTGTAACTCCCAACAGTAGGATAGTCCCTTACCTCTTATTGCCTTCCTGTTTCTGATTTTATTTATAGGATTTCATTATGAATTATTTCTAGCTTTACCCACACTAACACAACTACAAATAAAAACCAGTCATAGTGACTCTAATTCTCTTAGCCCCATGTTCACAGCACTGATTTAATTTAGTTGTCAGATTATAGGCAAGCAGACTATTTAATCTTTAACTGTATAATGGGTAACAAAAAGGATCAGAAAAGAAATGAAGATTATAAATCTGTGGCATTATAGGCTGTCAGGGTTAGTTGCAGTGTCCCTTGTCTTCCAGAATCTGTACTTTTAATAAAACTGGGAAGCTAGTTGACTTCATTTATTTGATTTGATGATGGAAGAGCCTTAGACTTTGTGACATTCACTTTATAATTTTTCACTGCTTGCCAGTTTTTCTATTCAAAGATGATATATGTGAACAATACTGTTGTGCCTTGATGGATTATTCATATGTTGACCTTCTTTAGTGAAATACAGTTAGGCTGTGTTTGGAATGGCAATGATACATTGCTTAAACTGGTGTTACACATCCCTTAAACATGCACAGATGGATTGTATGCCAGTCATAATTTTGGTTACTTATTAAGAGTGTTAAAAATAAGAGTGATGATAAGCATCCGCTTTTGGAGCTGCAGCTTGACTCGGAAGTCTTATTCAGGAATGAGTTCATGACATAAAACTTTCTGATTTTAGTTTAAAAAGTTATTTTAATTATTGCTGTGAAGTATTGGGTATTAAAGATGATAGGGTAACTCATAAATAGGTAATACACACATCATTGGTCACCCCAATATTTAAATTTTTACATCTTTTCTTATAAGAGATTGAGAATTTGGCACCAAAGTACTGAAAAAAGTGAAATTCTAATAAATGAAAATATCTTCATGTTTTACCAGGTCTTCGTAAACATGATGTGTGCTTTTTGATTACTGTACGTCCCACAAAACCTTACGGAACTAAATTTGACCGCAGGAGACCTTTTATTGAGCAGGTTGGCCTGGTGTATGTCCGAGGCTGTGAAATCCAGGGCATGTTGGATGATAAAGGGCGTGTCATTGAAGACGGTATGCTTATTCTCTATATTTGAGAATGTGTACATAGTGATAAATTTCTTTGCCTGTTTGCCTTCTTTGCTTCTTAGGTAAGATTTTTAGTGGTTTTACATACTAAATCAACACAAGGTTACAGACAAAATATGTGTAAGTTAGCCACTTCATACAGGTAAAAGCACCAAAGTTCTATGTTAGATGTATTGAAGTACCACATTGTACCTCAGACATGTGTACAATTTTTATGTGTCAATTAAGTATTTTCTTTAAAAGTCTATGTTACATATTAGAAAGGAGAAGTTACCTTTTTTCCATCTTCCTTTCTATAATTATCATTTTAGAAACCTCAACATTTTTTCTGGTTGTTTAATCTGTTTTTGTATTGAGTGATGTATTTGCCTAATTTTTTCTTCGTAAGTTTTACTGCTTTGTTTCATCATAAGTGGGAATAGTACCACTGGTGATCTGGGAATATATAGTGATACTTAGATTGTCAGACACCTAGGGAAGGCTATTGGTATGGCGTTTTGTGGATTAGGTCCTTGAATGCCAAACATCCATTAGAAATACCTTACAGAAGACCTGCCCTGCCTGAGACTCCAAAACTACCCCCATTTAAACACTGCTTTTTGGCAGTAGGCTATTCTTGAATTTTTATCCCCGTGCCTGATTATGTCTTTGAAATTCTTTATTCTGTCGACCTGGCTTCTTATCTGAAACTACTTTTAAAATTAAAACTGCCTTTATGGCTAGCAGCTATTTTCCAGTTTGCTTGCTAAATGCACCTCAAAACTTCAATCAGTTAAAAAAAAAAACAACTTGAATCAGTTTCTAGCATGTCATTGCTAAACTACTGCTAAGCTATTTGTCTCTAGAGAAAAAGGAAGTAGGAGAAGGAAGTGGTGCTGGGATGGAATAAACATCAGATGATAAAAGACAAAAAAAAAAACTCCAAGATTTCAGTGGTTGATATCCCGTATTTCTGTGTTTGTGAAGTTTCCTTTCATGTTGGTAATACTAGGCATGTAAGAGGTTGATAAGAACCTATGTCAAATTAAGGAATAGAAAAATGGTGCATTGTGTCCTAAAATACAAATATTATTTGATCAGCGAATGTTTATTATTTACTATATGTAAGGCATTAGAGCAGTGAATGACTGACAAAGATAAATTGTTTGCCTTTTATTTTAGTTAAGGGCATATACAAATACAGCATATACATATACATACATACAAATATGGAATTGCTTCATAAATAATACATGACTTAGAAATAGTAAGGATTTAGAGAAAGGAGAAAATGCTTTCAGCTTCTTGGAATTTGAAATGTACAAAAAGAGGGCATTCTCTATTCAGGAGCAATGATTAAAGTTACTAGAAAAGAAATACTGTTAATTTACTTGAATATTTGCAAACATTTATATTTCATTGAACAACCCAAAATGTCCAGGACCTGAACCTAGACCTAATCTTAGAGGAGAATCAAGGACATTTCGAGTGTTTTTGGATCCAAACCAGTATCAGCAGGATATGACCAATACTATACAGAATGGAGCAGAAGATGTGTATGACACTTTTAATATAATAATGAGGAGGAAACCAAAGGAAAATAACTTCAAGGTAATTTTCAGGCCGCATTACTGAAAGTATATATTTCATAATTTAAATAAACTTTTTTAAGTAATCTTAAGCCATAAATGCATAGCTGTTGGGTAAAAGAGTTGTTAAGAAAAGATTTTTTCTTTTTACTCTAAATAATCCTCTTCAATACTTAGGTATTGATTAAACGTAAAATTTCCCTCTCTGCCCCAGAGTGCAGTGCTTTTATATTCCTATCACTTCATAAGCTTTGCTTACTCATTGCTACTTAAACAGCAGAAACAGAAAAATAGCACTTCAAGTTGTTCTTCTTACGCTGTTGTGGAAGACAGAAACTGACAGGACCCTGTTGCCTCTGCCTGGTGCCCCACACCCAGCCATTAATCCACCGAGCAGACCCCTCTGCCGATGTTTGCCCGCCTCCCTGCTGTCCCTCTTGTCTGCTTCTCTGGGTGGCCGCTCAGGGACCCTGCCACGTGTGGATTACACACCAGTGTGTGTTTCTTCATGGTTTCCCATCCCATCAGAAGGTTCTCACTGTGCCCCCTTTCCTCCACTCCTTTTCTCTTTTTATCTTTTCCAGCCCATAGTAGCCGCACTGCGTCTTTTCCTGTTCTGTAATAATCCAAGGCCTTGTTCATGGTATTCCCTCTACTAGACAGTGTTCCTCAGTGCATGAGTGTCTTTCTTTCACTTTCCAGTAACTCACTTTAACACCTGCAAGAAGCTTTCCCTGGCAACTTCAGGTAATTACATACATACTCCTTCCTGTCATTTTCTATCCTATTAGCTCTGGTTTTCCTCAAAATCCATTTCATGTCAGATAATTTTATATTTGTTTATTTTACTACCCCCATTAGGTAGCCAATCTATGAGGGTAAGGTCTTTGCATTATCTATCAATATATTCCTAGCACCTAAAACTGTGCCTGGTATATAATATGTTCTTAATAGTTATTGAGTAAGTGAATGGAGAATATTTCCAAGGTTTACGTACTCAGGATAGTTTCACATTTATTCAGTTTTCTGTTTAAGTATATCTTAGTCACTTTACTAAAAACTACCAAAAATACCTATACTCATTTATTATTTTTTTTATTTAAGGAGAAAAAAAAAAACAGTGAAAGGGTACAAGTTATACAGATTTACAGAAGAAAAAAAATGAACAGTAGGAAATCATTAGTTAATGGATTACATATTGCCATCTTAGAAATAATTGTTCAAGTCACAAAATTAAAGCTTGTAGAGTGGACATTCCAACAATGATACTGCAAACAGTTCTGTTCAATGATCCAATAAAACTCTGTGATATCATATTCTATCTTATACACTTAAATATACATGCAGTTATATAGTTTAGAGCACTTTCTTTTCCTCTCTTTTGTACAATGACTATTACACATTTTGGGTTTCATTGCTCCCACGGTCCTTATTGCTTTTTTGGAAGAGAGTAAAACCAAATGAGACATAACAGAGCAGAATCAGTCAAGTCTAAAGGGTGGACATAATAAATATAAAAACATAATACAAGGTGATCAACAATGGTTACCATAATGCCTCCCGCTATCTCTAATAGAATTGCCTATATCATTAGTTATAATACAATTGAACCAAACAGTAAAGAACAAAACCGACAAAACCAAAACATTGGAGACATTGTAGGTCTTCAAAAGTAGATAAAAGTCAACGAGAATGGGCGTTATAATGAATCTCATTATCTTCACAGCTGATGCCTAAACTTTCGAACCTGATACTATCCAGCAAAACTGAATAGGGGAACATCAGTCAAAAACAAGATGGTGAGAGTAATACAGGGCTTCAAATCGAGATAATAGAAAGTCAAAGTGGGTTACTTTATTATATCCTGCTATTTTTTCCCCTTTAATTAAATGGATAAAAATAAAAAAGTAAATAATGGAGTGGAGATTGAGAAAAAAGAGGGCATAACAGCGAAACAGCGCAGATCAAAACATAACCATTTAAGCAGAATAGTGTTTCACCACCAGATAATTCTGACCCAAAAGTTATACTCATTTATTTTTAACCATTTTGTTTAGTGCCTTGTATGTGTCTGATATTGTGTTTATAGGGGAATTTTGTATTATTTTATTTTTAATTTTTATTTTAAGCTACTATAGCTCAGGCTGGCTTTGAACTTGGGATGGCCTTGAACTTGCAGCAGCCCTCCTGGCTCAGCCTCCCAAGTTCTGGAGTTACAGGCATAAGCTACCACACTCGGTAAGAAAGACACAGCTTATACCTTTTGGAGCTTAGCTTACAAATAAGGAAAGTTTGAAATATAAACAAATAACTACCATGAAAGATTAGAAGGGGTCAAAAGCCATGAGAAGAGCATGGATCAAAGTTCATGGGAAGCATTCAAAGTTCAAAGGAAGCATTCAGGTTGGGATCCAGGAAAGAGGGGAGTGATTGGTTTACCTGAGTTTGGGAATCTAAGAGCACTCTGGCGGTATCTCTGGTACTCCCTGTGTCACTGAGCAGTGGTCCCCGCTTCCTTCCTTCTCTCCTTTCTGTTCATGGGCCTGCTCGGATCCAGATACCTGTGGTGCCCGAGCGGTTGGAACAGGCTCTTCCTCCCCTCCCTGTTCTCCTAGTCAGTCTCCTGCTCTTCATACCCTGCTCCAGCTATAGCACCAGTCATTCTACTCTGCTTCTCAGAACATTTCTGTAGCTTTCCGTGGATGATGCAATGTATCAGCGCTCCCCAGAAATTCTTAAGCTGAAGCAAAGCACCATCTTCCTTCATGAAACCTCACCCTAACATTAAGCCTCTCCTGATAGTGTATGTGATTCATGTATCAAGTCCTGTGCTCTTCCAGAATTAGATTGTGTAGCATGTATGATTATCAAGAACTGATTTAATTGGTTATTTTATTTTTTAAACGTAATACCCTCACCTCCTAATTTTCGTATCTTGGGTACTTCATTGTGTTGAAATGATTTTTGAACAGTCTTTAAGAATTTGTCTTGGCTTTTGGTAATTCTTTTTCATATTCTATATATTGACTACTATAGTCAACTTTTATGAAGGTCTTAAATGATATTTTCATCTGAAATCTTGACTTTTTATCATTTGCTTCACGTTTTTTACTTTTTATTGTGCTGATTTTATTGCTTCTAAATTTTGTAAGTTTCACAATCGAGGCATATATTAATGTGCTCCAGTTTGAAAGTGATTTTAACATTACAGAACTAGAATGTAGACTCCAGGAATTCCTAGAGGAAGCATGTTTCTTTAAGGACTTGTCCTGTAATGTTTCCTTGTTGGGTTGATGTGAGTCTGATTTTTATCCTATCAGATGCAGTCAAGTGGTAGCCTCATTTATGTCATTCTGTGTAAATGAACTCTTAAAGGATAAACTGTTCTTGCTAAGTTTGGGCTTTTGTTTAACTCAGTGTATGGTATCAGCTGAAAATATAGCTGTTGAATCAGTCTAGCCAAGCACCTGTCAGCAGAAAATAGCTTCTTGCCCTTAAACACTTGGGAATTCTGGATTAGTGCAGCCAGCTCTGCATTCCAATAAAGTGCAAATGTTTGAGATGTCTTCTGACACAATTCTTTTCTATCTTTTTACTGACAGGCTGTGCTGGAGACCATTCGGAACCTGATGAATACTGATTGTGTGGTACCTGACTGGCTGCATGATATCATTTTAGGTTACGGAGACCCAAGCAGTGCCCATTACTCAAAAATGCCCAATCAGATTGCCACCCTTGATTTCAATGATACATTTCTCTCCATTGAGCATTTGAAAGCCAGCTTTCCTGGTCACAATGTTAAAGTAACTGTGGATGACCCAGCTCTACAGATACCCCCTTTCAGGTAAAGTCAGAAGTGGATCTATTCCTTTGGGCTTTATAGTCTGTCTGTGGTAGGCCACCACATTTTTGGCTAACGTGACTTAAGTATTATGTCTGGGTTTTGTTTTGGCAGTCCCCGTCCTCACCATATAATCACTGGGACAAGTTTGTTATATTTGAATCTATTTCTAACTTTTAAGACCATACTAAATGTAACTTAATGTCTTATGAGGGACCAGTAAATGAATGGTGTCTGCAGGGAGCTATGTAAATACAGTGACTGAAAGAATATTTCTTTGCATCTGTCTCATACATAATCTGATGCATTTCCTATTAATACATACAACCATGTCATGTTGAACTTTATTATGATGTTAGGAAAAAACTTTTTTTTTAACTTTTATGTGTTTACTGATTTTAAATACAGGCTGAAGAATATTTAAAATGCTTGGGACTTGAAATGTTTTAGATGTTTGAGTTTTTCAGATTTTAAAATAATTTGCTTAGACTTTGAGCATTCAGAGTTGAGCATTCCTTATCCAAAAGTCCAAAATATTGCAAAAATCCAAAACTTTGAAGTGTCACTGTAGTGTTCAAAAAATTTCCGATTCGGAGGCATTTGAGTTTTCAGATTAGGGATCGTTAACCTGTGTTGAAAATATGAGTATACTAGTGTTGGATAAGCTTTGGTTGAAAAATTGAGTACACGTAGAACGAAGTGTCTGAAGTAAATAGTTGCTGTTCCCTAAATTCCTTCATAAGGATTGAGCACAGAGCATACAGGTGCCTCAGCTTGGTGCTTGGATTTGTGCTGGGAATTAGAACACACATCTTCCACTGATAGGTTAATGTAATAATTTGACATATCAAAAGTATATCCTTTATAACATGTAAACCTAATGTCTTCCATATTTTTTCTGTCAACTGGCAAAATCATATTTCTGTGCCCTACCTTGAAACCCCAGCATTACTTTCAAGTGTGCTTACTCTCATGACTCCTGACATGTATACAATTTGCGTAACATACAATTTTTTCGTATCATTCTTGACAACCATCTAAAGGCACCAAGATCTGTATAGTAGTGGTATCTGTCCTGCCTGTGCCCTTCACTTGAACTGTGTGTGCTCTGTTGCAAAGCCATTCACTCTAAGAAGAGCTGACTGTTCTTAGTGCTAGACCTCTCAGTCTATTTAGTTTTGGGTACTCTTATGCTTTAAGAGTATGTAAGAAAACATTTAAAACTATATAGAGAGGATTCATGCTTTTAGTTCAATTTTAGGAAGTACATTGATTTCCCTCAGACACCAACGGAGAGTTGCCTTCAAACTCTAGGTGTGAAACTGCCTTAAAAGCTTGATGTGCCAGAGGTGCCATGCCAAGGCCCAGCCTGTCTCTGTCCTTCTCCGTTGTGCACTATAGTCTGCTTATATGGTGTCCTCCACCTCTGAATGTCTAAATTCTTTGAGGCTCTTCTTACCTGCCACTATCCTGTGAAGTCTTTTGTGATGAAGTAAAAATCTTGAGTAAAGTACTTTTCAGTGCATGTAGTACAGCGATTTAATTTTGATGCTCCCATTAATTGGATGATTTTTTTTCCTAATCTGAACATTTTTTTAGAATCCATTTTAGCACTTCTAAATATTTTTTTAAATTTCAGGATTCATATACATAGTGAGCTGCCTTCACTCAACATGTTTTTCTTGATCTGATCATTTCTCATATAGTGTCATGTGCAAAATTTTTACTCACTTAGTAAATCCTTCCTAATTGTTAAAAGAAAGGTTTCGGTCTTGTAGGATTACTTTTCCAGTAAGAAGTGGAAAGGGGAAGAAAAGAAAAGATGCCAGTGGTGAAGATGATGACACTGAAGAGGCAAAAACTTTAATTGTTGAACCTCATGTTATTCCTAATAGGGGTCCTTACCCTTATAACCAGCCTAAACGGTAATTTCCTACTTCTTCTAGTTATGTATTTACTGTTTCAGATGGGTTAGTGAGGTTTTTTAATTTTCTAATCATTTTAAAAGCTTAGGATACTTCTTTCTACTGAATAACTCAAACTATTTTAGACCATTCTGTACTTGTGACGTTTCAGAAAGAAATATTTAAGGTACTAAGAGATAATTTGTACAGGGCTACCTTAATCTGTGCACAGAGTTCTTACTGGATGATGCTGTGTTGTATATAGCAATTACCCTTGTGCATGTGTGCCACAGCTAGACATGTGACATTGTGTATGCAAACTAGAACTTTGGAGTACAAAGGAGGCCTGGAATGGGCAAGGGGTATTAAAAAGTAAGGTCCTTCCATGAGGTCTGTTCAGTTGTCTATGTGGGTGAATGAAGAAAAAATACAGAGATATCCACAGTAGACAAGGGAAAAATTGGGGGCAGGTGCAGAACAGATGTTTAGATCTCTGGTTATCCTTGTCTAGATTTGTACTAAATGTCATTTATCTGTGTGTCTCACCAACTTTTTATTCTGTAATTTGCAGTAATACAATTCAGTTCACTCATACACAGATAGAAGCCATCCGTGCTGGGATGCAGCCTGGGCTGACTATGGTAAGAGAGTCATTGTTACAAGTGTTGTTACATGGATTGAAACTAGAAATAAGCACAAGAGTTTTTAAGCACAAAACTAAATTTAGGTATCTATAAGCACAGTTATTTGTAGCATGTTACACATAAGGCGATCTTGCTGATATTCATAAATAAAATTTCATTAGAATGTACCATGCCTTTTTTGTATTGCCTAGGGTCACTTTTAGGCCACAACTGCAGAGGTGTGTAGCATGCAAAGCGCACAGTGGTTATATTTCCAAATACTTAGAGATTTTCTTATTATCTTCCATTTGTTTATTTCTGGTTTAAGTCTGTTATGTTGCTTTTGTTTTGTTTTGTTCTTGTTTTTTGAGTGGGGATTGAACTCATGACCTTGTGCTTGCCAGGCAAGTGCTTGAGCCACTGAGCTAAATCCCTGGCCTTTTGAAGACTATTAAGATCAGAAACATACTTTTTATGATTTCAGTATGTTGTTTTCCATTTTTTTATTTGTTAAGATACGATCTTTTTGATGAGCATTCGGTATGCACTTAAAAATATTTGTTTTCTGTTTTAAGAATGTACTGAATTATAACTCAGTTAGATTCATTTAGTTGATGGTGTTCAGTTCTCTTCTATCTTTGCTGATTTTTCATTTCCTGAAACAGTGATTTCTATTGTTAACTGAGAGAAGAATGTTAATAGTACCTGTTTCTTCTTGCATTTCATTCATCTCTGCTGCTCAGTGCTGTGTCTTTTAACGAATGGACTCCATCATTATTTAACATAACCTCCCTGGCAACTTCTTTGCTCTGCAGTGCACTTTGTCTGCTACTAATGTAACACTGCGCTTTCTTTTGAGTAGTGTTTGCGTGATTTTTTGTTGTTGTTGTTTTACTCCTAACCTACCTGTTATTTTAATATTTTCATGTAAACAGCATATTCTTTGGCCTGTTATTTCAGCCATTATTTCTCCAAATATTTATAATCTACATGTTTTCCTTTTAGGAATTCAGTATCATGAATATTAGACTTTTTTAGATTCAGGTGTCTGTTTCTAAGTTTTTAATCTATTTTCCTTCTTTTTTACATTGACTAATTTATATTGATTTATCTTTCAAGATTACTGACTCTGCCTCTGTTTTATCCACTACATTTTTGAGCCCATCCAATGAAATTTTGTTTTTTAGTCTTTCAGTTCTAGAATTTCCACTTTCTGTAATGTGATAACTTAGTGTTGAATATGTGTTCATAATTTTTTTAGGTTGTGGGACCACCTGGTACAGGAAAAACAGATGTGGCAGTTCAAATCATATCCAACATCTACCACAATTTCCCAGAACAGAGGACTCTTATTGTTACTCATTCCAATCAGGTGAATGACTGCATGCGTGCGTGAGTCAGAGCTTTTGCTCTGGGACTGAATTAACCTATGCTTACCAGTAGTGTTTTCTTTACTTGGTAAAATAAAAGGCTACGACCTATTGATGCTTGATTGAATTTAAAATCCCTGTGAAGAGTACGTGTGAAGACAGTATCTATATACGTTGGAGGATAGTGTGTGCTGTGTTAGTCCTCTGGAACTTTCCAGAATGAGCAAAAACAAGTACTATTTATTAGCATTGTAAAATAGTTTGTGAAATACTTACAGGCAGCTCTTAGAGCATCCTGTGAGAAGATAGTGAAACTTGTGTGGTCTTCCAAACCTCCCAGTATGCTTATTTTTCAGATCTGTATTAATGATGACTTCAGCTGACCTCTCTTTACTTGATTTGGTCTATAAAGAAATACAGAGTTTTGGGAATGTCAGTTGGTCTGTCATTCATCTAATTTACAATATTTATGTTTTCTTTACATGATACTTTCTACTACATTCACCCATAATATTTTTGTAATATTTTGGAAAGTTGTAGGTAATGGTGATTTGTTTTGTTTTGTTTTGTTTTTGTACAGCACAGCTGAATTTGTAAGAGTAGTACAGTCAGAAGGTTGGTTTGGACTTCCATCTAGATAAAAGAAATACAAGGTTATAGAACCGAATTTTTCTTTTATTGACAGTATTCTGTGATAACTATATATGTAAAACCTTAGAATGAGCAAAGTATATCTTATGTGTTGTTTTAATGTATATTTTACAAAGTTTTGTCATGCACTGATGTGAGTTTATATGGTATCTTTTCTACTTAGGGCTGACTTGATCCTTTGAAATTCAAATCATCCTTCTGGAGGTCCATCAAATTGTTGATTTTTTTTTCTTGAATTGTTACTTACTTTGTTTGAGATCCTCATTGGCATGTGTGGTTCAAGTTTTCCTCCAGTATTATTCTAATGCACAATGAAATCTTGTAGTTTTTCTGTAATTGTAACTTGTGTTTTTGGTTTCCAGATCTGTGGTTCTTGAGTTGAATTTTTGTTGTCTCATCTTTTGGGTCGTGAGTTGGTATAGTAGCTACCAGAAATTAGGATAATGGGATACTTTTCTGAAAATTTATGTTAATCTCTTCATTTTCTGAGCTCTGCTAGAATTTTAGTAGCAGAGTAGTAATATAATTTTACTTATATTATAGAACCTAGATATTTACCAGGCTGATGGGGAGAATTGGATTAGTGGTAATGAAGAGATGTTTTGGAAGGGGCTAATTTTTAAGTGATAACTTTATTGGTTTTTCATTCCATTATATAAAATTGCCTTTCTGCAAGGTTTTGTAATCACGAGGATTCACATAGTAAATACTGGGATTTGAGGAGATGTAATTATGGCCATTTCATAGGTAGAAAGATACGACTTCTAAATAACTGCTGTCAGAATGATTTGTGATAAATTAGTGGCCTGCACATTATATAGAGAATCAGACTTTAAACCTATGGTTTGAATAATGTACTTCGCATTTTCCTGGTCCTCTTAATGTATTCTACTGATGATGCATTTTGTCTACCTGCAAAAATTTTTTCACTTTTCTGCAGCTCTTGGAATTGCTGTTGAGTGAAATGAAGCTCAGCGTGTTAATTATTTTAGGAAGTCCTAAATAGGGTAAAGAGGATTTTGGAGATCCAGCTTACCCAATGCCTTAGAGCCAAAGGTTTGATGGTTACATACATTTTATGATACTTAGTTATTCATTTGGCCAAGTGTAAATATATGGCAGTGTATTAATTCTGCAAAAGCACTATTTCGTTTAAATTATAAATGACCTAACTTTAAGACTATTTCCTTCTTGTCCAGTTGGCCAGTACTCTGTCCCTGTGTGTATTTTTATTTTTAGAGGCACATACTAAATTTTTGAAACTTATCATCAACCTTTTGACTTTGTTTTCCAGGCCCTGAACCAGTTGTTTGAGAAAATCATGGCGTTAGATATTGATGAGCGTCACCTATTACGTCTTGGTCATGGAGAAGAAGAGCTGGAGACCGAGAAAGATTTCAGCAGGTGAGCAAATGGAAATGAGTTGCTTTGTTTTGTTGTTTTTGTCTTTTCGAGACAAGGTTTCACTATGCCGTGCAGGCTGGCCTTGAACTCACTTTGTAGTCCAGACTGGCCTCGACTTGCAGCAGTCCCCCTGCATCAGCCTCCTGAAGGCTGGGATTACAGGCATGAGCCACCATGCCCAGCTGGAAGTGAGTTTCGAAACAATGTACAAAAGTGTTTGTCTTTCTTTACTGAAGAAAAACCAAGAAAAGAGAGCTCTGCATAATAGACTATTTTAAAAGGATCTGGTATGATCGATTTAAACCATACATTGACCTAACGGTCTGGTCATGATCTCTCTCGGCTGTGGTTTTCTCTGTTCATGCTGTGTTTCTCTCAAACATGCAGTTACTCCTGTGAAGAGAATTATTTCATCACAAGAATTCTGGCATTTTTAAATGTATTATATAAGCATTTCTAATTTTTTACTCATTACCAAAATGTTCATCGTAGAAAATAAAAGATAGACAAAAATGTAACCTGCTTTTAGCTGAAAACTTCAAAGCATAGGCCTTGTCTAATGTCTTAAATTCTCATTCATTCCTTGCTGCCTCTGAACTATGCAGTGACTTGGAATATGACTTCTTCCTTTGTTTTATATTTAAAACACATGAATAGCAGAGGTTAGACTGGTCTACTTGAGTTTCAACCAGTGAAGGGTTGTAGGAACCACTTCACTGTTGTAAAAGACTACATAGTTTGGTATCTAATTCTGACTCCAATTTGGGATCTGTGCCTCTCCTAATGATATATCTTGGGCAAGGTTGTCCTTAGACTTCTGTTTCTGTTTTCACTCTTATTTAACCAATATATAGGAACCTGTTAGGTTTGGATCCAAGCTGCATGCTGGGATATGTACATGAGAGAGAATGATCAAACACAAATTCAAATAATTTTCAAAGCCTTAAGAACTAACCTAGTCTACTTTTATGAGAGTACAAACCAATGCTGTTCAAAGCAGCCAATCTGTAAACTCTATGCCCTTAGTCTTTTCTTGGCCTCGCACCAGAGTTTCCTCCTTCCTTCTTTGTGCAGGTTTTGTTATAAAACAAACAAAAGATAGCTGAAATAATTGTCTTTACCCTCCACACAGACCAGTAACACATTTGCAGATAAGTGCTGGACCTTAGAGTGCAATATGAGTAATTTTGGTGTAAAGTAATCCAATAACAGCCAACTGTAATTCAACATAAATTATGTTTCCTACTGTTCTCCTCTTTGGCCACTTACAGTTCCTAATACAAGTTGCTTGTTTACTTCTGTGTTTTAAATGTAACTGAGTTTCCTTTAGTCTCTTCATTACACAGTTTTCCCTTTTTTCCCCATTTGAAATTTCTAGATATGGAAGAGTTAATTATGTCTTGGCTCGAAGAATAGAACTTTTAGAAGAAGTCAAACGATTGCAAAAGAGCCTAGGGGTTCCAGGAGACGCCTCATACACTTGTGAAACCGCAGGCTATTTTTTCTTATATCAGGTAAGACAGTTTTAAAGTCATACTGCATTATAATATGGTACCTAGTTGGAAACTGGGATGTGTTCTCAGAAGTCTTCTTGAAGCTTTTTGTTTGTTTGTTTATTTATTTATTTTTGTAATTTAAAATACATGGTATTGCCAAAGCTATATTTATGAACGTTAAGTATATTTTTTATTACATTCAATTTTCTTTTCCAAATAACTTTGCTTGATGACTCATTCAATAAAAGGCCAGTGTTATTCCCTTTTGATTTTTTTTTTGTTGTTGTTATTTCTTGCTGTTGCAAAGCTTCTAGCCTCTGTGCTCCCCCCATTCTCTTTCCCTATTGCTATAGAAATGTAACTGAGTTTTCTAGCTGCCTCATAGTACCAAGATATAGATCTGCAATTTTGTTATATCACTAATCAACTAATGAAGGAAAACATATTCTTAAAACTCCAATAGTAAGTTAAATTTTAAAAATAATTGTGTAAAAATTTAAAAACCAAAAACTTAAAAATTTCTGTTGAATTAAAAGTGTGGTTTTGCTTTTGTTAAGGTTAAATAAACTATTTGTTTTCGTTATGCTTCTGCCATTTGTGCATTTTAGATATAAACTATAACATTAACAGTGTTGGTCTTTTGCTTTTTATAACCATGGGCTTATGCCCTTTATATGTAAATACCATAAACCAGTTGAACATGTTCAAAATGAGCAGATTTCATGGCTTCTTGAGGAGCAAAGAAGACATAATTGGGTGCTAAGTCATCTACATTAGTCTCGACTGTTCAGAACTTTGGCTAATGGTATAGATTTTACTTATATACCCATTTGACAGAAAAAAATCATTATTCCTCTCTCTGTAGAAGCTACTTTGAGTAGTAGGAGTCAGAATCTATAGATTGTGGAGGTTTGTGTAATAAATTTGGAAGAAGAGAACTTGAAGCTTCACAGTGCAGATCAGCAGTTTTCAACATACAAGAATCAGAAAGCCAGGAAAGTTTATCCCTAGGTCACATTCCCAAGCCCTGTCTTTAGAGCTTCCTTCAAAAGAAGTGTGATTTAAGGTTTCACATTTTTATTTAGCCCCTCACATATTCTGCCTAAGAATACACTTTGGAAAACACTGGAATTATAATAGAAAAAAAGAGAATTTTAAAAATTGAAGCTAGCATCATCAAACTCATGGTTGAACTCATTGCTGACATCATAAGGTGAGTGCTCAAATAGGAACATACTCAGCCAGAACTTCATAAATGTTCCAAAGAGATTTGGAAAAGAAATATATAAAAGTTTTGAAGGGTTGACTGATGCCAGATTGATTAAGACGCGGGTTTTCATACAGAGAGAAGCAAATGATTCCCAAAATGAGAATTTTCTTTATCTGCACTTTTCTTTTGTCTTCTGTTCTCTACGTTTTTAAATCATCTTGAACGTACATAGAGAATCTAAAATATTTGAGATAAATTGCATGAAACGACTGCTAAGTTCTTTCCAGTTCCTCCTTTTTTTATTTAAAGAGCTCTCCCCGCCAGGTCCTAAAGGTAATGTTTAATAAGAGCAATCTGTCATGAGGTGAATGACACATGGTTGGAATGGGTCAGGAATTGGCTTTCTTCTTCACTTACTTGGCAGATCTTCTTTTCCCTTGATTTGTTTTTAATTTTATTATTTGAAACAGTGAGATGACAAAGTAAAGCTTAAGTTCTTTTTTCTACAGGTGATGTCTCGTTGGGAAGAATATATCAGCAAAGTGAAAAATAAAAGTAGTACATTGCCAGATGTTGCAGAAATCTCCACTTTCTTTCCTTTCCATGAATATTTTGCAAATGCTCCTCAGCCAATTTTTAAGGGCAGATCTTATGAAGAAGACATGGAAATTGCTGAAGGATGTTTTAGGCATATTAAGAAAATCTTTACTCAGCTTGAGGTAATCTCCAGGTCTTTTAGTTTTCCTTTAAAGATTGTTTAGTTAAGCAATCTTTTTAGAATGAAATAAATATAGAATATTAATATGTTATAAATCAGATTATTACTTTTAAAAGAAGTTTTTGAAAACATGTACTACTTTGATTCAAGAAATAAGAAAAATTAAGAGGAATCGTATCCCCATTATTCTGGTTTTTCTGTTGCAAAGGCCTTAGTGTTTAAGAAAGCAACACTTCTATCAGGAAACTTAACAATACTGTAGTCCTTTTATTAGGAATTTGACAGTGCCACATGAACATTCTTAGGTTTCTGTGTTGGCCAGGATGAAAGGTCCCAATGTTAGGAGTCAAGTAAGAATTACTACTACACAGACAGGACAGAGAACCCAAAGACCCCTTAGATGCCTCCTAGTTTTGAATTTCTTACAGCCAACATTGGAAAACTGCAACACTCCTATAAGGCAATCACATTCAGGTTCCGATCCCTCCGTCAGAAGGTTTAGTGTCAGTCCAGGTAAAACGGATACAGACAGCTTTTGTCTTTATGTCTTTTAGATATGATTCTTCCCTCATGTCCAAGAATAGTATCTGCACATAATAGGTATTCAACAAGTAGTAATAAGTAGTAATGTACACTATTGGTAGGTAGATGGGTGTGTAGAATAATAATTATAAAATAGGATAGTATGATAATATAATGAACCTGAGAAACAATTTTGTATTGTGTTTATGATTACATAAACACAAAGGAAAATGATAAAACACACTCAGTTCATGATAGTACTAGCTTTGGGAGTAAGGAGGATATACAGGACACCTCACTTACATTAGAAATGTTTACATTATTTTAAAAAAACGAGAAAAATATTAAGGTTCAAAAAGTACAAATCATGTTCAGACTTAATAAAACTTGCTATCTTGTCTTCTCTTTGGGCCCATTTGCCCCTTCCTCACATCTGTTGTCCAACTTTTGTTCTATTTGGGAAATATTCTGTCCTGGTCAGGTTCAGACTGGTCCTCACAGGTTTAATGGGCCAGCTTTGTAATTCAGCTATCTTCTGGCTGAATTTAGCCACATTCTAAGAGATGCATCAGGGCTTAAGGAAAGAGAGAAGCCAGGGTTTTTTACTTCGGTTTGCCCTGCCTTCAGTCTCATTTCTTGCATGATGCCAGCTTCTGCTAGACTATGCTGCTGTGATCCTAGCTGGTTTTGTGACCTGAGTCCCTGGGCTCTGATCAGAACACTTCTGCCTTTTGTCCTTCATAGCCCTGGTAGGTGCTGTCTTCCTACTGTTGACAGTGTCTAGGTTACTGCATTCCCTGGTTGGCTTCTCAGCTCATCTGTCACCTGTGTAAACAATTCCTTGCTCTCTTCAGTATGAACATTTGCATTAGATTTTATTTTCCAAGAGGGACTTATAGTAGTGCAGGTACAATCATAATTAGTAATATCATAAAATCTCTATAGACAGAACTAGAAGTTATAAAAATAACATAAATGTTTAACCTTTCATAAAAATGACTCCAAATTATAGCTTGAATATTGCCTATTTTAGAAGTCAACTGGTATCTAAATTATAAAAAAATCTTTGATTAGTTTTGATACATTAATTTCTGAAGGATTAAGTCCGACTGACTACCTTGTGTGGTTATCTGCATGAACTATGTATGTTATCCTAAACTGGTCTTTCACTGACACCACTCCCCCCCACTCCTGCAGGAATTCAGAGCCTCTGAACTACTTCGAAGTGGACTAGACCGATCCAAGTATCTTTTGGTGAAAGAAGCTAAGATCATTGCTATGACCTGTACTCATGCTGCCTTAAAACGACATGACTTGGTCAAGTTAGGTTTCAAGGTACAGACTTAAATATTTTAGTTCCTTAACTCTGTCTATTCAATGAGAAATTTTGTTTCTTCCTTTTTTTCTTTTTTAATTATTGAGGCATTTTCCTGTGGAAATTAGCTAACTTTTTATGAAAATTCTCATTTATAATTACTTTAAAATGTCTCTTAAAAATGAATAATAATGTATCTGTATGAATAGTGGACTTAAATCTGATTTTTCTGAGTCTGCCATATGTCTGCTAATTAACATTATAACTATTGGTCATCTAACAAGATTCTTAAAACTCGTTAAGTTTTTATTATTACCAAGCATCACTTATTAAAAAATCTCTAAGCAGAACTAAAAGCTATAAAAACAGTATTTCACAATTGTTTTAGTCTAAGACATCTGTATGCGTGCCCTGATCTTGTATTTAATCCGTAAAATGAATATTAAAATGATTTTGTTGTGTAATAATGACAGGAGGACATGATAGCTGATCATCCTGTGCTCATTTGAGATGGAATGTAATGACTGAGGAATAAACTTTAATTTGTAGATTCACTGTGACTTTGTTAGTGATACTAAGCTAAGTTCTGATTATAATACAAATCATTTAACTTTTCTGCAACTATTTGTTGTTTTAAATAGGTTTTGTGGGCTGAGGATACTACCTCAGTGGCACGTGCCTGCCCAGCAAGCACAAGGTCCTGAGTTCAATGATTCCCATACCAAAAAATATAATATAATACAGTACAATATAATGCAATACAATACAATGCAATACAATAGTTTTGTGTACTGGTTTGAATTCAAAGTTAGTAATTCATTTGTTGATAAAAGTAACTGATAATTTTAAGGTATGTGAGCTCATGGAAAGATAGTGCTAAATAAATTCAAGGCGTTAGAATTGTTGTTACCTTGGATAAAAAGTTTCTCAGCTGCAAGGTAGGACAAATAGGATGATTTATTAAAAGGTAGTGTGAACTTACCCCAGTGGTGTGAACTTATCCTTTTGCAAGTTAGTAGTGAGAATTTTTCGCCTAAATGTTTTGTTGTTGGTACTGACACATAATATATACTTTAAATTAAATATGAGACTATATCTGTTTGATGGGGGAAATGATACAGTCATAACTAACATTTAATACCTTCATGCAACTTTTCATATGAATTCTAAAAAGTATTGCTTTTTGCTTATCAAATTTTCATTATTTGATATTTTATTATACTTAACATGTTATACTCTACTAAAGGTTTAGTGTAAGTGATACGATTTTTTTATATTTTTAATTTTAACATTTAACTTTTCCAACTTGAGTTGGAAACCTTGTAGATCTAGGTAACATAAAATAGACAAGCCCCCACTCCCTAGAGCAGTCTTATGTTAAAGGGTATTTTCCTTATTCCAGCATTATGAGTAATAAACCAGGGGGTAATGCGACCCTGTGACTGTTACTAGTGGCTTAAGAGAAGCAAAACAGGAAAGGAAGAGACTAATACAAAGATTGGTAGCAGCGGTCATAGTGGTGGTTTGGTCCAGAAGAGTAGAACTGGCAGAAGTGAGTAGATTCTAAAGGGAGCTTTGAAAGTAAAATTGATATATTGTGGTAAAGGAGGAGCTAGATGCCCAGAAGGAATAAAACAAACAGATTGCTATGATGGGTAAAATTCATCAGGGGGAACAGTTACCACAAAATGCTACCTTGAATAACAATGGCAGTGACCCCATACATATTTATAAATTGATTGTTGTTTATGTAGAATTTAAAAACTAAGTTGAAAAGAACTAAGTAGGTACTGCAGTCCAGAAATTATTTGCAAGATGTCTGCAATGAGGTATATATATTTAGAGGGCTTTCTTGAGTTTAAAGATGTGAATTGAGATACAGGGACATAATGATAAGATCAAAACAATAATTTCTATGTTGCTGTTTTTATCTGAAATTAATAGGATTTTTAAAATGATTATTGTGGGGTTTTATTTATTTATTTATTTTTTGACAAATTCTCCTTTTTTCAGTATGATAACATTTTAATGGAAGAGGCTGCTCAAATTCTGGAGATAGAAACCTTTATACCTCTCCTTCTACAGGTAAGAAATCAAATGTGAGTCACAAGGATTTTAAGAATTTTTGGAGACAACATCAGAAAGTCACAGTTTAGAAGTGCTGATGATTGTCAAAGCTACATATTGTGCTTAACTTCATTTTGTTTCTGATTCTATTTTAAGCCTGTAAACTAACCTCAATATAATTGTGGATAATTGAGTAGTTTGTATTGCTTTGAAGATTACTATTTTTAAAATTTATAACTTATATCTTCAAAGTAATTTTCAAAAGATAATTCCAATCAAGAAAATTACATTTTTATGCAATTAGAAAAGAAAATCAATTTTTTCACTTCTTTTGTTAGACTTTTACAATTGTTTTCAGTATTATAAGTAGATTATTTTATTACTAAGTTTTTGACACAAGTAATGGTATTTTAAGACTGCTTTTTGCTATATAATACTTTTCACTGTGGAAGCATTAAAAACAAAATGTAGAATTCCCAGTGTAAGAATAGAGAGACTTTCATTGTACAGCTACATTGAGTTAACAGAAGTCATTTCTGTTTTGGAACTTGTAATACAGTTTATGTACTTCAGAGGACAGAAAGACATGGAAAGTAGAAAATTGAAGTAGTTCTGGAAGAAATTAAAGAAGGTAGTTTTTTTAATGTGAATTTATAAAAAAAATTTAAATGTAATTTTAAAGGGAATAAAACAGCAACAGAGCAAATCAAAACAGTGCTAAGACGGTAAAAAATCTACAGCAGTTACTATTGCACATTGTCCTCTAAATAGTTGCTGGGCTTTCGGCTTGCAAAGTCAAACAGTCCAGCTCCTCCAGGTCAGCTTCCATGCTCCTCCATGCTCTGCTTCCCAGCCCGCGCCAGCACAGGCCTCAGCTTCCTTCCCTGTTCTCCTCGATTTTTTTTTTTAATGAAAAAAAAAAAAAAAAAAAAAAAAACAATGCAAACTTTCAAGACAAAATAATAGGAGATTAACAGTGGTTAATATATTGTACATTGTTATCTTCAAAGTGTTGCTCAGATTACATGATAAAGACATGAAAAGATGATCTAACAGTGAAAGCACAAACTGTTCTTTTTGATGAGCTAACAAAGAATAGTACATTTATCTATCTTGTATATATTTTCCCTTGTTTCTTTTCTTCTTTCCCTCATCCCAGTTGTTCTTTCCTTTTAAGCAGTTTCTTCCCTTTTCACCTTCACAATGTGTGTTGTACATTTTGGATCTTATTTACTCTTTTAGTTTCTTACACTAGGGAGACAACGCAGTGTGGATCTGATTTATTTCACTTATGAGCATGGTCTCAAGTTGCATCCGTTTACCTATAAAAAATAAGGTAGTTTTTACTGTGAGGTTCAGAACTGGTTCTTGGCATAATTGTGGACCAAGGTGTTCACTTTGACATTTTTCCATTTCTTTTCCCAGGTACCTGTTTCTTGTTTTCTGGATATAATGCTGACCTGAACCTTCAGGCCCTCTTTAGTTTACCCTGACGGTTGCAGTAGGGTCATTGCATGTCTGCTTTCTCAATCCTTCCATGCTTTCTTGCCCACGGTTGGCTGGGAGTGTCAACACCCACATTTGATTCACTAGTTATCCTATAAAATTTGCCAGTCTTCTGTGTAGAGCTAGTCAATGTTGAAAATTTGTAAGCAATTAAAGCCATTTAATGAAGAACAAGTCTCTTGTGTAGTAAATTAGATAACAGGATAATTTATTAACCAGATTTTCGCCATTTTTCCACCTTCCATTTGTAGAATCCTCAAGATGGATTTAGCCGGCTAAAACGATGGATTATGATTGGTGATCATCACCAGTTACCACCAGTCATTAAGAACATGGCCTTTCAAAAATATTCAAACATGGAGCAGTCCCTTTTCACTCGCTTTGTCCGTGTCGGGGTTCCTACTGTGGATCTTGATGCTCAGGGTAGAGCCAGAGCAAGGTAAAGGAGACAGAAGAAAAAAATAGCTTCTCTGTTGCGGACGTCAGTTACTTGATCCAAATATTTGTAATCATCTTTATGTAAAGTTGTTATCCAGGACCTTGGTAGTCATTTTTCTCATTTTATCAATTGAAATTAATTGATATATTACCTAGAGGCTTTCCTGTACTTGTCCCTTTCTTCATGTCTCCAAAAGATAAAGCAAGAATAATTTTGAAACCTGAAGTAAAAGTGAGCAAGTGAAAGTACACCATTTCGCACTCCACAGAGAATGCCACTGGCATCTCATAGTTACTCCCAGAAACCTCAGTTTTGAGTGTCTTCCTTGAGTTTTTACTTTGTGGTGTAACAGTAGCATTTGCCTCAGAGCATATGATAGAGTTTCAATTTGTGTCTTGTGCCTAAGAGTATATGATAGAGCTTTCACTTTGTTATTTTGACTGGTGGTTACTTAAAGTAAGGAGGCTACATATGAAAAGGCATCATGTTAGGTTTTGCTAAAAGGGTAAGCAAAAATGGGTACATGAAAATTAATGCAAGCACAGTTCCATAGAAACTGCCTTAGATATTTTAAAAGGGATTTGACATTGCTAATCTTTCCTTTCTGGGGGGATTTTTCTTTGGAAAGCTTGTGTAACCTCTACAACTGGCGGTATAAGAACCTTGGCAACTTACCCCATGTGCAGCTCTTGCCAGAGTTCAGTACAGCAAATGCTGGCTTGCTGTATGACTTCCAGCTCATTAATGTTGAAGATTTTCAGGGAGTGGGAGAATCTGAACCTAATCCTTACTTTTATCAGGTAAGAGAAAATGTGAAGCTTTTATGTTTATTTTGTGTTTGCCTGGCTGAATGCTATCTAATTTAGCGACATTGAGTCATTAGCTGAATCACTGAAAACAAGGAAGTTTAGAGTCCCACCTTACACACAACACATACACAAAAAAATCCATTTCACATAGCTTAAGGATACACTAAAGAAAAGAAATTAAAAACCTAGAAAGTACTAGAAGTACTGATGATCATGTGTTATGAAGAAAGTCTGAAAGTGTTGCCAGAACACAAATTATAATGAAAAAACTGACATAAGAGACAATTTATTCTTAACATTTAACAAATAATGGGTTGAATTCTGAATATACTGTATATGTATGTATGTATGAATATACCTGCATATGTGTTTAAATTTTTAAATTCAATAGATATGAATATGTATATCACATACTTATACTTTTGTGATTATGTGCTTCACAAAAAAGATAATAGGTTTACAGTAGTCCTAAAGCATTGGATCAGACAGTACTTCAGTGTTGGAGCAGGCTTGTGGAAAAGTCTATGTTTATACAACACCGATAGGAAAATAAAGTGTAATATAGTGTATATTAAAAGCAATATCCTAAGCAAATAATGGGTTGAGTTTGCAAAAACTTAGATACTAAAATAGCCATTGCTACAAATTCTTTCGGCTACCAGCAACAATCTTAAGTATCAGTACTTTAAGTAAATTGTTACCTATTTTATATAAAAGTACTGAGAAGCCACTAAGAATAATGTAACTTCATTTATTGACAGGAAAACTGTGTATGCTGTATTAAATGACAAAAAAGCAAATTAGGATATGCATGATGTCTCACCTTATTTTAAAAACTAAATAAAACATAACATACATAAATATTTGCAGACAACCTATACAAAAATGCCTCACAGTGTGTGCACCAAAACGGAACATTATTTACACATGTGGCATTTGGAGTTCTTTTTTTCTTTTTTTCTTTTTTCTTCTCTTTATAGGAAAATATTCAATACATGTTGCTATATAAATTAGAAATCTTGAGTTTTACATGAAAAAGCATCATATATCACTGACTTAAATGTGTATATGTAGATAAAACTGACAGTGATCCTGTTTTCCCTCCAAACATGGAATTACGTTAATCAAGTCATTCTGTATAATGAGAGCCTAAGAATATATGTGACTTTTAAATGGTAACTTTAAAAGAATTAGAACCTAACTCAAGTTAGTTATATGTTTCCTAATGGCCAGATTTGAAGGTGATAAGGATTCTGTCACTGTCCTTCTGCATTTCCTTACGTACTAGTTTCTGGAATTTCCGGTTTCACTTTCATTACTAGAGCCGTACTGTGGAATTGATGTGATACTATGCTGGATCTTAAACAAAAACTGAAAAGCAATATGATAGTATTTGTACAAAAGGTTGTTATTCAGGTTGGTTATCTTTTTTATTCATTCATCCGGCCTCTGGATGAGTTAGAATTACAAAAAGTAAATGTATTTTCAGATGATGATTACCACTGTTAAATATATTTCCAAAGAGTATTTTTTTTTTCCAAATCCAGTTAATTTCAAAGAGAAAAGAAAACTAAATTTCAAAATACATCAATCGGGGACACCAGTGGTACATATATTGTACATTGTCATCTACAAATCATTCTCCTAGAGCACAAGACATCTGCATTCAATTGTCCAAACAATAGCAGCACAGATCTTTTCTCTTGAGTGAACTAAGAGATATCAGTAGTATAAAACTCTCTTAAACATTGTGTGTGTGTGTGTGTGTGTGTGTGTGTCTGTGTCTGTGACTGTGTATGTTTGTATGCAGATACTGATAAATAGCTTGTTTCACCTTTTGCACAACGGTTACCCATATTTATCTTATTTCATTAAGAGAATGGTCTCAAGTTGCATCTGTATACCTATAAGTCTCCAATTTATCCTTAGTGGCTGAATAGTACTCCATTGTATAAAATACCACATCTTTTTTTATCCATTCCTCTGGATGGCATTTAGGTTGTTTCCAAGATCTCACTGTTACAAATTGTGCTGCTATAAGCACATATATTGCTGTGGTATGATGTTTTCAATTCTTCTGGGAGGATACCCAGAAGAAGAAGAGCTGGGTTGAATGGGACCTCTAGTCCTAATGTTTTGAGGATTCTCCACAGATTTCCACATTGATTGCACCAGTCTTCACTCACACCAGCAATGGAGAAGTGTTCCTGGATTTCTTGACAATAGCTGCTCTTTCCAGGATGAGGTGGAATCTCGGGGTTGTTTTAATTTGCATTTCTCAAGTGACCAGTGACGTTGAACATTTTTCACATATTTATTTGCTGTTTGTATTTCCTCATCTGAGAAGTGTGTATTCATGTGCCCATTTTTGGTTTGGGTTTTGAAGTCTCGGAGGACTGATTTTTTTTGAGTTCTTCGTATGTTCTCTATAGTAATCCTTTGTATGAGGAACAGCTAGCAAACATTTTCTCCCACATTGTGGGTTGTCTCTTTACTCTGTTGGTGGTTTCTGTACAAAAGCTTTTCATTCAGATGAGACCCCAGTATTGATTCTTTGTGATAGTTCCAGTGCAATCAGGGTGTTGTTCATAAAATTTTTGCCTACACCAATGTCTTCAAGAGTTTTACCTACTCATCCAGCAGATTTAATGTTTCTGTCTTAGTATTTAGATCCCAAAGAGTATTTTTATTCCCCAGAGTAAGAATACTCTGCATTTAAAGGCTATCTTTGAAGGATTAAGTGTTTCAGAGAGAGGATAAGTAGAAAAATGAGTAAAAGGCTGATATGAAGACGTCCTGATTTACTTGACCCACATTTAAAATATTTGTTAAAATACAATTTACAAGTCACGCATGATGGTCCTTATGGAACCCAGCACTCTAATGAGTGGCTGAAGCAGGAGGGTCACCGTTTGAGCTCAGTCTGGGTGACTTAGTTGAAACTCTGTCTTAGAAAGGGCTCGGTGTGTGGGTCTTGGGTTCAAACCCTGGTGCCAGGGATGGAGTCGTGGAGAGAAAGAGAGAGAATGTGTGTGTGTGTGTGTAACTCTCAGTTGTTCTTGTGTACGTACTAGGGCAATACTGAGATAAATGTATTTCGCTATCAATATAGAAAATGGAAAGACTCCATCATATGGCTTCTTTTCTTTCCCACCTTCTAAAGAGTTAGAAACTTTAAATGCAGAGGGCTTGAAATGAAAATGTGTGTCACCAGGAACCAAGAATATGAAATATATTTCTGAAGGTCTCCAGTAATTTTTCTGTTGTCTTTGCCTGAAATCCAGCTTTTTATCTTCCTTTTTCTTTTCTATTTTTATATTGTGGTTTTGTTCTTATTTTACTAACCTCTCCTTCTAGTACTTTGAATTTAGTTTCTGCTGAACTGAAGAGCTTTGTGCGTGAGCCTCACTCTGAGGCTCAGTTAAGCTCTAGGTTTTAAGCTCCTTCCCACCCACTTCAACAGTCTCTCTTAACAGTAGCGGGACTGAGCAATTTGAAACCACATTCTCTACTTTGCTTTAGTAGAGGTAGCAACCATCAGTATGAGAACAAAATCAAAACACACAGAAAACATTCAAAAGAGCAAGAAAGATAGAAAAACAGTACAGTAGTTGAAGATCAAAGCCTGACACATACCTGTCAGTGTAGCTACACTGAAGACTGAGGCAGGAGGATTAAAACTTTAAGGCCAATCCAGGCAACTTACAAGGCCCTGTCTCAACATAAAAAGGGATGGGGGATGATGTACCTCAGTGATAGAGCACCCCTGGATTTGATCCCCAGTACATACAAAACAGTTAAAATAAAATAAAATTTTTTTAAATTGAGAGCTGTTAGAATTCTACTGACTGTATAACGCTGATGGACTGGATTCTGTATTGTTCCTTAGATAAGCTCCTTTATGTTACAGTTTCTTCCCTAACTACAGTTGTGCACTGTACAAAATCATACTGATTTGTTGTTCTCTTAGGAATATTAAGCCTTTAAGTTGGTAAGTTTTATGTGATGACTAGTCTATGTATTGCAGATTCTAAGATTTTTATTTATTGGTATTAGCCTCGCCTAAGGTTATCTTTCAGTTGTACCAGAAGTGTTCAGTTGTCTAGATTATTAACTCTGTGGTGTGCAAAGAGAATAAGTTGTATTAGACAAGCCATTTTCTCTATGAAATAAATACATAATGGATTATATCTGCATTGCAGAATCTTGGAGAGGCAGAATATGTAGTAGCACTTTTTATGTACATGTGCTTACTTGGTTACCCTGCGGACAAAATTAGTATTCTCACAACATACAATGGGCAAAAGCATCTTATTCGTGACATCATCAATAGACGATGTGGGAATAATCCATTGATTGGAAGACCAAACAAGGTAATGATACTGCTCCAGTTTGTTACTTTACTGTCTCCTTATAATATGTGATCCAGTGTAATGATAGGAACTACAAATAAATCTGTGACAGTCATATCTGACGTTGCCGTAGTTTGCAGTGAACTTCTATCTCAGCTACCACATTGAAGATTTTTGTTGATAATACTCAGAAATGACTGTTTCTAAAACATTTTATTGATAAGATGATGAGTAACACAATTTATAATTTATATACTATTACATAAATAATAACTTATTTTGCAAAGGTTTTATTTGGACACTTTTTAGTGGATGGAGTTATATTCAGGGATATGGAAGATCGTAAAATTATATTGAAGGATATATTACTGATTATAAAATTATAACTGGTTTGCAAGGTGGCTGTGTAAAAGATGTTTACCTTTTCTTGTAGTCCTCTGAAAGTAATGGGAGGGGGAGGGGACAGGGTTCAGTTTTAGGGAAATACTGAGATCAGAAAACACAAGAAAACCCTTAGTGGAGCAGTACTAAAGAGCCAGCAGAATAGTTTCTAATATAAGAGATGATATGGGAAATACAAATTACATCCTTGTTTTTCAACAATGGATGCAGGAATTGGGGTGAGAAGCTTTTCCAATCCCAGATCTGTTCAGATAGGCCTGCAGGTAAGCTATGTTTTCAAAATGTAGACTGTATAGAAGCAGAAAAAAAATCAGCATTTAGAAAACAACCCTATTTACCCCAATTTAATTTAAGAAACTTAGTAATTGATAGTAGAAGCAATTAACATGAGAACATTGTTAGTAAAAGTCATGAGCAAGAGAATGTGAGTGCATGGCCAAGACAGGCTGAATGTGTACTTGTGGTCCCAGCTTCTTGCGCAGTTGAGGCCGAGGGATCAGTTCCACACCAGACTTAGAGGTTAGTCTGGGCGACGTGGAGAGACCCCAACTCAGAAGGAAAAGAAAAATTTTCAAAAGCTATCAGTGAAAGACATTTTCTAGAAAGCAAGTTGACCTGGAATTGATGAAAATGTTGCTATTAATTTAAAAATACTAGGTGAAGTAACCACTTCATAAGGAAAAACTATAAAAAAATTGCAAAAATTCTGAGGGATAAAGTAAAACCACAGGAATGAAAGCAAAATCAAAAATACAGAGTGAAAATGAGAAACCAGTAACTGAAATATAGGAAGCCTAAAGAGATTGAGGTCACTGTATCCTAGATCAGAAGGTAGGAGTAGGATGGTTTCGAGGTTGAGTTGTAGGGTGACTTAGTGATGTTTCCAAGCAGCAGGGCTTTGCTCTGCCATTCTCAGTGTGTGAGCCCAGCTTATAGACAAGCTCTCTGTGTGGACAGGATGGCAACAATTCCCAGGTCTAATACTCACATGTAACATAACAGTCATATGTTCACATCACGGATTTACATTCAGGATATTTGAATTGCAGAACACATAAACTTCTGTTAAATAAGACAGCTCAGTACCAAGTGAACAAATGAATTGAACGGACACTTTATACAGAAAAAGTTACAAAAAGCCAGTAAGACTCCCCCAAAATTTACCAGGATAAGCTATTGCTGCACATCCAACAGAATGAGTTAAGTGATTTACAGTATCAGAAGTATTGTCAAGGATGTGGAGCAGCTGGAATTCAGGAACTGGAACTCCAGCTAGTGACTGTGTAATATGTCATAGCAACTTACCAAGTTAAACATGTAGTTTCCAGTCAGCCCTACATATATCTACAAGTGGTGGTGGAAACATGTGCCCACAAAAGTATTTGTCCTTGAATATTCAGTGCAGCTTTATTCAGAGTAGCCCCAAATTAGGAACAACCCAAGTGCCAGTGAGTGAGTGATTGGATGAACATATTGTAGTATAGTCATTCACCAGAACATCTAATGTGTACAACACGGGGAAAACTCTGAAATGCTATCCTGAGAGACAGAAACCAGACATCAGAGTCCATACTTTAGAATATGGTATTCCAGACCTACGTAATCCACAATGACAGGAAATAGATTAGTGGTGGCTTGAAGTTGGAGGATGCAGTGTTGGCCTCAACAGAGCCTGAAGGGATGGAAAATTTTTATTTGGTGGTATTTACATGGAAATACACATTGTTAAAATTCATCAGACTACACATTTGAAAATCACCTCTCTGAAGGTGACTTTTAGAGAATTGTTACAAACTTCCTAAAAGCAGAGATACCATAAATTGTCATTTGTATGGTTTAAACCAGTTTTTTGTTAATAAGCGTAAATGCTTCAGTGTGAGTATTAATGACTAAAACCTTCAGAACTGCCAAATACATTTACACAGATTTTCAAGCTGAACAAAGCATAATATGAAGACTGTTGTTATTACTGTTCTTTGGCAAAGGAATGTGCTGGACAGGTACCAGCGGGATATGTTACACAGTAAATGAGGGTGGTAAGCCATGTTCCTGAACATTCAGCTGGGATCTGGTTAATATGCTACACATAGTCCCTGCTCTTGTGAAGCTTGGCTAGAGTGTTCCAAAGAGAGTTATTTTTAGCAATTAGTAAAGGTAAAGACAAGTGTTATAAATGTAAGTAACATAAGGACACAGCCTAATCTGTTTGCGGTTGTGTATTTAATGATGTTCATTAACTCATTCTTGCAATTCTGAGGCATATGCTGAAGTTTCTTTGGGGCTTGATTATTTTAAGGGTAAGATGTCCATTTCTAGTACATTATTTAAATAATCTCCACAGTCTTGTTATTATACCTTTGAAAATATGGTCCCTATTTTTTTCTTCCTAGGTGACAACTGTTGATAGATTTCAAGGTCAACAGAATGACTATATTCTTCTTTCTCTAGTACGAACAAGGGCAGTGGGTCATCTGAGGTATGTAGGAGAAAACTTTCATAATGTTACTGAGCTTTATTACATATTTTAATTTTGAACTTCAATGGCAAAGTAGTTCTATAAGTTTTGAAGTTTAATATTTACAATTGTTACAGCAACTTGAGACACTCAGTGATAAAGTATAATGAGATTTCTTGGATCAAGTATTGTCACATTTGAATTTTTCACTCTTATTATAGTAATTTAACTTTTTATTCTTTGGTTACATTCAGAGATAACATTTTACCATAAAATTGTAAATCTATCCTGTATCTGTTAGAAACTAAGAAAATAGAAGAGATAAAGTGGTTAAAAAAAAATCTCTGAAAGTAAATTTTTCATTGTGTAGAGTTTCTGATTTTTCTCTGCATACAGTCTTGCAGCTTCAGTGTTAGGGGATAAAGAAGTCATCTGTTCTCTTAGGATTAAGAATTGTCAAAACAAACAATCTATTTTTATCATTTATCACGATGTATTTATGTGTCAGAGATTTATGGGAATAATGCCTTATTATAAAGCAGTGATTTATTTTTATATAAACCTTCATGTCATATGACTTACTAGCTACGTGAAGAGTTCATTGTATTGTTTTATTTGGTGGATATAAAAAGAAAATATCCAGGCTTCCAATGTTATCATTAAGTCAAGATCTATTTGAAGTTTAACTCATTGATCAAATTCCATTAGAATTTATGCAAGAACGAGCAAAGAATAATAATTTTAAAAATCATGTCAAGGTCATGGCAATGAAATAGTTTGTTTTTGCCTTATTTATTGACTTGTCAAGCAGGTGTTTAGACTCTTAGCTTCAAAAAGCAGTTTCTTTTCCTTGGTGACATTTATAACTCCTATCTGAATTGACCATCATTGTGGCTGATTGATAGAATTTAAATTTCTGAAGGGCATACGTTATGCATATATGAGTACTGTTCTCTTTTTTCTTATTCTATAGTACTCTGCCTTTTCCACTGGTTGTAATAAAATGCTGTTCTTTCCTTCATTTTTCTGAAAATTTTAAGAAAGAAACTGATGATAAAATGCCTATAAATGAAGGGTTGAAAAGAAACTGGGTTGCAAGGCTCTCGTATATAAAAGTTTTCTAAGCAAAAATACTTTGTCTAAATTAATCTTTGTCAAAATTTCCTTTTGAAAAATCTGGGGGTCATAGAGTGGTGGTATTGGAACACAGAGGGGATATGTTGATTTAACTATGACTTAAGGATTCTTCACAGTTGCCCTGATAGCTTAGTTTTAAGTATCTTAGCTGGAATCTTATCAAACTTTTTATAGAATGTGTTAGATTGTAGACCTAATCTTTCATGTCCTCCTTTTTATAAGTAGGAAAATATTTGTGTTTCAGAGGGCTAAGGAAACCTATTTTAAGAACAGCTTTATTGATATAATTTTATCTTGTGTAGTTTACCTATTTTTTAGTATGTTATTCACTGGTTTTTCTATATTCACAGAATTATCCAGTTGTGTCCAAAGTCAATTTTATAACATTTTTATTGCCCTAGCAGGAAACCCAATAACTAGTACCAGGCGGGCTCCAGTCCTTGCTGTCTCCTGATGTTCTTGCTGTCTGGGTAGATTTGCCTGTTCTGGATGATTAACAGAAATATGGGTTGATGTATTTTTTTAACTCACTTCTTTCATTTAACTCACTGTGTCCAAGGTTCATTGATACTAAATCAGCTTCATCTTTTTATTGTTGAATAACCCTCTATCACACATGCATAACACATTTTACTTAGCAGTTGATACAGAATATTTTTTCCCACTTTGTGACTGTTAATAATGCTGCTGGGAATTTTCATTTCAGGTTTGATATGAATATTTGCTTGCTTTTCTCAGGTGTAGATGTAAGAGTGGAGTTGTTGGGTCGTGTGTAACTCTGTATTTAGTCTTTTAAGGAATCGGCCCTATTTTAGCCAAACCCAATTGTGTCTTCACCAGTGTCCCTCTTCCAAACCTGTTTTGAGTGCCCGTGGCTACCATGTTTCTTTTTAACCTCACCTTTTTCATCCTGTTTCCTGACTGAATGAGTACCTAGAACCAGACTATGAGCTTTAGTTCCAGGGACCTTTTTAAAGCCAGTGTGGAGCTTTTTAAAAGCCCAAGTAATGAGACATTTTTGGTCCCATTTGCAGCATTTGTTGTCTTTGTCTTTGACTGATTTGAACAGCTGAGGCATCCATGGATGGTGTGACCTGTACGGATGATAATGAGGTTGCAGCTGTCCTGTTATTTTCTTGTTGGGACTCAACACTGCTTGTGCCATCCTCTTTTGGGAACTGAGAAAGAAAGTGACAGTCCTCATGGCCCTGTGTTCAAGACAAGGCTCCGAGGAACCCTCCCATTCATGCTTTTTTTCTGCTAGTGTGTTATGTTCATAGTGTGTGATCTTCCATTTAACAGGTAGTTCATGTCTATCTGTTACTTGATTGCACCCTACCTTACTACTGCAGTAATAAATCTAACCTACTCAAAAGGTAAGCAGCATACATGATAGTAATGTTGAAGTGTGTTAATTGGTTTTTGTTTGTTTTCCAAAGGGATGTTCGTCGCTTAGTGGTGGCCATGTCCAGAGCTAGACTTGGACTCTATATCTTCGCTAGAGTGTCCCTCTTCCAAAATTGCTTTGAACTGACTCCAGCTTTCAGCCAGCTAACAGCCCGCCCACTTCATTTGCATATAATTCCAGCAGAACCTTTTCCAACCACTAGAAAGGTAGGACGGAATTCTTCGTGATATGGAGTGGTACCCTCTCTTACAAGTGAATAAATTAGCTGGTAACAGTCACTGGTTCAGAATGTCCCTTACACCAGGAACTGAATTAAATTTTTTATTATGTAGATAAGAAATAATGTCTGCCAACGATTACTAAGTACTTGCCATGTATCAGGTTACTAGTTTTTTACATACATTATTTCATTTCATCTCAACAGAAACCGTGTTTGGTAAGGTCTTATATTAATCCTACTGTACATATCAGTAAACTGAAGAGAAATCGACTGGTTCTGGCTATGCATCAGGAGGTAGCAGAGGTTCAAGATTTGAAGACCTAGGCAGTCTAAGGCTTATTTTATGATCAGTGTGTTACTCTTCTCTTTAGCTTTGTGATGAGGACCTGGCTGTTACCTGGTAACTGTAATTAGCAGTGTAGTCATTAAGAAGCCCTCGTTCTCGGGGAAGGACAAGGGGAGAGCTCACAGGCTGAGCGATGCCATGGCGGCTTCCTGCTTCCTCTTCTTCTTGTGTCTCCTTACTGACCAGCCTTTACTTCCTAGGTTACCCTTCTGTTCTCTTCTGCACAGAAAAGCAGGTGTTTATTTTGTTACAGTTTTCTTTCTTTTATGAAGACTAGCATGCTAATAGACTTTTGGGTTTTGATTTTTAAGAAATGTCTGGAAAATCCATTACATTTTAAATAAAATTTGAAAAATTTTAACTAAAAATTTAAATGAAAGTTTTAAATTTCATAGTATACTCTTTTTTTTTTTTTTTAGTATCAGGGATTGAGCTCACGACCGTATAAGGCAAGCGCTTATGCCGCTGAGCTAAATCCCCAGCCCCCATAGCATACTTCTTAAACCTCTTAAAATGTAAGATAGATTCTGTGTGTTTGCTTTAGAATAATGGTAAGTATTTTTCTTCAGCTGCATTTTTGTTCTTATTTTCAGCAGTCCTGTTGGGGTGGGGTCAGGTAAAGTCTCGAATGGCAGGCTCTGCAGTTTGGACAGCATCCTATAACTCTGCACTTCTCAATCTTCTGTAAACTGCTTATTAAATAATTGGTCACTCATACAGTTTTTGTCTTAGTACTTTTTTTTGTACTTTTATGGTTTTCACCATTGGTTTTTACAGTAAGAAAAGATAAGATTTTATTCATGACTCTTAAGTGAGAAAGCCATTATTAATCTTTATTTTAACATGGTTTAAGAAGCAATGCACATTTTATGTATTCCAGATGATTCTGGTTGACACTACAAAGTTAAAAAAAGAACATTGAGCCAGGCGTGGCAGTACCGCCTGTATCCCAGCATGTAGGCTGGAGCAGTAAGATCACCAGTTTAGGCCAGCCTAAACTGCATATTGAGACCCTGTCTGCATAAAAATGCTTTTTTAAATATTTGCCTTTATGACTAATAATTTACATACTGTACTGCATGTTAACTTCTTATATGTTAGAAACACAAATAGGAAGAATTTTGTTTTCCGAATTCTGTGTGTGCTACAATATTAGAAACTGCAGCTTCAGGCCATTTTAATTTTTTGCTTTCTGTTCTTCAATATTAGGTGATAAGCCAAAACCCACATTTCACTTACCAACCAAAATTGTTTTAAAAACAAGTGACTCATATCTTTCCTATTCTATAACTTTTCTTCGTTTAAATTGAGTTTGTATTCTTCATGAAGTACTTATTAGAGTCTCACACTTGCAGCTTATGTATGTCCTTGTACTATTTTTACATCCTTCCTACCTTACCATTGCTTATTTTTAAGAAAGAGAAACAGACTTTTAACTGGCTTTTTGCCTTCTTGTAGAATGGTGAAAGCCCACCTCAGGAAGTGCAGATAGTGAAGAATATGCCCCAGATGGCAAACTATGTGTACAACATGTATCTGCATTTAATACGGACAACACATCATTATCATCAGGTGAGTCTCTGCCAAATAGACTCCTCATTTGTCTTGGAGACATAATCTGTTTTGAAGAATGAATCTTTTAAAGTAAGGAACCAACTAAAATAGATATTCATGATTTTCAGAACATCTTTTTGTAAATGCAGTTTGGCATATAATAAAGTACCCTTACTTAAAGTGTACAATTTGATATGTTCTGATATATGTATATGTCTATAGAACCATCCTGATCAAGATAATGAGCAAATATGTTATCCTCAAAAGTTTCTTTGTGCTACTTTATCATCTCTCCTTGTCTTTCATCAATCTCTTATACATATTTTCTAGGCCACCAAAAATCTGCTTTCTGTTACTGTAGATGAGTCTCCATTTTCTAGACATACACACACACACGAAATCATACAGAACATACTCATTTTCTCATTACTACTCGTTATTGCACAGTTAACTCGTGTTAACTCATGATGGATTACGGTACGTACCACCATAATCCATCACGCTCTGGTGTCCTGAGTCATAGTCCACTGTATGGCTGTACCGTGGTTTACCCACTCACCTGTTCATAGCTATCTGGGTTGTTTCCATTTGGGGCTGTTAGACATAAAGCTACTGCGAACATTCTCTACAGTCATTGTGCTTTCTCTTGGATAAGCACTTAATGAGTAGAATGATTAGATAATATGTTAAGTGTATGTTTAACTCTGAGAGAAGCTCCCAGCCTGTTTTTCAGAGTGGCCGTACCAGTTACACTCTCTCCCGCACTGTGAGGCTGCAGTTGCTGCATATCTCCACACACACTTGATGTGGTATTTCTTTTTTATTTTAGCAATTCTGATAAGTGTGTGGTGATCTAATATATTTTTTTAAATTTATATTTACCTAATTGGAGCATCTTTTCATGTGGTTATTTGCCATCTGTATATCAAATGGTATCTCCTCAGATTTCTCGTTCATTTTTTATTGAGTTATATGTTTAATTGTCATTGACTTGAGAGATTTTTATGTATTCTAGTTAAAGTCCTTTATCAGGTACATATTTTACAGGTATTTCCTCCTAGTCCGTGACTTATTTTTTCTCTTTTAAATGTCTTTCAAAGAGCAGTTTTAAAATTTGATGTTTAGTGTATGGCATAGTTTTCCTGGAATTCATATTTTTACATCCTAAAAATACTTAGTTTAACTTCAAGTCACAAAATTTTTTCTTCTAGCAGTTACATAGTTGTAGGTTTCATATTTGCAGGTTCAGTACACTTCAGTAAATTTTTTTGTGTGGTTCCAGGATGGTTGGGTGTAATTCGTTTGCATGTGTATATCCAGTTACTTCAGCACCACATCCTGAATAGTGTTTCTCTATTGATTTCTTGTCAACTTAGTAGGAAAATGAGTAAATTGGCCGTGGACATGAGTACTTTTGGACTCCAGTCTGTTCTATCTCTGTGACTGTCTTCACCACTGCCACACCACTCTAAGTGCATTAACTTTACAGTAAATCTTAAAGTTATTGTGTGCTTTAGATTTGTTCTTTTTCAAAAATTGTTTTTACTATTTTAGAATCAACTGAGCAATTTCTGCCCCTGAAACTACTGTGGTTTAAAGTAAGATGTTTTGTGTAGTAGAATTGTTCAGGATCGTTTTCCAGAGATTAACGTCTTAACAATATTGAGTCTTGCTTTCTATAAGAAGACTTTCTATAAGAAAGTCTTGCTTTCTAATGCCAGTATGATGCATCCTTCTATTTAGATGGTCTTTGAGTTTGGTCAGCAGTGTTTTGTTTTCCACATACAAATTGTACACATTTTGCTGTCTCTCACATTTTTGTTGCCATTGTGCTTCTTTAAAAAATCATGTGTAATTTCTAACAAAGTAAAAAGGCCCCCAAGGAGAGAAGCTGTGGTGCACAGAGGAAGCTGAGCGGTTCTCAGTTCTCTCAGACAGAAGCCTGTACCCTGTTCCTCCTTCCTTGTGATGGGCATGGGATGTGGCTCCTGTCAAGCCTTAATAGGGTTCCTTTGTTGAATAGGCGCTTTCTTGAGTTAGTGTGCCAATCAGAGCTAGTCAGCCACTGTTTTTTCTTACATTACAGCATTCGTTTGCTTGAAGACTCTTAATAGCATTTCACATTGTTTTCCTCTCTGAAGGTTTACTGTGTACTGCAATTATTGGTATGTGACATATATGTAGGTGAATTCTCTGATTTTTTCAGAATCTAGATCATTGTTAGCAGGGGTGTAATCTCTATATAAAATGCCAGTATGTTTTGGAAAACACCAAAACACCTTTTATCTGTTAAAAGGATGCTTAGGTGAGAGCTTAGCTTTAGAAACCTATAGTTTTTTTCTTAATTTGGGCTCATATTAGTATTGTCTCTTTTAAATTAGGCTTTCTTACAACTACCACCTGCTATGGTAGAAGAAGGGGAGGAAATGCCAAGCCAAGAAACAGAACTAGAAACAGAAGAAGCTATGGCTGCCCCAGATGACATCATACCCAGTCCAACAGATGCCAGCTGCAGTCAAGAGCCCCCAGCTACTCAGCCTGACACCACCACGGGTCAGGCTCAGGCCACCTTTGATAAGACTGAGATGACTCCTAGTCCAACAGAAGCCGTCCCTTCTGTGTGTCAGGTGTCTACAGCAAGACCTGCTTCTCCACAGGCACAGGCTGCCACCCCTCAAGATACCACCCTAGAAGAGACCCAGTAGCCAAACTACAGCCTTTCTTGGGAAGGACATTTCATTCATAAAGTTACTTTTATATTTTATATTTGCTCTTGCTGTTTAAAAGGCACTAACTGATGTTCAGTCATTACTTTCGTTCGCTAGTTTTCTTGTTATGTATATTTCTTGTACATATCTTTAAAAATTGTTTTATGGGCAACTCTTGTTTCATTTGTTGAATCAGGCAAATAACCATTCCTTTGATATTTTGATAAAATGTATCTATAATCTTATGCACATTAAAATAATTTTCAGGACTGAGGATTTAGCTCAGCGGCATAAACACCTGCCTTAAAAGTGCACGATTGTGAGTTCAATCCCTGATACCGATATACACAAATAAATAAAATTTTCTGTAAGATGCTTAAGACATATTTCATGTCTTTAGTAAACTTCTCTTAAATACTGGATTTAAGCATCAATGCCCTTGAGCCAAGGTGCAAATTGTTTCTGACATAATGCTCAAATTCTGTTGCTGTTTTTATACTTTTTCTATAAAAGTATTAAAAGCCATAAGATAAAATTTTCTCCGTTGTATTAAAGAGGTCATATGTGCTTCTTTTCACAGAATCTGAGAACATACTAGACCCAGCTAGAGCAGTGGCAGTGACACTGTGGCTTCTGGCGCAGCAAGCACACAGAGTCCCCTCTGTCAGCATGTGAGCCACAATTCCCTAACAGCATTAGATTAGATTAATAGCTGTTTTTTCTAAGCTAAAACCTCAGTGTTCACGTTTAATTGTGGTGTTGACACTTTATGATAAGTGTGTTTGGGGTTGCAGTTTGAGCACTTGGTCTCCAAAAGGTTTGCCATGACTGACCTAGAGTATGTTTATCCTTAGGCCTACCTTAGACCTAGTGAATCAGATTCTCATGGGTAGGACAGATTCCTTACACTTGTAATATCAGTGTTCCTGATCTGTGCAGGGTAGAAGTCTGCCATTCAGAGCTTCTGAATGTTCTGCCCTGTTTAGCTTTCATGGTAGGTAGCCAGTCACAAGGAATCAGATGTGATCCAAATACATGAGGGTGGAGGTAATAAGACCTCACTACTCAAATGCGGTTAGCACACCGCCAGCATGAGTATCAGGTTGATGTTTCTTAGAAATGCACAAGTGTGGGCTCTTCTCCAGACCTATTAAATCTAAGTCTGTATTTCAGCAAAATCCTCAGGTGATTCGTATGCACTTATGATTTGAGAAATGCTGATCTGAGATTCCTGTGCTGTCACCACATCAGTGAGATTGTGGTGGTGGAATCAGCAGTGAGTGTGACTGGTATTTCCTAGCAAGTGACCTCTGCTTATAAAGAACCTGAGCAAGGTGGCCATAACAGGAAGAGTGATGGGTAGATACGTGTGTAGAGGAAGAAATTACGCACTTTCGCCCTTTTGAGGGGAGTTATCTGCTAGCATGGCGAAGGGGTGGACTGTATTGCATCCATGTAAAGTTTTGACCATGTCCAGGGAATCTGCAGACATAAGCAGGAACAACACTGCTGTTGAAACCTGGCCCTGTCAGCTTGAAGAAATGATTAACTCATAAGGAAATTAAACATAGAAAGTCAAGTCAGTTATTTTTGAGTGACTGGTGTTTGACCCACTCTTTCAGGGAGTGGTAGGTGTGATTCCAGTGGAGCCTGGTGTTCTGCTGCATGAGGACACTTATAGTCAGATTGCATAAGGAGTTGGCGTGAAGTGAGAAGAAAATGAATGGGGTGCAGCCAAGGAAACCTTACCAAGGAGACGTACTAGGAAATCTTCTGTTTTCAGAAGAAGGATCAAGCCAGATAGTCCGTTAAATAATTTCTCTGACATAAATATTTGAAAGCAGGTGTTGTGGGCATTTGTATGAGGAGTAGCACTCATGGAATTATTTTTCATTTGTGAATATATGGTATCAGGCTAAGCAAGAGGGAAAGAAGCTTTGCTGTATTACCATCTTTCCTGGAAAAGATTGATTTCTCTCTGCCCTTTAGGGGATACAAATTGTGATACTGTAAGCAAAATAAGCAAACTCAGGCAGGTTTCTCAAGTAAATTATTTTTCAAGCTACATTTTTTTTTCTTTGCCACCTGCTTTTCTTTGCCACACAAAAAAAGCAAACACCGGTGTCAGCAACATTAAAAAATCAATAATAGCAGTGGAATTTCATCTTTTAAGTTTTTCATTCACTAGAAAGACCAGTGAATTGCAATTGACTGAAGAATAATGGATGTTTTTTCCCAGTATCAGAGATTGAACCCAAAGTATGTTTGTCACTTCCCTACCCCTTTATTTTTTTTTTTTAAATTTTGAGATGGGATGACAGAACTTTAAAAGGAGTTTTAAGAAATTTTACTTTCTTAAATTAGAGGAACAGAATGAGAGACTCAATCTGGATGGCAGCTGAGGCACATAGAATCCAAACCCACAGTCCTAAGGTTGTGTTTGTTTGTATTTTAAATCAAAACTACAGGAGCGATGCTTCCCAGATGGGACTTTGCTTTGCATGTGCAGTGACTGCAGCCAGGTGCTGTTGCCCTGTGGCTTTCAGATCTGTGCTCCCAGCGCTCCTAGCCTGTCTTTCATACTTGAATATGTCATGATTTTGGAATCTATTTTTAAAAGGCGATCAGGAAGATGCATACCATGAAATGACTGTGAAATGAAGCAATTCAAGTATTGAGACTCCCCCCCACACACACACACAAAATGCTGAGTTAAGGAAGTTCATTGCCTGCATCTGAAAATAACTCCATTGATTTGGGCAAATGAATGAGAAGATCTGAACATTCTCAGGACTCTTGAGGTTGGTATGATGATAAAAGTTGAGATGTTTTGCTAAAGACCAAGAGAAAATGAAAAAATAGGTCATTTGTGCTTGTATTAAAAATGGGGTTGTTTCGTTTTTTTAATGACAAGACAGCTCGATTTTGTAAAACAAAACTTTGGACTCAGCTAGACCTAACTCAAGTTTTGCCTAGTTTGCTTATCTGCCTTTGCTTTACCTTAGACAAATTTCATAACCTAGCTCAGCACCAGGTTTTTGAAATCTAAAACGGGAAAGAGATCTCTGGCATTTTACCAGGGTGCTCAGGAAATATAAATACCAATCCTCTTTCTTGTTTTCCTAAGCCTTTGTGACAGGATGTTGACAAATGATTCCCCTGGACTTGGGTAAAATAGCTGTGGTGCTTTCTGGGAGCAGGAAAGCAGACACATGGATGACCTTTGAGAATCTGTTGAAGATGCATCTACTAATTTGAGACCTTGGAATCAGCCCACTGTAACACTGAGGGTGGTCTCTGTAGAAATCAAAACTCTAGAAAAGCAGTGTGCCCAGAAGGAATTCATTAGCTCCCATCAGGCTGCTTATGTGTGGAGCTAATAATTTCCATCAATTTTGAATCTTGCACTGCCTTACCTTCAAGTCCATGTTGTTACAGTTGCTTAGTTTATGCCTTGAATGTTTTCCTATCTTGTAATCATTCAGATAGTATTTTTAGAGATACTTCTTTAATTGCAAGAAGATACAAAAGATTTTTTAAAAGACATATTGACCCTATTGTACAAACTAGAAGAGCAATTAAACAGTGCCTCTTGCTTGGCAGTTAGCCTTGGTAATTATTAGGCAATCATGTTAATGGCCATTTAAGAATAATGGAACCAGAGCTGTACTGAGACAAGGATGAAAATGAAGATATGTGAGACTACTTCATGCCTTGGTATCATTAGTGCCGGAATGGGGTGGATTTTTTTTTTTGTCCTCTAATTTTTATTTTTTATCATAATACATGTTTGCAGTACATAATGATTACATTCATGAGAAATCAAACATGTACATAACACATCTTGATTCTTTTTACATCCACTTACCCTCTTCTGCCTTCCCCGTCTTCGGTCACTTGGTCCCCTTCCCACTTGCAAAGGATCTATCTTCCTATTTCATGTTATGTCTTGTATTTTGCTCTTTATGTATTTATATGTCAGGTTTCTCATAGAGAAGCAGCCATGAGATACTTAAACTTATGTGTCTTATTTATTTCACTTAACATTTTGGTCTCAAGGTGCATCCATTTTCCTACAAATGACTCAAATTTATACTTAATGGCAGAGTAGTACTCCATTATGTATAAATACCAAATTTTCTTTATCCATTTATCTGGTGATGGACGTACAGACTTCACTATTGTGAGTTGTGCTATTATAAATGTAGGTATGCATTATCATTGTAATATGATGTCTTTAGCTTTTTCAGGAAGACACCTAGATGGGGCCAAATGCGTTTTAATTACATGCCATATGGAAGCTTTCTTAGGGACAAACTATTCCCTGTGACATGGTTCAGACTGCAGCGTGATTATTACTGATGGCGTGCCTGCTTTCTCCTCTTAATTCCCTGCCTTTTGGCTTTCCTTACTTCAGTGACAGATTAAACTTTTGCAGGTTTTGTAACTTTTGTGTGTTAAACTTACAAAGATATTTAATCGTATTATTTCTGAGCATACATCATAGGGAACACTACTATGAGAAAAATCTCTGAAAAGCATATTCCATGATCAGATAAATCTGGGCAACAAAATGAAGTATTCTCTTTTTGGGAAATCACAATGCATATTTAGCAAACTAAAGGTTTTGAAAAGTACTGCTGCAAATAGTTTTTAAATTAATTTAGGATTTCTCAAATTTAGAATTAGACTATAAGAATTGTCTTCACTCACCTCTTTAAAATACCTTCCATAGCTGTCTCCTCAGAGCTTAGCTTGGGAACAATGTCATTGCTCAGCAAAAACTTGTACCCTCTTTAAAGAATAGAGGCCAAGTGCATTTTTGTCCCTATAAATGAAGAGATTGAGGTAACAACTTAAAAAAGCAACTAGAGATGACTGATTTGTAGAGAATGTCATACCGCTGTATAATTTGTGAAGTGTCATATGGCATTAATAGCAATATTCTGAGAATGCAAATTAACAAAAGTTTGGTCAGTGTACCATGACATTCCTTCATGTGAATGTCCTAAGAAAAGGTCAATGAACATTCTGTTTACATTTGCATTTGAGACTTCAGAATTTCACACGGAGCTTGCCTTTTTCTTTCCTACCATACTGTAGGCATTTGGATTTCTAGTGCATCTTATTTTCTTCATTCATTCTTTCTTTGTTTCTTAAGTTTAGATTCCAAAAAGAGAAAAAAAAATTTAACATGGCTAATAGGGTGGCACAGAAATAATGGAAGAAAATTAAGACAAGTATAAAAGGATAGAAATTCCTTACAAAAAGTTTTAACTCTCTGGACCCCCCAAAGTTACATTACAATCAGACATGTCAAATTCTTTCTTTGTTGATCCTCAGAAATGATTATGACTGAAAGCCCTTTTTTGTCTGACTGTTTATCTTCTGTCCTATGTCTTTGTCTTATTTAATCTTTGACTCAGTTAACTTTTGTCTTGCAATAGTTCAGGAACCTCAAAGGTACCTTCTTTTCCTGGGGAGTTCTGTGGATTAATGCAGAAAGTTCTTTTGAGAAGCTGGATGTATCAAGATTTTT